TGATGGGCTTGAATTAGCTGTACAACGTCGGGATCAAGATATAATCAGTGAAAATGGTACTTCTAATGACGTTCCCGCAAGGCGCCAGCGACGTTGCGGACGCTGTCGCGAGCCAGGACATCGCGTTGAGACCTGTACAATGCCTCAATTAGCTATACCAGAAAACGTAGATCCTAGCCTACTTCCTAATTAATAAATTGCTTCAGTAGTTGTTGAGATATTCAGGTTACGGTAGTGGGCCACGGTTGAGGTGGGCGACTCGGTGGTTTGGGCGACTCGCTGGTGGATTACGTTAAGTTAACTAGTTAAAGCTAAGTTTTAAGTATAGCTTCTCATATCACCAATCTACACCACTACAATTATTTCTAAGAGAAGAGTTCTCCGAAACGAACGCGATAAGTTTTGACCCCTTTTCGCGCCTGAACCTAATTATATTATTCACTTCCATATCATTGATCGTCCGGATAGCTACATCGACAACGGATTGCCATTCTGTCTGGGGAGATTTGAGTGGTAATTTGTCCAAAGTGAAGCCGTCGACGAATTCCATCAGAAACCCAAGACAGGAGGAATGTTTTCCAGTTGAGGTTATCGACGCTAGCGAGGTAGCGTTGATGAAGACGTGTCCGTATATGTTTAGGTTAGGCGTACCATGGTACTTTTACAGTCTTTGGTAAGCCTCACATTCCTCGTCTACTGAGGCCATCCAAAGTCAGAGGTTGAGGCTATGCTCGGCCTCAGTTAGCATGTGGCACCGCTCCTCATTAATGGACCCCTGTGTGAAGAACTTGTTGGTGCTGCCATCAAGTACTACCTTCTGGTATTCAGGTTCTAGGCCCCTGGACCACGTAGGATAACAAAACATTGTCCTCATTTCATTGCAGAATCGGCAGTCGAATGGTTTCAGCACCATTCGACGTCGAAGTCCAGGCCGGGAGTATTCAATCGGACTGGCATGACACGAGACATCGTAGTGAACGACTCAAAGATGATATAGATGACGCAAGCAGAAGAGACTTGGAACCAACGCTGATACCGCCAACCACTGTAGCGAGACGACTTCTCGGATTACAAGCTCGGCACTTGAAAAAACGTCCCCGTCGACGCCTAGATTGACGCCGTCACTGTGGACCAACAGGTCCGTACCCTGGACACAAACAGCGGGTGTTCCTATCCGAGAGGAGATGACGGAAGCAAATCCACGGGCAGATCGTTCTTATAGTGAAATCCGTCGATGAGGCGACGGGCTCCTACCAGGTGATCATTAAGAAGCGTACGCATGGGTAACTTGGGGATCCTTGTGGCGGATTTCTAAAAGACGGCGGAAGTAGAGGTTGCCAGGAAAATAATGGGAAGGTCGGGATTTGAACTTGGAATTCGAGAAATATAAATAGAGACGACCAGAGTTTGATAGGAACTTGACAAGAGTTGGTAGAGCGAGGACTTTACCATGCCTTTTATAACTGCACAGCAGGTAAATGGTCAAAAGAACGAATATCATCTTACTCCACCTGAGGAACAACGAAGATTCATTCAATTGACTAGTCTACCACACTCGTAAAAATGAACCGCAGAGGCTGTTTAGGTCTTCAATCCCAACTGCGCGAGTCGGCTTGAATTGGCGATATATAGCCCGACTCCAACTTGAGGTTTTTTCTTGATATGCAATGTGTAACCAGCGCTGTCCCTGTCGGGTATGGTGTATCCAACAGAAAGTAGAGAGTCTTCCTTCTTCCATCCTTGCGATATTTCAAACACGCTCTTTTGTACAACCGAACACATCTCGTGCCAGGTACCCGTAAAACGCCATGCCATGCAATGCGAATAATGCGCCTCTATTGCCACGCTTCAATGATTTCCAGTCCCTCGCTCGTGATCGTACAGTAACCCCGCCATTTGTCCGTTGGGTATCGATCGTCGCTATCTGTCCTTATACACCTTCGGCTTCCACCCCTCCTTCGCCTCCTCCGCCGTCTCCGCCGCCTCTGCCTTCGTCCGCACCTCCATCTCTATCCGCTCCCGCGCCCTTAAAATCTTGCTCTGCAGATAAAAGCTCCCCCCCTTCTTCGGGTCGTTCTGGTCGAATAGTCGCTTGAATCGTTCCATGACTTGCTCGGCGTTCATGGCACCGCCCTTCGGAGGGGCCACGTCGAGAATCTTGCATGCTTCGTCGAGGGTGAGGCCGGAGGATGCGAAGGTGCCCCCGGAGCTGGAGTTCTTACCGCCGGCGGCGGCGTATTTTTGGGAGGCGGAGGCTTGTCGATAGGCTTCGGCGAAGGCACGGCCGACTACTCGGGTGCCGGTCAGGACAACCTGCGTGATGATTCGGTGCGCCTGAGACTGTTAGCCACAGGATAATGGACATCAGTGTTGTTGTAGCCAATTCGCATACCATTTCTTCAAGGCGCAAGCTTGAAATGCGTGTCAAGCTATGGCCTTATTAAATTGCGACTTAGAGCGCCCGGGACGGAGATACTGATAAGGTCGAGGTGCTTGAATCACGTTCTCAAAGAAAATCTTGGGATGAAGTCGGGATCGGCTGATGTTCGGCTTTCGGGAAAATGTTGCGATGCATTGCACGTGACCAAGGTGAGATCTTCAGGGGTATTTACAGCTTCATTATTTCCGGTTCCGGAATTTCACCTCGTGTGTTGACATTGGCCTTTCATAGTGACAAAGAATATTCTACTCAACCAAGAATGCTTGACAGGCAGACAGGCTAGATGGGCACTGTCAAATCATGCGAACGTACGGCAATCCAAACTCTCAATTTCTTCAATGCCGCCAGATATGGACATGCGTTCCTTGTATTACGCCATGCGTAGCAAGTCGAGTGCCACAAATCCTACACCGGTGTTCCGAGTCTCGCATTCCTGTGAGAGCATACGGCATCCAGAAGCAGAGGAAGCAACCGCAGAGGAGTAGCGCGACGGCGGAGGCACTAGAACCAGGTACAGTGATCAGCAAGTGATATCTTTTCTTGCCTATGGCTTCATGAAAGTGTAATACGGTATGCACACTCACTGTTGTGTCAATCCCACTTTCCGCTTGACTTTCGACACGAGAGTATTTCCGCAATTGGGACACAGCACAGGAGAAGGACCAGACCCTAGTGTGTGCAGAGGGACAGAGGGACCTTGATAGCCAGCACTCGATTGGGACTCTTGGTCATATCTGGTATTGACAATCCGGAGTTGCGTCTCAGCATCGATGATGTCCTCGGCCCCGTTGTCTAACATAGCTCTTAGCAGTCCATTCGCAAGTCAGAGAACCAATCGTACATTGATGGAGCTGCGCTCTGCGAAACGCTATCTTCGCCTCCTCGCGTGCTCTTGCTTGACGGCGCCGCTCCATCTTCTCGGCCTTGGATGCATCCTTCTCCGCTGCTTTGAAGCCCTTTCTCTCTGCCTTCTGAAGGGTTTTCGATTCCTTTCTAACGATCTTGCGTCGTTTCTTGTCGATCTTTGCCTCTTCGTCACTGAGTCTGCAGTGCGCACGCTGCAGTTTGACGTCTTGTTTGAGTAGCTTGTAGTCTAGCCCTTCTGGATCGAGACGATCGATGGGCGTTGAAGGGATAAAGGAAGAATGAGGTATTGTTCCAGTCTCTTGCCCCTGAGTGGGTGGTACATCGGACGGGGTATGTGTGGCCGTGGAACGTAGAGGAGTGGCCGCTACGTCTTGCATTGCCATAACCACGGGATTATCGCTGTCGTGTGCGCTCTGAATGAAGAGCTTCTTAGAAGCCTGGAATACTCGACATTTGCGAGACGGAAGATCGGCGGACAGCCAAGTAATCTCACCTGGGTAGAAAGATCGAATCTAGAATCAGGATAAGGATAAGGATGGAGGAAACAGACTATTTAGACTGAGGGGATACATAAATCTGAGGGATTATCTTGCGCGACGAAGGTAGCTGAAAAATGAGATAAGACAGTGGAGAGTAGACCGGTGATTTTCTGTAGAAGCCATGGCGATGTCGAGTTCCTGTAAAGGGTATCGACCACCTTGGTTCCTTCCACTCTAAGGTAATTATCATAGGACAGTTTCAGCACATCACGATTAAGAAGGACTTGGCACCGCGATCAAATTCCAAAGTGAAGTTGCTTTTGCTCAACCATTACTCCTTTCAATATCATTCGAGTAATCTCAACCACATATCTGCAGATCCACCTATCTCACGCTCTCACGCTTAGCAGGCGTGATTCACACTAACCTTATTAAAAGTCCTCCAGAGAAGCGTTTGCACTGTGGATGATAACCCGGAGAAATCAACCCCGCATCCATCTACTCGACTATGCCACTAAAAGCCCATATAGTCGCTCGAACGCCGGGCAGAAGAGCAAACGCGGCCTTTCCAATGCATGAACAAAATGAAATCCAGCTCTCAGCCAAACATGGGAAGATGGTCCAAGGAATTAGTGGCCGTTGACCTGCGGTTCATCCGCCACGGCAGTAAGCACTGAAAACTGGCCACCTGCCCCGGCCCAGTTAAGGGACCTCTCCCTAACAGCAGTGTTATCAATGAGGGTCATGGTGGTGACATCGTCATCGTTCCCGATACCCAATTGGTAGTTGGCATTGAAGCCAGTGGAGTAGGCTTTGCCCTCGGTCGTGACAACAAGGGTGTGGTCGGGACCGCAGCAAACCTGTTTCGCTCGGAGATCTAACCATGTTAGCTGGATCATGTAATGGAGAGTAGCAGGACTTACTGGGAAGGGCCATAGGCTGCAGCAGGATCTTGGGCTTGCCCGACTCATTCTTGCGGATCATCTCCTCGTCCTCTAAGGTGGCGGCTTGGAAGTCAATGCCAATCTGGCCGCCGTCCATTCGGCCCCAGATCAAACAATCTCCGTTCGCCGCGACCGCTGCCGAGTGGTGGTTCCCACCGGACAAGTGCGTCACGCCTTTTCCACTCAATCCTTCGATCTTCTTTGGACGGGGAAGCATCGCGCTGTCGCCACCAGCGGTCTCCGGATCTCCAGCCTCACCGAACGAGTTGAGGCCCCAGCCCCAGACATCATCGTTCTGGTCGATGGCGAACGAATGGTATGAGCCGGCGGTGACGTAGCGAATCTTGCGACGATACATGCCAACTTCGCGGGGAACAAGGCTTTCCAGTCGACGACGTTCAACCGTGCGATATCCGAGTTGGTCGGTTTGGCCGCAGCCCCAAGCGGACACCTTACCTTTGTTGTCGAGTGCGAGGGCATGGTTAGCGCCGCAAGCGATCTGGACGATGTTCTTGAGGTTGGGAATAAGAACAGGGGTCTCCTGGACCATAACAAGTTTGTGCCCAGGTTCGGAGAATCCGAAACCCATAACGCCTTCATTGCTCTGCGAGGTATTATTAGCAAATTCATTCCCTAACCGTCTTGGAGGTCTTGTGGCATTTGTTTACGTACTCGGAACGTTCCCCAACCATAAACTTGCCCGTTATCGGTGAGTGCGAAGCTGACGCTGTCACCCGCTGCAACTTGAACAAAATTGGTGCCTTCGGGGAAGTGCTTAGCAGAGACAGCCGTCGGGGTAGATTCACGAGGGTTCAACCCGGAATCTTCATCATCCGAGTCGGAATCTTCGGCGTCAATATCACGAAGTCCACCTTCCCAGGCAGTGTCGCGGCCCAACGCGCCTTGATCGTTGACACCCCAGGTGAGGATGCGGTTGTCATGGGTGAGCGCCACATTGTGCATTCCTCCGGATGCGACCAAGACAATGCCGATCTGGTCGGCCGGGAGGAGTGGATTCAACCGCGGGCGCTTGACATCGATCGCGTTCTTCGCAGTGCCGAGACCCAGTTCTCCAGCACTGCCTTCGCCAAAGACGAAGACGTTGAGTCGGTCGGTTGGAGCTTGGTTGATGACGGGAAGGGTTGCAGGGGCCTTGGCCTTCTTGATCGGCTTTGCGGCGGCCTTCTCCGCTGGAGCCTTGGTTTCCTTCACCTTCTTGGCTGGCGGAGCCTCTGTATCGCCGTCGGCCTTCCTCTTGCCTTTCTTCGTGGTGCCGTTGGTCATTGGCGCGTCGGCCTTAGCGCCATTCTTAGGTTTAGGATGGTCGCCGTTGACGAGCTTGTCGCCGCTTGTCGGCGCAGCTGGGCAACATTGTTAGCCGATCATATAGACATGACGCTCCTCGAAATGGCTCACCTTTCTTCGCAGTCTCGGTCGCTGCCTTTGATGCTGCCTTTGGCTTTGTTGGCTTTGCAGCCGGCTTTGCAGCCGGTTTGGCCACGCGCTTCGATCCTGTCGACGTGGAAGTGGTCGTGCTTCCAGTTCCCGTGGTTCTCATAGAGCGGGCGGCGGTCGGTTCCTTAGGAGGGGCCGCTGCGGTGATCTTGCGCTTTGCAGACGTGTTTGCTGCCGGTGTTTTGGACTTGGAGGCCGTCCCGTTGGCCTTCGCATTGGCTTTCTTGGGAGCCATGACGAAAGAACGTGATTGAGAAACGAAATAGACGAAATTGAGGAAAGGGTGGGATGCAATGAGAAAACAAACGATCCGAGGTAAAATGATGTCAGAGACGGGATGAAGTCAAAGAAGGATGTGACTGGGAATGTGAGAATGTAATAAAGAAGACGAGGTGTGCTGTTCAAGTACTGAAGATTTCGGAGTTCCAAACATTCAACACACGAATCAGCCGGACAGGTGATGCGCGTCACTTCCGGGCCAACATGACTCAATAGCGGAACAATAGCAACTGGTACTGCGTCAGTAGGCTTCCCTCGGTCATGTCAATAACAAACAGTCGAGTGTCAATAGACTTGTCAGTAGATGTAGTTGTTCCTGCGCAATACCATTTTGGTAGTGCTAGCCTCTACCGGCGCACAATAACACAATGTTCACTCTATTGTTTGGCTGTTTGGCCATTGTCACTTCAGTCTGGGCTGCCCAACCGTCCGCACCAGACCCGATCCCAGCTCCGCTCCGAGACCTGCCTTGGGGTGAGCTCAACTTCCTTCACACGACCGACACCCACGGCTGGCTCGGGGGTCATTTACAAGAGTAAGAAGAGTTCGGGTGCATTTCCTGGTTCAAGACTGATGGGTTCCCAGACCGTCCTTCAGCGCCGACTGGGGCGACTACATCTCATTCACAGAGCATCTCGACAGGAAGGCGAACGGCGACAACGTCGACCTGCTCCTCATCGATACTGGAGATCGGGTAGAAGGGAATGGACTCTATGATAGTTCAGAGCCAAAAGGTCGCTACTTGTTTGATATTTATAAACAACAGCGCATCGATTTGATATGCTCGGGCAACCATGAACTCTACAAACGGAACTCGTCCGAGAATGAGTTCAACAAGACCGTCCCGCATTATAAGGATGGCTACATCTCCTCAAACATAGATATCTACAGTCCCGAGACTGGCGAGTTGGTCCCGCTTGCGCCTCGCTTTAGAAAACTCAGAACACGCAATAAGGGCTACAACATCCTGGCGTTTGGTTTCCTATTTGACTTCACGGGCAATGCGAACAATACGGCGGTAAACACTGTCGAGGATACCATCGGGCAGAAGTGGTTTCAAGACGCTATCCGAGACGATGACCTTGACCTTATTGTCATTATCGGTCACATACCCGTCCGAAGCAAGGAGTACACTCTCCTGTTCCGGGCGATTCGATCCGTGAAGTGGGATATCCCGATTCAGTTTTTCGGCGGGCATATGCACATCCGGGACTTCAAAGTGTATGACCGCGTGTCAACCGCTATAGCGAGCGGGAGATTCATGGAGACCATCGGGTGGCTGTCGATCTCTGGGCTGCCTGATCCCGAGAAGCCGAAGGTCAAGATCAACGAGAAACAGCGAAGTATCACCGCGAGTCCGTCGTTCTCGAGGCGGTATATCGACAATAACCTGTTCTCACTCATGCACCACGCGCGGATGAGCGCATCCGACTTCCCAACCAAAAAAGGCCAAGCGGTTTCAAAACAGATCGAGCATGCTCGCCACGCGCTGAATCTCGACAAAGTTGTCGGCTGCGCCCCTCAAGACTATTACCTTTCCAAGAGGCCGTACCCGTCGAGGGAGAGCATCATCACCTGGCTTGAAGAGCTCGTCCTCCCAACCGAACTTCAAAAGTCCAAGCGAAGCACGATCGGCATCCCAGCGTTCGCCATTTTAAACACCGGTGCCATCCGATTCGATCTCTTCAAGGGCGTGTACACCCGGGACACCACTTTCTTAGTCTCTCCGTTCACCAGCGGATTCAAGTATATTCCTGACATCGAGGCCGAGACGGCTCGGAAAGTGCTACAGTTGCTCAATTCCCAGGGGCCCATCCTCGAGCAGATGGCGAAGGAGCACGGCGACCTCACCTGGCTTGCCCCACCTGAGCAAGTTGGCTGGCTGGCCCAAGAAGTGGAGGTTGGTCCAAAACTTGCAGCTGCGCGAAGCGACCAAGTTGTCTTCGGGGACGACGGTCATAAACACGACGATCTGGTGCCGGGTTATACCACCAATGATGACCATGGAGACGACGGAGATGACACGATACACCAAGCCGTCAAGTTCTACCAAATGCCAAACTGCATCATGGCCGAGGTGGGACCGAAAGATCCCAAGACTGTCGACCTGGCATACATCGACTTTGTCGAGCCGTGGGTGCTGCTGGCGTTGCGCTTCTTGGGCGTGAAAGTTCCCCCGGAGACGCCGCAGGTTTATATGGATGACAAGATCCTTGGCACCCATATAGAGGATTTTATTCGAGGTAATATAGACTGGAAACCAAAGGATGGCCGATGTTAAATTTCTTGGTCTGGACATTAAGCGTGCCTGTTTCCTTTTCGCGGCCTGTCACTGTATATCGGGAGTATAAACCTAGGTGTTAGTTGACATCCAAATTATGCTCTTGCCGCAAAGTTATCCGAGATATTTGAACTTTCATCTCGCCCCATTAATCTCACCATCTTGTACAGGTGTCGGAATCAGTTCTTCACCAACTGATGGTTAGTGACTTCCGCCCCTAAGCCATCTCGTGCATCCCACCAACTTGCCCAGTCCACTACCTTTCGCTTCAGTCGTGCCTCCTCGGCCGCAAACACCAACGCGTGGCTCCTCACAATATCATCAGGAGAACACCCGAGGTGCACGCTCTGTGCTTCTTCGACACTCATGGTTCCACTCAGAGCAGCTGATACAGCCTTAAGGAACTGCCGTATTAGGCCACTGTCCCCTCCTCCATGACCACTACCTCCGTGGGCAGGGTTATAGGTAGTGGACTTGCCCGAAGCAAAGTTGTGGACGGTGATCGTATCGCTGTCGTATTCCATCTCGCCCTCCGTGCCGTATATCCTCCCTCTCCTCTCGCAGATCTTTTCGGTCATGGCGGTCCTATGGCAAGGTCAATGGTCGATTTCGGGAGGCAGCGATGTCAGTAGTATCCACTTACATATGCATCGTCGCCGATTTGGCTGCTTTGCCCTGTTGGATAGAGCCATCACTGGACAGGACGTCGTCCCACTCGAGCACGACGGTCTGATCATCGCAGACATCATTATCCGATTCCCAGACGCAGCGTCCAAACCAGTTTCGTTTCTTCACCTCTTCCTCCGGCATATCTACCGACCAATCTTCCGCCAAAACGTCGAGAAGCTTCGTCTCCGCGACTCCTTGACCTTTCGCATAAAACGACTCAATCTCAGGGACGACGATATCCACCGGCCAATTAATATTCCCCTCTGAAAACTGTTGATCCCGGTAGATCTTCTTTGCGCTGAATTTGCAGGATGGCTCAATGGGGCATTGCAGGCAATTGGTGGCGTTCCCAGCTGCGGCGGGCTTTCTAGCACGGCGGAAGTAGTTGAGTCGACCAGTAGACGAGACGCGAGCGGGTAGATGAGGCTCTCGCGTGGACGTTGCGTCCCCGTTGTCCCGAGGTGGCGTGGAGAGTAACCAGAGCAAAAAATCAAGGTCGTGACAGGATTTTGTCAGGAGGGACGGCGCTGTTCGGTCCTCCCGTCGCCAATTGCCTCTGCAATAACGTTAGCTTTCGTCCCACGTCCCATTTATTTAGAGTGACTTCAACAAACCTAACATAGCTATGCGAAAAATGCCACCACCCTACCGGCTCCGTATGCTCGACATTCAGAACCTCTCCTATAATTTTCTGCTCCACGACTAGATCTCGCAGCATCATGTTATGCGGGCTATACCTCAGCACATGACAGATCGCGAAGACTCTCTGCTTCTCCACCTCTTCCATCTGTCGGGCCTTGATCAACGCGTGAATGTCGTTGACGTCCTTCAACCGCGTTGCCAGCGGTTTCTCGCAGAGGATGTGAACCCCCAGCGGCCAGACTGCCTGGATAACGGCGGTGTGCATCGCATCCTGCACGCAGATGAACACCGTGTTGACGACGACATCCTCATCCCCGCCTGCGTCAATTGCGCTCGTGCTCTGCCCATAGCCCTGTCTGAGCCGCCGCGCCTTCTCATACACCACCCAATCTTCCCAGCTCTTGAACGACTCGGCCTTCTTCGGACTTCTGTTTCCCCAGATGTATTTCGCCCCAAAATCATTTTTTCGCCAATCGTTGATTTCTGCGATGGCCACGATTCTCCCAAGGTTATCCTTGTCGGACACATTGGAGATCAGCTTTTTGGAGTAGGACGATCCTCGGGACCCGGCTCCGATGACCAGGATGCGGGGAGTGGTTTCAGACATGCTCAATCGCGTTGGGAAGCTGACGAATGTTTATTTGTTGCTGTTAGATGGATTGGTTTTCAGGTCCGACAATGGGTCATATACCGGATTGCTTCCACGGTCGATGTAACCGTGTCATTGAACCGGAGCTTAAAGTGTTGCCTAATACGGTAGTACCCTGCCCATGCACGACGACGGACGAGATACGAGCATATAAAGGTTGGACAGGGATTCCTATGATAGTCAGGTAGCACAGCATGTATTGAAGCTTGCATAATGCAATTCACCAGCCGGTATCTAGAGCAAATCCGAGCTATCTTCCATGACTCCTGCTGGAAGGTTCGTTTAATCGAGGAACTTTACTCAAATGCAGCCACTCAGAGTCCCAAGATGCTCGACAGAGTCCCAGGTAGGATACCTATCAGAGGCCCGCGTGTAAGTGTGACTGGCCGACCGACGGCCGATAGTACGGGGTCTACTCTTTGATAGCAGATTTAAACCACCGTCGGTCACCACTTCATATCTAATAGCCTCGCATAGCCACGAAAGTATGAGCTCTCCATGTTGGCGGCGGTAGATTCGACTTGCAATCTGCAGGTAGTGCACCTGTCCTAGATCATCTGAAATACCCCAAGTAATCCGTTGATCCATGAGGATTAGTATATCCTTCAGCCCAGTGATGACTTCGGCCACTGCGGACAACCCCTTCATCCCGGTCTCTGCTCCTGCTTTTTATTACTGAAATACGTCTGCATCTGCTCCAGCTTGCTGACGAAGAAGCACCGCTTCGCCGCACTTTTCCACACCAGCACCCCCAGCGCGTCGGCATACTTCATCGCATCCTCGTATTCCGCGAAGTCGCGGAAATCCTTCATGATGAACCCGTTAGTAGAGCTCATTCGGTCGCCTTCGATCTGCCAGAGTCGGATCTGATCGACGACGGTGGGCGGGAGGATCTGTTTGCTTTTCTGCATTTGAGGATGTGCGTGCGCGGTGAGGTAGGAGATGATTTGCTCGGCAGTGATGCCGTAGCTGATGGCGCGTTGGATGGATTGCTTGGTCAGTTTTCCGGAGACGAGGTTCGGAAAGCGGCGGGAGAGGTTGGAGAAAAGGTTGAGGATGGCGATTTGGAGGACGGAGGCGGTGTATGCGTAGAGTCGGTAGTTGGTTTCGACGATGATGTACCCCTTGCTTGCAGGCGAGTGCGAAGGCATATTAGACCCGAAGGATGAACTAGACAACAAGGCGCCAGCGTCGGAAGTCAGAGTGGTCGCGAGCCGGGTAGGGTAGAACCGGTTTGGTTCGCTCATATAAACGATACCGAGATCCGCAAGGTCGTCAAGAAAGGTTCGCTGAGTGGCGGTGAGATTCTGGGTGCGATAGTCTTGTCCAAGCTCAAGGCTTCCTAGGGTAAATAGGAAAGACAGAACATCGACGTGATCCATGTGGCGCTATATGGCATGAGCACGAATATGTAATGGCCAGAGAAACGACGTACCTCGTCAGTTCCTTCCAGATATACGATCATTAATCGCCATACTTGAGAATTTACATCCTGCAAGAGGAATGTAAAGCCTTCTTGGGAGATAACTGGATACCCTCCTTTCATCGCGACGAAATTGCCTTCTTCCAGCAGTTGCTTCGTCCCGTTCGCAATCGGGGTGTCTCCGCCGAGACCGGCGCCAGCACTTCCGACCATGTAGTAAAGGATCGCCTCCCATCTTCCTCGAGCAAATGTATCCAGAAATTGAACATCGACTGTCCTGCTGCCGGGTGTACCGCAGGGGACGCCGAAGGAGGCTTTGGTTCCTCCACCAGTCAGTGCTTGCTGGAGCGACTGTCCGAAGTTGGTGGCTAATCGGTAGGCTCGTGCCCCTTGGAGATCTGAGACCTTGAGGATGTGTAGCCGCTCAAGGATGGAGATGGCTTGTTCCTTTTCCCTAAACGCACTCCTTAGCCTTCCACATTAGAATCCTTGATGGCAATCGGGCGTACGGTTTCGCTTCCGGTCGAATCCAGCACAGGAGGTCGGCATCTCGGATAGGTGAGGTCATGTACAACATGGCCATTACGATTGTCTTAGCTGGATGTGAGCATGTTAGCACCGCACTACGAATATAAGAGCTTCGGGAGAGTGAACATGCCCGAATGGGGTAGCATTCGACGGAATACTGCAAGAGCAGTTGAGGGCTGTTGATATAGCCTAGTGAAGACCATACCAGGCAGGCTCTCGAGATATTCGAGAGCCTGCACGGAGGCCGACATGGCGAAGGAAGATATAGTTTGGTGGTGGATTTGTGTATTTCAATCTGTTCGACTCTTGGAAGTGAGGAAGCTCATGGTACCTTCAGAGTAAGGATTCCGAGCAGTCCAATCAGATGCTTCATTGACAGCGATCATGACGCGTGAAGTCGCGGTTACACGTGATTCAAATCACGTGATTCAACCTTGGCGTCCATTCACTTGGGCAGCAAATGACTGTCTTACGCAACACACCAGGCAGTGCCTTGGTCACATATCAGTCATCATGGACTCTCAAAGGAAACGAGGCAACAGCCATAAAAGAGTAGGATAGATCTCGTTATCACTTCCGGGCCACCAAAAGAGAATGTAGTTTGCAACACCAGACATGGCTGCATCTGCCTGGTCTCGTCTCCCTTTCATTTGGCTACAGTTGAGCGTAATTACCTTGTCTCTTGCCATCCCAGATCAGAGCTACGAATCAGTTCACCGTGTCCCACAATCGAACCCCGTTGCACCATCTTCTAACCCGTTCGACAACTCTTGGATTGCTAACTGGGCTGTCATCGGTGACTCCTATGCCGCCGGACTCGGAGCCGGCCAACGCCTGGATTATGGCTGCTCCCGCTACTCCGGCGGCTACCCGAGTCTAATCGCAGCAGACGACCGGTTTGGCGTCAATCCCAATCGGACGTCTCAGTTTCTCGCCTGTTCGGGGAAGACGACGTCTGACATACTGGACAAGCAGGTTCCATACGCCCACGACAACCTTGACCTTCTCCTTATATCGGCGGGCGGTAACGATGTCTTACTCGGCGATGTTTTGGATAGCTGCATCTTCCAGTGGAAGAATGGTGACACCGAGAAGTGCGAGAGAACGCTGGATAATAGCCAGAGTCTGATCGATCATGATCTCCCCAACAACCTCGATAAACTCCTAGACGCGGTCATTCCCAAATTGCAGCCGGAAGGTCGGATATATTGGCCGGGCTACGCGCAGTTCTTCGGAGAGAGTCCGTTTTGCAACAATGTCAGCTGGAGCGTATGGCCGTGGATGCCAATGACCGAGAAGCAGATGCTGACTCTCGAGCGCCGACAACTGATGAACAACATGGTGGCGCAAACGAACCTCCGGATCAAAGAAGCGATTGAGAGGGCGAACAACAAGGTCAACAAGATCGGAAAACATCAGATACCTTCACCGATCGCCTTCGTGGACTGGGACTGGACGTCCCGAATGGCCGAAGGGAGATTCTGTGAAATGGACGTGAAAGAGCCGGATCCGATGAGGAATAAACTGATGTTCTTCGAATGGAATACGTTGGACGACGGCGATGACCCGACCATCATCACTCGACCGGCTGACCCCGTGCCTGCGGATTCGTTCGAAGGCAGCATCGGCAAATGGGCGCTCGAGACCCTCGCTGAGCATCCTGACTGGCTGGAATTCGGGCCGGACGGGACGGAGCCGGTCAATTTGGACCCAAATCTCATCGAGGTTGCCATGAGGGAAAGAGAGGCGTATGCAGAGACGGGGTTGGACGGTATTATTTCTTGGTTTGTGCCGGACTCGTGGAAGAGGGTGTTTCATCCGAGGGCGTTGGGTCATAGGATCATTGCGGATATGGTGCTGCATACCATGGCGGTTGATAGAGCGAAGTGGTTGAAGATCCAACCACCGGAACCACAAGGCTACGCTAGGTTGGAGTTGAGATAGGTATCTCGGGTATCATGGAGCTCTCATGATTGTATGAAATGATAATAGGCTTCTATGGATTGCACATATTGAGGGCTGAGGGCCAGATAGGCTGGGAAATGCCTGTGAAATCGATGTGCGACTTGCGAGATACACCCATCGTTACGAAGGCCTCACCAAATGCTGCGCGTATTGTCTCGTGTTTCTGATGGGAGCATCTTACGAAACTGCAAGGCTTCAACTTCATCGCGGCTCCCAGATGCTCCTAGAGAATCACGCCAGAGACGTGAGAGAAGTGTCCCAGGTAAGTCCCAAATATTCTTGATAATACCACCATGATGATCGCGTATAGAACCCTTCGCCTTATCGCCTTCGGACACCAATGAAAATTGGTAGCGATGGATAGAGTATTCTGGATCTAACCCCATTGGTCCTAGTGTATGGGGACCGTCGAAGTTCACGTCAAAAAGTTCCAGATCCGCAACATTTTGAACGTCTTGGACTGCAACGGCCTCGCTGCCTCGTTTATCACCTTTGTCCACTTGCCGTGCTCAACACATTTGCTTCGTGTACTTATATGAGTTGGTAATTCTTCCTTTGCATTAACCTTGGTTTTACAAAACCCCTCCGCAAACCTTAATTCTTTGTGCGCTTGCCTGGTTTTCCGAAAAATCGAAACTTCAAACACCGATACGTCAATATGGCTTCCAATAGCAATGGGCCGGTTTCAGACGACCGGTTCAAGGGCATGGCACATTCGGAGGCACACTACTTCAACAGGTCAGTCTCGACGCTCCCCAGCTATATCATGGCGGTAACTAAATCCTCGCAGCTACAATCATCATGGTCCGTACAGTACCGCATCGCAACAAATATGGTCGACTCTGTTCTAACCGCAGCTTCAATATCCTTAGGCATCCACGAGGAAATGTTGGTAGGTTCAAGGAAACAACCTATGCTACGCTTCTTCCAGTCGCTAACGTTACCTGTCCGTTAGAAAGATGAGGTGCGAACGAAGTCATACCGAGATTCCATCTACCAAAACCAGCACCTGTTCAAAGACAAGATCGTTCTGGACGTCGGATGCGGCACAGCCATCCTCAGCATGTGCGCACTCCCCCCGACGCTACGCGATACAAACTCCGCAAGTGCTAACCGATCTCAGGTTCGCGGTTCGCGCTGGCGCAAAGCATGTGATCGGAGTCGACATGTCCACCATCATCGACAAAGCGAAGGAGATCGTCGCCATCAACGGCATGTCGGACAAGATCACGCTGTTGCAAGGAAAGATGGAGGAAGTGGAGCTGCCGTTCCCCAAAGTCGACATCATAATATCGGAATGGATGGGATACTTCCTTCTGTACGAGAGCATGCTTGACACCGTTCTGTATGCCCGAGACACATATCTGAACCCGGGTGGCCTCATCTTCCCCGACAAGGCAACCATATTCATGGCCGGCATCGAAGATGGCGACTACAAGGAGGAGAAGATCGGATGTAAGTAACCTCGAGCGCATATTTTTGAAGACATGCTAACACCTGACAGTCTGGGACAATGTTTGGGGATTCGACTATACCCCGATGAAGAAGACCGCCATGACCGAGCCGCTGGTCGACACGGTCGATATGAAGGCCGTCGTGACCGACCCCGTCCCCATCGTCACCCTCGACCTCTACACTGTCAAAACCTCCGACCTCGCCTTCAAAGTCCCGTACACCCTGCAGGTCCGCCGCGACGACTTCGTCCACGCCCTGATCGCCTGGTTCGACATCGAGTTCTCCGCCTGCCACAAGCCCATCAAGTTCTCCACCGGCCCGCACACCAAGTACACCCATTGGAAGCAGACGGTGTTCTACCTGGACAACGTTCTCACCGTGCAGACTGGCGAGCAGATCACCGGCGTGTTGGAGAACAAGCCAAACGAGAGGAATCCGAGGGATCTGGACATCAGTGTCAGCTACAAGCTCGGCACCGATGACCTGATGCGGATGGCGTCCGGGCAGGGCGAGTACAGGATGTAAGTGGTCTCCCCCGCTCCCCCATCTCATCCATGACTTCCCGCTGACATGTCTCCAGGTGCTGAGCGGTTGACACGGTCCTAATCTGCAAACGCATTGCATGAGTTTCGGAGTTACCACGAGTATCTGACGACGGGAAGACGATGCCTCGGGTATCTGGCTTTCATATCCTGGGTTTTCTATAGACATGAGGCATGACCGATCCCCCTTTTCGGGCCTTGGAATGTGGGCTCAACCTGACCTGTAGTACGAATGATAATTGGCCCTTTTCTGGCTGTTGCGATGCGTCCTGGCGTGAGGTGACATTTGAGATCGGTTCACCAGGCCCTTCCGCCGTCCGCCATCCACAAGCAGCGCGTGAATTGCCTGTCGGTGACACAGGCGGGTAGAGTGGCATAACACGAGGGTTGGCATCTGTCCAGACCATGGATTTATCCTATCATACTCTGCCGTCAGTCTCAACTCAGGTGCTGACTGAACGCATGCAGGAATTCCTGCCTCAGGCTCTAACTCACCGATGTGTGGCCACATCGCATGCACGTCCAATCTGTCGGTTCCTTATATCGTATGCCACGTGGTTAAGCCACCCACCCACGCTCCACTGGTGGGGGTCTAATTACCAGCAAGTTGATCTTGGCGAACCGTAGCATGTCACCACAGGAAGTGCTTCATCTGGATAGCATCTCGGTACTCTCGCAGGCACCGGAACGTTGGCGGTACTACTATTGTGAGTCGAAGAATTTCATCCCTTAGTCGTCATCGAATATGGGGATACTGCGAGGAAGACATTTGGCATCTAGCGGACGTCGAAGAACTCAAGTTTGCCATCGTCGGTTCACTCCTCGCAATCCGAGCCGGTCAACAAGCCATCGCCACTGCCATTCATCCTAATCCTGAACACGACGAGGATAGTGAAGATGAGGACGTGGACGTGGACTGGGTGTCAACGGGACCGGCTTCATTGAATAACCCCTCCGCAGATGACTTGAAACGAAAATTCCTGGATTGATTAGCGGAGGTGCTGGCACGGGAAAAGAGCTTTCCCCAGGACCGCAACCGAAAAGATGCGAAGCATGTCGCTGCTACCGGATGGATAAATCACAACGATAATCTCCCAACTACAACCGTTTTGGCAAAGAATGAAGGACTGAACAATCGCGACACCAGAATGGCAACGTGGCTCCAGTCATGGCTTCAGGCCATTTCAGTGACAGGTCGACCTTCACTAAATCAAAACTATGCACTCTGGATCGGAAACAAGACTCATGAGGGACTCCTTGAGTACTCCCGCAGTCGGTTGGGATATTACATATCCCCAATTAACCAGCTTTCTCGCTCCATGGAGATAGTCCTAGCCAATTTAGGAGACTACGCTTCCTTAGTCACGCGCCTTCAAAGTCTCTCAGCCGATTTTGAATCGGACTCGAACCCCAAAACCACAGATCAACTTCGTCAGATAGTAGACGCAGCATATCAAGTACGCTCTATCTGGGGGCAAACTACGGACGGCATCCAAGTTTCTAAGGTACTGCGGCCAATACATATGCTAGGCCGACTGCGCGCTGCATATGAATGCTTCAAAACTACGGCGCTCAGCTTTTCGGACTTCAGGAGCGTGGAGATACAACCAGTGGAGATTCCTCGTTACGTGAAGATTAACGCCATGGCTTTCCGAAAAGTGGTTCAGGACATTGCGCAGAAGGATGGAATCAACAAGCGTCTTCTCAAAACAACATCGGCGCAGAAGTACATGGACGCAAGTCAACTACATATCCATGCGGAAGTTCAGATACTGGTCGCTATAGAAGGCGACCCTAGGTGACCTCGGCGCGCGCATCGCTACCTTGGAACCAGCAGAAAGCCATGCTTGCTATGCCACACATTTTTGAACGCCTACATCAAACTCTCCATGGACGGCGACCGCTCCTCAGCCTTTACATCTCGCCCATCTTATGGGAAGATGTATCCATTGTAGACTTTGCCTCGAATCCACGCTGCGGGACGTAACGTTAATATGTCCCTGGCAACGGCGGTGATAAGGACGCGTGGTCAGATTCAGGGGAAATTGGAGCGACAAGATCTAAATCGGCGACCACCGAAAGCGGAGTCTTCTGCTGGTATTACCCAGAGCGGGACATACACCAGCGGGAGCAATCAACTGAAGAAACAGCATCTGGCAAATCAAAGAGCAGCTATGGCTACGAAGAAAACCAAGAGCATCGATAATCACTCTCCATTTGGAGCCAAAGTAAAGCTAGTGCAAGTAAAACTTCTCCTTGCTAGCGGAGAAGAGCCGAAGTTGGTTCCCATCGACTTCCATATGCTTCCAAAGAAAAGGGACCTCAGAACCTAGGAGTATGGGAGTAATTATATACCGAATTTTCATGACTATTGGGGCGCTTGCCAGTTTGATCGAGGATTCCGGGAGATCAAATCATTGGAAGGATAGTACCGGATTTACTGGAATGAGGCTGACGAGCTTCCCGAAAACGAATATGTCAAGAGTCTTATTGGTATCAAGAATATTGACTTCGCCAGACGACTTTGGTAGGGTCATGTCATCCTACCCTCAAACCTTATAAAATGGTTACACCACATCGACTGAATCTGACTGAAGTTGGCAACGGCTGAGGTGATATGAATGAGGAGATTCATGGCTTCCTCTGAATAGTTGGTGGCCCTAGTGGTCTACAAGCGGCCTTCATCAATAATTGGGTACGGGAATAATAGCTAAAATCGGAATGAACAATGCTTGCGGCAAATATTAAGACCAATCCACAGACCAGGGGCCTGACAGAGAGGCGACACGATTTGCGTTCAAACAACAGCGATGGCGGAGACCACAAACAGATAATTCCTCATACGTTAGAGAATCACAAGAATTCGCTTGTTTTGAATAACACTGCGTAGAGGCCACGCTGGCGTGCTTGGGTGCCTAAAATATCGTCGATATCAGTGTCCATCAGTGCCACGCCACATGTAAATTCTGTTGCGGATGAACTCTCTGGTATTTTAATTTGACACTCGAGACTTTTCCTTAAACCATTGTAATGTGACAAAGGCCCTGTCTTCGTGAAGAAGAGCGATCTCAGTCGCGCTAGTTTGGCCGACAACCAAGACCTTTAGGAACAAGTCTATGGAAGTACTGGGCGAACATATCGAGGGCTGCTGGAAGATATTGAAAACGCTAATATGCTACATATTTACATGGGAAGTCCGTTGCAAAGACTGACCTTCAAGTCCGAAATGTTAGGTCCCTCATAAGGGAAAGGAGGTTTAAACTTCAGTTGACAGCTGGGCACAACTATGACAAGTTCATGATGGGCCGAGGATGGATGCCAAACAGACTGGAATTACCAATGACCAGATTCAGGACAATGTCGGATCTATAATTGATGCAGCGCTGCGGTTCATCTCCCAGGCTACGATTTCTGTCTAAGACCGTTGGTAAGACTGCTATCATGTCCATTTGCCAATCCATTGCTCTCCCACGGCACGTCACGGAAGTATACCACACCTCCAGGGGTATCCGCCAGCGGGTTGCCTTCTCCCTGGCCCGCCGTACCAGCGGTATTATTGAACCCGCAATTCTCATAAAACTTCTCCTTCCCGTAGGCAGCGATCACGCTAGCGCAGATATTCTCCTCCTTCGCTCTGTCCAAGCCCCACTGCACGAGAGCGCGTCCGTGTCCCTGACCATGGTACTCAGGCGCAACTGCAAGCCACTCGAGATACCACGACTCTTCTCGAGAACCGGTCCAGGGATTGATAAAGGGGTAGGCTCGCTCGATTACGTCTTCTAGGTCGGGATGAGCAGCACGGTTGGGAAAGAAGCAGGAGGTGATGGAGGTGTAGAGGTGGGAAAGGGGTAGGATGATGCGGCCTATTTGGTTAAGAATTAGTGTCTGCTATTAGGATTTGGTTTGGCTACGAGTAGTGCAAAGATTGGAGAGCATCCAAACGGATTGTAAAGACTCGGAACGCAGGAGATTCGGAAGTAAGAGTATCGCTTGAAGACTCCAGGGCCAACAGAGCTGCAATTGATGCTCCAGAGCACTTTCGAGAAAGAGGAATGTCCAAGCCGCATCATGTTAGTTACAGCACACCCATTTTTGCCTTGCTATGGTAGCTTTCGAGCCGTGAGGCTTGGCCCTCCGGACTCGCAAGTCTCAACCCAGTGACATCCTTCGATGTTGAGTAACAGTTCGCCCTTGACGTGAGGGTAGATGGCACTCTGAAACCCAATGCATTCGAAACGGATCACACTGCGTCGATGTCGCAGTCTGGATTTGCATCCAGGTCCTGAATGCACCAGTCCAATGGACATCTATCCTAGGAAAGAATACATGGGGGAATCGCAGTCGGAAAAGAAACGGACGAGTGTCACAAAAGTTGCTGCACGAGCGACCGAATCGAGACCACATCTTGCGTAGAGGCTTGGAACGCAAGACAAGGCAGAGCACAGATGTAGAATTCTCCGGTAGGGCAATGAGGAAGCTGGGATAGCAGTGGACCTGTTTCAGGACCTACAAGGTGCTAGGAGCCAACCAGCCACCAAGAGTATGGACGCTCTCAATCTGGCATGTTGTGCTGGTTACTCTAACCTCAGACACGCAGTTTATAAAAAGGAACAAAGGGTTTCTGAAACGCGGGGCGTATCTTAACAAGTGCTGAGAACAAGGGCCGGAAAAGACGTTGAGCGCCACTGTGATAGTGGCAATATGTGAATGTGAGCCCTCACATGGGAGGAAGACGTTGAAAGAACAGGTCAATGCGCGAAGGGACAGGGCAGCTACTCGAAAACTATAGTCCAGGTCCGAAAAAATATTCTGAGGGCAAGAGTATGGCCGGAATAGATGGAAATGAGCAGACAAAGCAGTTGTGCAGCAAAACAGGACATTTTGAACCAGGTTGGAGTTCGAATATAAAGCAAAAAGCATGGAATGATATAGGAGGAAATATTGAGACACTTACGAGGATCCCACCACCTTAACCCGTATTTCTTTGCTCCCTCAGGACCCAGCCTCGCCCAATGAGCGACACCAGTAACTATCTCTTTTCCTATTTTCTCGTCGTTCACGGTTGATACAATGAAGCGATGCGTCCAATCCCACCACTCCACCTGCATCCTTCGCAGCCAGTAGAGGTCATTGTCGGCAGGGTACTTCTCTCGGTATGGGTGGATGTAATCACCAAATAATACATCTTTCCAAAATCCACGGGCGTAGACGTTGGCCAAGGTAGGTTGTTCAGAGCGACGGGCGGGGCGGAGAGAGAAGGGCGGAAGGGCGGGGCGGGGGTTGATAGAAGTAGCCATGGCTGATCGGCGAGCGAGTGTTTGGCACGTGGGAGGGAAGGACCGGTATGTGAGCGGACACCAAAGTCCAAGAACTTAGGACTGGTTGCCTGGCCTTAATAAGAGACAAAAATAATGATAGATCGTCGGGGCACCGATACGGCAATCCAAGGAATGGAAGATTAGAAGGAGATCGACTGGGCCACGAAGAAGTGGAAGAAGGGGAACGATACGGGCACAAGCCACAAGGTCTGGTTTCCTGTGCCCTAAAACAAATTACAAATCGTTTTCTTCTCCGCTGAAAGTCATGTTAGGCTGCACGTTTCGATTCTTGAGAGGATCGATGAAAACTGCCGATCAAATTCCCTTTCGTAACGGGAGGTCTAAGGAGCCGCTCTTTAGCGGGCAGGTCCGCTCCACCGTCTATCGGCGATCCGCGGCTCTGGCGAACAATGAAATCGTTCGATAGCAATTCCTTGCCAGCCTGAAGGGGGGGAAGATCGGCTGTTCGAGAAAGCTTTCGTCGTTCCAAGTCTCCGAGTTTCATGATTCGACCACCGATCCACCAAAGGCGACCGCGAGACTTGATAGGGAAGACAACCATGATCTAAGTGGGGAAGAAAAGAAATCCCACCGTCGTGGGACCCTAGCCTTTAGCGCCGGGCAGGGTACGAAATCCCACGTTCCCTGACTCGCATGCGGAATAGAACAAATGCAATTGATCATTAATGTTGATTAGAAGGGAGAACAGAGAACTGCGGTTCGGCCGAAAAGGGAGGGATATGATCCAGAATAACGGGAACAGAGTATTTTACATTGTCCCAATAACTATACTGGGAATCTTGTTAGCACATCGCAGTATCAGATTAGACAGAGGTTCCTCGTTCATCTTGTTGGGGGGTCCTCCGACATCGCCTTATTGTACTATCTCTCGCCCCAACGAAGGCTTCGTCCAGCGTACCGGGGTAATCTCGACTTTGTCGACGCAAAAAAGCTGCGACGGGCTCAAGCGCAATCGCAGAACGGCAGAAATCAGAATTGAAAATTCACACCAAGAGACTAAGAGAGGGTCACCAGGGCCCCTAGCATCACTGACAATTGTGCCATACCCCAGCAGGATTGAAATAGGAACATTCTAATAAGCGACCAGGGAGAGAGGGCTGGCACTAAGCTTGCAGGAACTAGCACTCGCCTATCCGACGTGGTGGGATGCTCCCTCCGTCCCTCGATGGGATACTCACCCGACCGCTGCAGCGAGTCAGCGAGCCAGTGGAGTGAAACTGAGGAATACTTAACCTGGGTAATAACAATAGTACCTTGGCTTGTACGGAATACCAGTACGGCAGCTATCGAGGTCAGAAAAGGAAAATGACCAGGTAGGTACCATGTCAAAAGTCGGGGCCTCAGGGGACATCATGATGATTCCGGATCCCCCGGAAGGTCGATGGAAGGGAACGCATGAACTGTTGGTGAATCTGTAGTGCTAGTGTGATCGGTCATCGAAAAGAATATTTGAAGTCTGGATCGAGCACGGAATACGCCTCGTGTGGGAGAATCAGGAGCGGCGATCTAGGAACGGGAGATGCTTGGGACGAAGAGGGTGTGAACGAACGGGCGAATATCCAAACTGCTGGGACACATGGGTGATAAAGGCTGCTGTTTGGCCGTTGTGAAACGTTGCTCCGTGGGATGGGACCTGGGGATGGCTGTTCGCATCACGCTGCTGTGTAACTTCAAATCTCTACTTTCGGGGGATTTCACGCTGTGACACTGTGACGGATTCATCTGTGACCACCGTGCCTGTCCCAAATAATATTGAAACGGCAATATTGCATTGAGTACGGAGTACGAGGACTGTGTAACATAGAACGGTCAATTATCGATATAAGGGTTTGGATATTGACAACCCAAATTTGGGATATGTACCGAAATATAATCAAAAGTCCGTGATTTCACCAACCATGGGGTGTTGTCGAACGATCGTTGGTTAATTAATTGCTCCTCACGAAATGGCCGTCTCGGCGCTCTATCTCTATCTCTATCCGGATTTGTAGCGTACAGTCGAAATCTTCAATCCATACTTTTCCACTCTTTTGATATGTGGTACACCGAGGGGTTCGCCATCCGTGTAACGCCAGTCATAGAGCCAACTAAGAGGAAGCACATGACCATCATATATACATAATACAAGTGTCCAAAAACTGTACCAGCTAGAACGCTCATCCTGTGACACCAATACGCTGAGATACAACTTGAAATCGATGGCAAGATCAGAATCCCTCATCTAGTGAGGCCGATTATATGAGACGGTCCACTGAACGTCCCGGCCTTTGTACTGCGTTAGTATCAACAAGGTTTCACACGAGACTGGATTAGAAGCCCAGGGGTAACTCACGGATGATCATCTCCTGACTATTTCCACTCGTCACGCTACTCTCCTCCCCTTCCGTTGACGCCCCCTTCCCATAAATGCTCGTCGTGGTTTGCAGTGCGTCAGTTCTCAGCCTGTCAGCGGTGCTGTCGGCGTGGCTCCGATTCAACGTCTGCTCTCGGCTTTTGTGGCCGCTGCCAGTATGCAGGGAGTTCATCTCGTAGTTTCGCGAGCCATATCCGTAGGTGAGCCCGGCGATCTCAAGCCCAAAGCCCGAGTTGAAGGACCGCATGAAGGTCTTGAGGTTGGGAATGCTGGCTGCCATAAGTGACCAGCAGAGGAGGAATTGCGTCCAGACAATGGCGGAAGATATGGTGAAACTGGGGACTGGAGAGCTGACGGTCGGAAGGAAAAAGTAGAGCTTCAAGGCGGTGAAGGCAATTACGCTATGGGCGGTCAGGGGTTTGCTACGCAGAATTGTCATAAATTGAAGGGCAGACTTACGGGATGCGTAGCCAGAACGCGAAGATGACTTGGAACCTTCGCTCCCAGCTCATTTGCAGCGGGAGAATGAGCCAGGTAGGCAAAACGAGGAGGATTATCTCAATCGCAATGTCAACTCCAATGACTAGCCGCCACCTCAAGAGCTATATTAAGGTTAGAAAACGGAACAGCGGGTAATCATGCTGGGAGACACGAACCTGTGATGGACATTTCGCATCAGTTAGATCAGTCAATAAAGACTTAGGATCGCATGCCACAGATAACGCAACGATTGAGCCGGCCCCCCACGCGATAGCTAAGGTAATGGTTATAGCAGCGACCATGGACAGCTTCTTCATGTCTCGTGTGAAGAGTCGAAGGATCAGACACAGCACCGAACATTTGGAGAGGCAGTGCGCAACAACGAACATAATATTGGAAGCGAATAGCGCCTGACAGGGAGGTTAATACCAATGGATCTTTGCATTTGTTGGATGCCAATACATACCACTCCAGCTTGCTCAACCTCGCCAGGAGGGATCAAAGATGGGACTTTGCCTAAGCCATACTTCAAGGACAAGGCGATGGCAGCTACTTGAGCGCCGTGAAAGATCTGTAATACGATGTTAGTACCGAACCGCAGACCTGGCCTTAAACGCTGAACTTACAGTTGAGGCGAAGATCGTCCAGTCATCGAAACCATACAAGCCCCATTTGATATGACCTCGCACCACCAAAGAGAGTACGGTATATACAATGAAGAGGATTGTTGCGATGTAGATATAACCAGCATGGTTGCCATCAATGATGGGTGAAAACCTCGATGGATCAGGGAACGGGGACGGATCCGGTGCAGGAATAGAGGGGTCCATCGTGCATATCCCCCGTTGAAGGAAATGTTCAGTGAGAGAATGTAGTGGAAACGAATATAGATAATGTATCGGTGAACAACTCGCGACGACGGGCTGCTGACCTGTTCAAGAAGAGGAGAGGTGGGCTATTGATGTACAATCTTCCTTGAGTCGCACACTCTCAAGGTATCACCAGATCGTCCAGGATACTGGGCAAAGTGCACCTAGCAACGACGGTGACATGAAGAAGATGTAACAGCCTTCTGATTCAACGGTCCCTGGCAGGGAATGCACAGCTCAAGCTGGTGCGATGCTTGGATTCGACCCAAGAAAACGGTACAGAACGTCGCGGAAGGAAAGATAGAGATCGCGATGAGAAGTACGAAGATAGGCACGCATGGTGGTGCGCCAGGCCCACGGGATGCATCAGAAACGCAGCAGACAGTGACGTCTATGGTATTAGGGATGATTGGTAAAATGTGCCTAAATCCCCTAACAGTCGTAAGTCCTCCAGAGGATCCTAGGAATCTGCTCACTTCAGCTGGTCCCAAGCTATTGGCACCAGCGCTCCTAAGACCTTGCTTTGATGTGATCCTGCCTAATCCTGCTTGGTGCATCCCGATATCAACCATGTTGCAGTCAGGTCGGCTTCCCGGACTTACCCAGTATTACTGCGCCAGAAGCTGCGCACGGGATGATCCTCGCTCCGGCCAGGTCTCGGTTTCTCTAGTGGAATTGTGGAAGGTATCCTTTCCCTCTACCTCCCGTCCATACAGGATCCTTAGAGTGGTAGATCACATTGCGAGAAGCAGGATAGACCATTAGCTCAATGAGAAAGGGACATCCACTGAACTAGTGAAGATATAAAGAAGAGGAATTTAGAGCTCTCGACAAGGCAGCCGGATTCCGAATTACCGAACATTGCCTGAGGTGATTCAGATGGCGGCTAGGATGTCTTCGCTTTCTGGTGATCTAAACGTTGAGAATGGTGAGTTGGTGATGCATGGTCAAGGGGCTGTGGCTTGTTGAATTTGCGAGATATCTCGGTTGACGGCGACCAAGCTTCGAGCTTGGGTACGGGTAATACCAGGTAGCACTTCGTTTGAAACCATCATCACATCATAGCCCTCAAGGATGTAAGCTTTGGGAACCCGAGTTTTGGGAACTCATATTTGTGCGACCATTTATTTTCTCGATTCATCTCAGTTCACACTCTTGTCACGTACATTCCCTGGTGGCATCAACTCGCTCTCGAGAATGTCCCCGTCTCTTCACCGTCAGTCGGTTACGTTCAGATGCGAGGGAAGCCGCGATAAGATGAAACCGAACAGAAACCCCCGGGCCAAATATAAGCATGACTAGCTATATCGAGAATCGTATGCCGGGAAGGCTGATTGGAGGGTCCTCCCCCCACGTTGACCTGAACAACGACGCGACATTATACGTGAAGCCATTCTATGTCCTTCTCGCAGTTGATTCGTACTAGCCATTGGGCTATTGGACGCCACAGTCATTACATATTACTACAATGTCGCCTCACCATAAGCTTATTTTAGTTCAATTTCTTGAATCGGAGATGCTGCATCGATTCCGTGCGGTGTTCCGTATTCACAATTCAGGAATCAGGACTCTGGTCAGGACGGAAACCAGAGCATGGGGGTAGTTCGGACGGCAGCTTTACTGGGTACATGCGGCTGTCTGTGCTACGTCGGCGGATGTCATCGGGCGCAATGATGCTCTTCCGATATCGCCATTCGCCAATTCCACGTTCCTGATTGTGGACGTTGATTGTCTACCAGCAGCCGATCGAATCACGCAACCTTCCTATAGGGCATAGGCTTATATACCTACCTTACATTTCCTAATGTCGATCCTTCTACGATGCGATCGATCGCCGGGCTCAGAAAGGCAGTGATATGCCATCTTAATGCCCGGGAGCGACTAGAAAGGTGAAGGATGACAATGCTACGATCTTGCTACTCCGTACTAGCGTATTCTACCCTATTCCGTCGACATCCCGTCGTTGCGGGCGAGTCATGGACAAACGTTTCGATTGGACGGGGGAATCGGGAAGCGCGGGAACCAATCTGGGAGGGTCGTCCCGCGGCTGTGGAACGTACCCTGTTTTCCTTTGACTAGCGCAGCCATTAGCGCAACAATTGGGCTTGGCATATCAAGGATCCTTAAGTTCTTGAACCCTCCAATTCAGTGTTACCTGTCACCCAGCCAGTCACCAGCTGCAAAACTCACCAACTTCAATTGTTCAGAACACCCTTTTCAGATTATCCCCCCTCATTCTGCCTTTTGCCACTTTGTCTGATTCAGGTAACTCTCAGTGCTGATCCATTCTCTTCTCACGAAAACAAAGTCTTTGAACGATTCAGTCACTATCTCACTAACAAAATCGCGCTGCAAACGATCGCGATGGGCATGATGCGGGTCGGTGGAGCGATATCAGACCAGATTCACTTGATCGCCTTGTGGAAGGCCAGGGGTCTCGATTTGAGGTGGGAGGTGGTTATCGGAGAGATCTGTCGAATGTGGATCGCTAGGTCGAAATGGAGCACTGCTATGGTGAGCACCCATCCTGCGTAGGCATGCAACGCCACCAAAGTCGGCAATTATTTGTTATACTATGTACAAATCTGTATCCTTCTTTACTTTTGAAAAAAAGTTATATCCTAACGGTCAGTAACTTGGCAAAATACGGAGTCTCTTCTTCCGAAACATCCGTCAAGAATTTCAAATTGCCTTCAAGAACGCCTGGAGAAAAGTTGAATAATGCAAGTGGCTTTTGTTGATAATGACCCTGACTGTCCTGCATTCCTGCAACATTAATACTGGGTAAGCATACAAACACAGCAAGGTAACCCGAACCCTGGTTCCGGGCGCAAAAGGTCCGTGTCGGGGTCAACGATGACCAGACGTCCACTTCAGAGTCCAGACTCAACAACCAGTCTCAAATCTCACTGTCTCAGAGGCTCAGGCTATTTGAGCAGCATGTAGTGAAAAACTGAAAATGTGGCGTTCCCACGCTGTGGCTTAAGTGATAGAAAGGAGCAAAATGGAGGGATGAGCCGATGAAGCGACCTTCCAGTCCCCATTGCGGTAGAAGCGGGAAAGTGTGGGTAAAGACTCTATGGGCGGGCGTGGGATGGAATCACCTAACCCCCGGCCTCTCGTGATGTGATTGGCGTTCGAGTCCCAGCACACCGACTTACATACTACGTAGAAGGGCCCGTACCCCTAATGTGGACCTGACAGGCATCCCCTGTCTAAATCCAATTGGCCAATAAGAGACGGTTAATCCCTGCCAGTTATTCCAACGTACTGCATGCCTCTATCAAAACATGAGTCTTTGCGATATGAGATTCCCTGTTCCATGTTCAATGTAATGCAGACGGGGGAGTTGGCGTTTTTCGCCTGATGGCCCGAAACTCCTGCTGGGTTTCAACCGTTCCATCCATGTGTGGTCGGGAGGGAGTTGGACTGGTTCCAGACATGCCTTGAATCTGACAATCGGTTCTGTTACGTGAGAGGATGTCTCGTCTGGAGCCTGGACCGCGAGATCAATTGTTAACGGTCCGCCGTAGGTAGGCGTGTGGCGGCCAACAGGCAAGTACCCTCTCGAATGCGGTCCGGGGAGCAGCTTTCATTCTCGATCTCCGAGTCAGTCCCTCCCTCCAGTACCGTCTTCATGGAAGCTGGGAATGGAGCTCCCTGCACATCTTGCAGACCTTCTCTCCCTTCTCCCCCGCCTTTAACTCTTAACTGTCTTTCTTCCTTCAAGGCATCAATTTTCTCTTCCTTCTTGTTGCGCTCACTCACTTGCGCATTCACTGTCAATTCTCCTAAAGCCCCCCCTCAGTTGCCTGGTGCAAGCTTTCATCATGGAGTCTGAAAAGGAAGTCATTCCTGTGGTCACGGCCGTAGACTCGGAAGTCGTCGACAATCCAAACCTACCGACCGTGAAGAAGGGAACAAAGGATGACCAACGAGACATGTTCCGTATGGGTAAAGTCCAGGAGATGAGAGTATGTGCTGTCCAGCATGGTATTACCAGCATAATACTGACAAGGCGATCAGCGTAACTTCCAACTCATCACCATATTCGGTTTCTCCATGATTCTCATGGCGACTTGGGAAGTCGCGCTCGGGTATGCATTTTCCAAGAATGATCGGCATTCTTCCACGCGGAAACCTTGTGCTGACCGGATCATCCAGTGTCTCAACCTTGGGTCTTATGAATGGTGGGACAGCAGGTATGGTATGGATGTTCTTCATCGTCTGGTGGGGTTTCATTGCCATCAACACCTCGATGGCTGAGATGGCCTCAATGTAGGTCATTATAGCTCCTAAGTCCGGATTGCAAACTCTAACAGACAATAGGGCACCAACCTCTGGTGGGCAATACCACTGGGTGTCGGAGTTCGCCCCTCGACAGCACCAGAAGTTCCTAAGTTATATGATTGGTGAGCAATACTTCCTTCAAATTATAGTAGCGATGGGTATTAACTATACCAAGGCTGGCTTTGCGTCCTCGCCTGGCAAGCATCATCGGCTGCCACGGCATTTATTGCAGGATCCCAAATCCAGGGTCTTGTGATCCTGAACTACCCTAACTACACTCCCGAGAACTGGCACGGAACGCTGATGGTTTTTGCCGTCTCTGCCTTCGCCGTCCTCTTCAACACAGTCCTCGCCAAGAAACTCCCGCTTATCGAGGGCACCATCCTCGTCATCCACATCCTCGGATTCTTCGCCATCCTTATCCCTCTTTGGGTCCTGGGTCCGCGTGGTGACCCTAAGGTTGTCTTCTCCGACTTCCAGGCCTTCACTGGGTGGTCTCCCGCCGCTGGTACGCTCGTTGGGGTCCTTCCAGCCATCCTCCCATTGCTTGGCGCCGATGCCTGCGTGCACATGTCTGAGGAGCTTCGCGATGCGTCCGCCTCTCTGCCAAAGTCCATGATCTGGACAACCGTCTCCAACGGTGCCCTTGGTTTCATTATGCTCGCCACGTTCGCCATGACGCTCGGTGACATTGAAACAGTTATCAACTCGCCAACAAAAAACGCCTTCATTGAGGTCTTCTTCAACGTCACCAAGAGCTACAAGGCCACCAACGCCATGTCTTCTCTCATAATCTTCATGCAGATCTTCTGCAATCTCTCCATCGTCGCGACCGCCTCTCGTCAGCTCTTCGCTTTCGCTCGTGACGGAGGTGTGCCGTTTGCCTCGTACTTCGCTTATGTAAGTACCTCCATATATTTCTGACTCTTCATTTCCACAAACCTGCTAACACGCCATCCTAGATTCCCCAGGGCTGGGACATCCCTGTTAACTCGGTCATCCTCTCCTTCGTCAGCACCTGCCTCCTCTCGCTCATCAACCTGGGCAGTCCAGTCGCCTTCAACTCCATTTCCTCCATCTCCACCGGTGCTCTGCTCTCCTCCTACGCCGTATCCATCGGCCTGATCGCCTTCAAGCGCATCCGGGGCGAGCCTCTCCTCCCCAGCAAGTTCACCCTCGGCAAGTTCGGGCTGCCGCTCAACATTATCAGCATCCTATTCTTGCTATTCTTGTTCCTCATGAGCTTTTTCCCGAGCTTCCCGAGCCCGGATGCTGAGACTTTCAATTGGGGCGTTTTGGTCTATGTCGTCATCGTCCTATTTTCGCTCGTATATTATTACTGGAGGGGACGTCATGTGTATGTTGGTCCCGTAGAGTACGTTAGGAAGATAGAGTAGGAGGGGTTTTATAAAACGCCTGGGAGGAAAAGTCTGCATCTCCTTAGCGAGTTTATAGATTCGCATCTGACCGCATTTCGGCATCCACTCATTTGGGAAATAGACGCTTCTGGTGGCGTCCTCCAGCAATTGACTCCGAGATCCTATGCCTATTTGAGATGTACATTTAGAAATCGCCAATGTATAGCAGCTCCTGGCTCTGTCAGTTGTGGCTTCATATCCTTTGTACCGGCGGCGAGATATCAATTGTAGAACGACACATTCAACGTTGACTAGGTAGAGGATGTTTTTAGCCCACATCTCGATAGAACCACTCTAACGTAGTATGTCCGTTGTAGCAACTTTGCCACTCTCCAAACTTCATTGGTAGTATCGTAACACAGTCGAACAGATTGGGTCCTCGGGAAAAACGGACGCGTCGGGGGTCTTTCCAGTCCGCCGTACGGTATTGGAAGAGACAGACACCTTGTGGCCTCAGGCATAATACTATGTACATCCACCAGCCCTGGTCCACGCGACTATCTCAAGTCCACTGACAATGTAGATTAGTCAGCTAATTCCCCACATAGGCCGACCGATGTTGGCCCGAAAGGTGCAGGAATCAGTCAATCAATCAATGAAGTCCACGGATACAACATGACTTTGACGTCTGGTGCAGTGGAAGCATGTTGCAAGAAGTGGAGGGACTAGACAGCAGTAAATCGAATCGCCTAGATTTGGGCCATGTGACTGTGGAAAACAGATGCTCCAGGGTGAATAACGGACTCTGTTTATGCTACATCGCCATCCTTTGCAAATATGCCCCCAGCCGACGGTCCATATTCTGTGCGACTGGTGAATACGAATTGACCACTCGGTAGAGCCAGCCTCGCACCGTGAATTATGGTTTATTGATTTTCTCGATAACTTTCTCGTATTTGGCGTGTTTTCCGCAATTGTGTTCACTTTCAGCGACCTGAGCCACTTTTGTCTGCCCTCTGAAGTTAGAGAATGACCGTCATGGCTTTGGGTGATGTGTCGACGGCTGGGCAGGGCCAGATACGGACTCGCAGCTATCAGATGGAGATGTTCGAACGAAGTATGAAGGGGAATGTCATAGTTGCAGTGAGTATTGTTGATGGTTAGTCGGGACACCGCTTACCGATTCAGATGGATACGGGGAGCGGCAAGACGCACATGTTCGGCTTCATTAGCTTTAAACCAGCTTTCGATTAACATCCTAACATAAATAGAGCATTATTACGAATCATGGCAGAGCTGGAACGGTGTGGTCCAGATAAAGTAAGTTGATATGCTCTGGTCATTGGTTCCTGGCTGATCGGAAACATCAGCTACTTTGGTTCCTTGCACCAGGAGTCGCCCTCTGCAATCAGCAGTTTAAAACCATCTCCAGCCAACTCCCGTCCGTAAGGATGAGAGTTCTTGTTGGCTCAGATAACGTTGACCGATGGAGTGAACAACGTATTTGGGACGCTGCGTTGCAAGGGGTACGAGTCGTCTTCTCGACTCATGCCGTCCTCGCAGATGCTTTGAGCCATGGATTTATAAAGATGGCACAGTTGGCTCTGCTCGTATTCGATGAAGGTACATTCAAGTTCGTATAGAGAGCTGACATCATGCTCACGATCCATAGCCCATCATTGCACGAAGCAGCATCCAGCAAACAAGATCATGAGAGACTTCTACCATCCAGCGAAGGCTTCGAAGGCCTCCAATTCTGTTCCACATATCCTTGGACTGTCTGCAAGCCCCGTGGCGAAATCAAATATCAACGACCTTGGAACAATAGAGGCGAATCTCGATGCTGTTAGTGTTACTCCTCGCATCAACCGTCAAGAGTTGCTCAAGCATGTCCATCAGCCAAAGGCCATAAAGCTGGAATACGAACATGCTTTACGGAAACTTTGTGCCTTACAGAGCCCTGCGTATTGCGCCCTCATGAAGTTGTGTGATGTATTTTCCCCTCTTGATGAGCTCGGAAAGCAGCTAGAAACATTCTCTCGGAAAGCAACGCATATATATGATGAGCTCGGGCCGTGGGGAGCTGAATACTTCATTCTAGAGTCAGTCGCAGTATTGAAGAAAGGAGGCGAGATGGATAGTTTTGGATACGCTTTCAGTTCTGGAGGTCAGGACCTCAGAGCGCATCTTCTGGCCAAGCTCGCTCCGATCGTCCACTCTAGCAAACCAGAAGACGCGACGAAGATGGATGACCTGCCCATCTCGCCAAAGGTTGAGCTTCTCATCTCGTTCCTTGCCAAGCAAGATCCCGAAGTGTGTGCCGGTCTGATCTTCGTGGAGCAGCGCGCTGTAGTTTACGTCTTGTCCCGACTCTTATCTATTCATCCACAGACAAGATCACGCTTCCGATGCGCTACGTTCGTTGGCGAATCTAGCTGGGGCAAGCGTAAACTCAAGTTGAATGAACTCGTTGATATCAAGGCGCAAAAGGAGACGCTATTAGAGTTTCGGACAGGAGTGAAAAATTTGGTCGTCGCTACGAAAGCGATGGAGGAAGGCATTGATATCAGTGCATGTAACTTGGTGGTTGGCTTTGATCCCCCCAAAACCCTGAAATCATTCATTCAGTGTCGAGGAAGAGCAAGGCATGAGGAGTCAAGCTACATAATCATGCTTGCTAAGGGCGATTCACGAGCTAAAGCGGATAAATGGGAGGCTCTCGAGGAAGAGCTCATTCGAATCTACCAGAATGAAGCCAGAATGCAGCAAGAGCTCGCTGCTATCGAGGAGATTGATGAGAAAATAGATTACAAGCTCAAAGCCCCGTCAACTGGGTGAGTTTTCAACCGTATTCAACTGCTAAAAGCTAATTCCTCGGCAGTGCGATGCTCACAGCCAATTCAATGATTGCGCATGTCCATCATTTCTGCAACCTACTTCCTAAAGAACCATATGTGGACTACAAGCCCGAGTTCACCTTCCATGAGGACACCTCGCACCTCATCACAGCTACTCTAACGCTTCCCAACGGCGTCAACGCCGCAGTGCGTACAACAGTGGGGAAGAAAGCATGGCGTACCGAGCGTGCGGCGATGAAAGATGCTGCGTTCCACGCATATGAAAAGCTCTACAAAGCAGATCTCTTGAACGAAAATCTTCTGCCTCTCCCGCACGGGTGGCATCTAACTCAACATGATCAGGAAGAGCAAGATCGTCCTGCAGTGTTGGACGTTTCTCCACAGCTGGATCCGTGGATTGACCTCGCAGAGGCGTGGCAATCCCCCGATTTCCATGAGGCGCGAATCTCGATCCTGGACCAGACCTCGAACCAGGAGTTGCGAATGGTATTGATAACTCCATCTGCGATTCCAGAGATACCAAGATTTGACCTATACTGGAATCCCCAATCTACACTTACTGCTGGCATCGCTAGTAAGGGTCGGATAGGCCGACTAGAGAAAGATCCAAGGCAACTACTTTCATTCAGGGAGGCTACGAATGCTTGTCATGCTGCTGCTAGGCGAAGCGACGTATCACACGAATACTCGGACTACATCGCGCTCTTTGCTCCAGATATGACGCAGACACAGCTCAGCACGTGGCTACCTCTATGCCGGGGGTCTAGAAACGCAATTGACGTTTATAGAACCGGCGCCGGTAACCCTGACGGGATTGTTACAGTTGCTGCGAAAGGATATGCGAGGTATATCCCCATCCGATGGATTGTTTCCTCTGCCAGTGCCTCTGAAAGTGGACCATCGGAAGAATCGATCGAGATTGATTGCCGGAGGCTCCCCAAACGCCAAAACTTTTTGTTGCCCGAGCATAACTGGAAAAGCCAGGCTATAAATCCAGGCCTGCAGGAGCGGAAAATCCGGATGTTCTCTGCTCACGAATGCACCATGGACACAATTCCCTTCGTTTACGCCCAATTCGGACTTTTCATACCTGCAATTCTGCAACATATTGAAGTGTACTCTGTGGCAGAGCGCGTTCGCACAACCGTGCTAAAATCAATTCCTTTCCAGGGCCTAGAGCACATTGTTGCTGCAATCACCGCCCCTTCGAAGCGATGGACCTCGAACTATCAGCGCCTTGAATTTATTGGAGATACGGTGCTCAAATACACTGTCTCTATCCAGCTATACACGGATCATCCTACGTGGCCAGAAGGATATCTCTCGTCGAAACGAGACTCGCTAGTCTCAAATTCGAGACTTCTGAAGGCAGCGAAGGCCAAAGGATTGGAGAGATTCATTATGACCGAGCAGTTCAAAGGCGGGAAGTTCTCTCCACTCCGTGTTTCGGAAGCACTCGATCCTATGAAGGCAAAGGAGGGCAGGACAGTGTCCACGAAAGTCATCGCGGACGTTGTAGAGGCACTTATTGGCGCTGCATATGTCGAATTTCAGCATGATGAGGCACGAAAATGTATCAACCTTTTCTTACCGGAAATCCGCGCGAAGGCCCCGATCCTGAAAAGACCAGGCGTTCCAGTTTCACCCGGATCTCATAGCCATCTCAACGAAATTGAAGCTCTCATCGGCTATTCATTCCTCGACAGGTCAATTTTACTTGAAGCTGTTACTCATCCAGCGGGCAGCACGGATGCTCACACCGAGTCGTATCAGCGGCTGGAGTACCTTGGTGACGCGGTATTGGATATGGTCGTAGTCTCTATCCTCGAAACGCACGAACCAGATCTTTCGGAATCCGAAATGACACTCTGCAAGCACGCACTTGTGAATGGCGACTTCTTAGGGTTTCTTTGTTTAGAAACTACCTTGGAACGTGACAAGATCGATATTATCGAGCACACGCGTGGCAACTTCATGGAGAATCGGAGCACAGATCGAATTCAGCTTTGCATGTACATGCGACATCGTTCAAAACAAGTCTGGGAGGCACAGGCTGCCTGCTCTGACAGGCACCTCCATCTTCGAAAGGAGATCAAGCGAGCTTTGGAGTCGGGTTCTTCATTTCCGTGGGTGCTGCTGGAAAGGTTAAGGCCAGACAAGTTCTTCTCCGATATCATTGAGAGCATCATTGGTGCCATATTTGTCGACTCCTCTGGAGACCTTGGCCTTGTTCGGCAGTTCGTCGAGAAGATCGGGCTGATGAATTACACGAACCGACTCATGAAGGAGAAAGTGGATGTTCTTCATCCCAAAACCGCTCTACATCTTATGCGGCCAAACGCAACGATTGACTTGGAAGTCAAACCGGACGAAGGGGAGACGTTGTTTTGCGAAGTCAGTGTTGGTGGCGCGAGGGTGTGTACGGTTAGGAATTGTTTGAATAAAGATGAAGCAAAAGCTGCTGGGGCTGAGCAAGCCTGCAAAATCCTGGCATCAGAGTCTATGGAAGGGATTCAGATGGCGAATGATGATGATGCCATCGCGGGGGCAGAATGAGTGGTGCAGATACGTGGGTTAGTTGGACACCAAATTTGCAGATAACCATTCGAGAGGAATACAGTACAACGTTGCGTCTCCTGCAATGCGTGGCTTTACTGCTCCCACAGCAATCCGTTCATAAATTGAAGCACTTCAATTGATCTAAGACTCCTCTATAGACGAATGCGATATGTCGCTTAGTCCGACCACCACCTATTCAATTTCATCAAGAAGTCGGAGTCGACATCGATGAAGCTCTGCCACAAATCAACCTTCTGTTCAATCTCCACGGCCTTGACTGAATGGCGACCACCGCTCTCTCCATGAACTTCCTGCAACTCTTCTCATCCTCGGCCAGGACCAAATCAATATTCCGCGTCCTGCTCCAAGTAAGGATCAAGATCGCAGCGCAATTTTTAGCCAGAGCATGATCTCTGCTTGTGCGACTTAATACACTTCACTGATAGCAAGAGCGTCCGTGGCACCACGAATGAGTCGTAGCATCCACTTCCACCGGTCTTGCGCCCCTTCCTCGAGGTCGGCTTGATGCCAACAATACTTGAATACTAAGGATGTGTTCTTAGGTGCTTAAATTAGTTGGTTGGGGAGGGAACAAACACTTCAGCCTTCGGATGTCCATCCAATCCATAAAGTCTTTCTGCATTTCAGCTTGTGTAGAAGGCAAATCCGGGGGGTCATTAAATGCCCCAACCTTTTTCATCAGAGGGTGATGACTTTCGAAACGTGTTCCTTCTCTCGTGCATTGTCAAGGTCTAGGGGCTTGCCTTCCCATGGAGCCCCTTTTATCAAAGCCTTATGCAAATGGCCGATATCCATGGCCGATATCCATGGCCATCACCTTCGAGCGCATCATGGATCCCAAACATTTCTCGTCGTCTCATGCATCCTCTCGCATCCGCTCCCAATCGTTTCATTCTGTCTTCTTCATCGGTCTCCCACTCCGACTCTTCCACGTCATCTGCGAGCAAGATGTCCTCGTAATCCTCGTCCATGTCAGCCTCCATAAACTGTTCCATCGGCATTCTACCGGTCTCGAGCTTGGTAAGCGCGTTTTGGACCCGGATAAATATTTTCGAATTTATCCCACCCTCTGCCTCGTCTGGAAAGAGGATTTGGTCTTCTTTCGCATCTGCCGCGTTATACAATCGACGTTTCTTGACCAGTTCTGCCGCTTCGGGGTGAGGGTCGAAAAGCTTGGGATTGGTGCGCATTTGCCATGTGATGACCGGCTGCCTCTCCAGATCTGGGAAGTCGTCGTCGGGACGTTTGTCCCTAACCCGGTGGGTGTTCGGATCCATTACCAATGATCTGAAAGAGGGACAAGAGTTTGTTTCTGAACATCGTCCATATCTTTGCAGCGGTATGCTTTGACCATGATGTTTTACCATATCAGCATTTGTTTAGTAGCAGTTTGGAAGAGTAGAGGAGGGTTGCCTCTAGCATCACCGATATCAGCTTCATGATGTTGTCGCCTGATGCAAGGTCCCAGAGATAGACATCGTAATGGTCGTTGAACCCCAATTCCCCCGGTCTGTACTCGTCCATCTCCTCAAAGAAGTCAAACCCCACGCTCTTCTTTTTTTCCATGTAGCTTTGGCCATCTGACCTGGGTCGGAAGCGGTTCGCATGAGCCACAACTGATCATCCAGCGGAACGATTAGGATCTTTCCCGTCTTTGCGTCCTGCACCAATAGGCAAGCGGCAAATGTCTCCACCGATAGATACTGGAGGATGTGCCGACTGGAAGGGTTGTCGCGGGGAATATGTCTGCGGATGATATTTCGGATTTCAATCCCTTGATTCTCTATTGGTCCTCCCCTCTTCCCGCCACTCTCTATGTTTGGTCAGGGCACTGGCGGGATTCAGTTCAAATTAAACAGCAAATCCCTGGACCGAGTTAGCGGATCGCCTTCCTAGAATTGTCAGAAGCGGTAATACATACAAAAGGAAGTAGAAATTCCGGTAGCCCGGATGTGAACCACTTTGTGACCCGCCTAGATGATAGGAAGTACTCCAGCATAGACAGCACTCCAGCATAGACACCATGATGACCTCGTGAAACTCGTCCCAACTGCGGTAGAGCTTGATCACTTCTCCCGATCCGCATTCCTGTTTCCTAGTCTTTGATAAACTCTCGGTAGAAGTTCGCGAAACCAAGGAATCCGCGTAGGCCTCGGAGAGTCTTTGGAGCTTCCCAATTCAAGATCGCCGTGACTTTCTCTGGATCCATAGAGATTCCCTTTCCGGCTTTAACAATGAAACCCATGTACTTGACTCGTTGGGTGTAGGACTCGCACTTCGTGATATACTGATGTCGACTTGTAGACCTACAGTCCTCAGGCGCTCTAAGACTACGCGGACTTGCTTCTTGTATTCTGCCAAGGAACCGTCCGTGCAGATCAGAATGTCGTCGATGTACACGGATACAAACCAGTCTAAAAACTCGCGTAACGTGTAATTGACGAAGCGTTGGAAAGTGCTCAGCGCTCCGGCTAGTCCAAAAGGCGTCACTAGGAACTTATAGAGTTTATAACGGGTTCAAAAGCTGTTTTCCACTCGTCTCCTTCGGCCACTCTGATCTTGTTAAAAGCTGCGATGATATCTAGTTTCGTAAACCATTTTGCTTCGCTTACTTAGCTCAGGGTTTCCTTAATCGGAGGCAACGGATAACGATCCTTCCTCGTCCTCTCGTTGAGACCTCGATAATCGAGGCAACTCGGAAGCCACCCCCTGGCTTCTTGACGAATAAGACAGGAGCCGCTACCAGAGAATGGCTGACTCGAATAAAACCTTTCTCGAGGAGCTCGGTCAAGGTTTTCCTTAGGACAAGTAACATTTCTCTCGACATAGAATAGAGCGGTCCCTATGGCGCTTCTACCTCTTTCCTATCTTAGTCCTTGAGTAGTTCGATCCGGTGGTTAACCCTAGGTCGGTAAGGGGGAAGTTTGTCTGCTTTTATTCGATCAAACACGTCTTTAAGGTCTATAAGATCCGGGGGAAGGTAATCTTCAATCTTGACTTCTTTCTTCCCTCGTAGGGCTTTCTTAATATCAGCCATTAACACTGCGAATACTCGAGTCGGTTCTCTCCTATACTTCTTTACGGCGTGCGCGAAGGACACTGATAAAATTTGCCTAATCCCTTTCGCGAAATCTCTAAGTTCGGGGGTATCTAGCTGCTTAACTAAAACCCTAGTTCGTTCGATGTATAAGGTTCATATTTCTGCGTTAGTATAGGCCGTTTATTCTTTAGCTATAGGGTGCCTAAGATTATCTGGTATTCTCCTACGATCTTGGGGATAATATAGAGGAAGATCTTCCTAGATAGCGTTCGTACTGATTAAGACCCTCTAACATCTAACGAATCTAGTATAGCATACTCCGTGTCATGGGCCCAAACCACGAAGGATTTGGTAAGCTGGTAACGCTGTTGAATTGCTAAAGAGAAAAGGAAAAGATCTCTCTCACTGTGATCTGCTATTTATTACATCTGTGAGCAAACGGTCTGTCGCATTTCGCGGGGAGGATGATTAAGCACGATCGCTGCTTAAGCTCAGTTACTGTAGAGTCATAACGCAAATTGGTATTAACGATTCCCATTTCCTTTAGAAAGGAGATCTAGCTAGTAAGCCAGATGAAGGTAACAAATACATAGGAGAAGACTGAAGAGTCCTGATTAGGCCTAGCCCAGGGGTAGGGGGGAGTGAAAGGAATGTTAAGTGGCAGTAGAAACCGACAGGGACATCTTGCGACACGGTCTACTTACATGTGTCTCTTATGCCTTAGGCCGCAAGGCCACAACACACAGACTGACAGTTGAAGCGCTAAAGACACTCTCATGCAGGGTTGTAGCCAACCTTTGCCGATGGCCAATCGGAATAATGACTGAAAGGGCTCTACACAAGGATATCGAAGATCTCACCGCCCTACGGAGTACAAGAAGCCAACTCCTTCAAGGTGACCATGCCACTTGTACCACCTTGATAACATTCAATCTCGTTTTCGAGCAAATTACAGGCATATTGTTGCACTCTCACTCCTTTTCCATTGAAGTCCTCTTTTCCAAACCATGGATATCCAATTAATGCCTGCTTCCATCGCCTCTGTGCGCGAAATGTGCGATTGTGGACGCCGCGCTTTTGCGGATGACGGGCTGCAGAATGCCATTTTCCCTCCTCATCTTCAAGATCCGGCAGACAAGAATGATAAGAACGAGTACTTGGAGCAGCGGATGAGAAAGCGCCTACAATCACCAAACTGGCAGTACGTGCTTGCCACAACTGTATCAAGTGAGGGCCATGCGCAGCTCGTTGGATTTGCTGGATGGGTTGTGCCCGTGCATGAGAACGAGTCGGAGCAAGAAAAAGCCAACAACCTCACCGGATTTGATGCCAAGCAGCGATCCCATGCAGGTGATGCTGAAGTCTATCCTAGAGGCATGGATATAGTCGCCTTCAAGCACGCGGCGGACGTGATAGAGAAGGCGAAGAAAGAGATCCTAGGAGAAGCTGAACAGCATAGAGTATGGTGTAAGTTACAATTACCCACGCTTACCGGAAAGCTTCTATTCGTGGGTGGTGGATTTGTATTAACTTGAAAAGCTCTCATGTCTTTAGCCGTGGACCCAGCGTTCAAGGGGAGAGGTATAGCGTCGAAGCTGGTGAAATGGGGAACGGACAGAGCGGACGGTGATGGACTGCCAGCCTACCTGGAGTCCACGCCGGCGGCAGTTGGCGTATATGAGAGACTTGGTTTCAAAGTGCAGAGGAGATTGAGCGTAATCAGAAACGACCAAAGCCATTTCTTCAGTGTTATGATGAGGGTTCCAGGTAGTAGTGTTGAGACGTAAGAGTCTTTAACTACAAGGTTAAGCTTTTCATACCTAAGATTACTACCACTGGGTGCCGTACATTTGCAAGAACCCAGCATCTCCAGCTGTTCAGTCTATACTAAGCCATTTTACACGAAATCATAGAGATCAGAGGCTTACCGAGTATCCTGGGCATCTCTTCCCGGTTCAACTTCGCCGACTTTCCAGTAGGCTATACCATGAATTTCGAGGTATATTCTTAAGATAGAATTAGACAATTTATCGTAATGTGGACAGAGTGAGCCTTGCTCGAAGTCTAGGTACCGATGGTATTTCTCGTCATGGAGTTTTTCTCGCAACCCAGACCCGCCAGAGATGCGCATTACTGCGGAAAAGGCATCAACTACTTCATGCCCTGTGGCCTAACTTATGATTCAGATTCCAGATTCAGACATTCGCGATCAAATGTCTATGGTTGTCGACTATCACGTCTTCTGTGTCTGCGGTAGTAAAATGCTTCGAGGGAAAATGCCGTTCTCAAAGCACAGGACCCGCCTATCCACGTTACAAGCACCCACAAACGTTTTGAAACACACCACCGTAGCCTGGTCGGCAATTTCAAGAACATGGACGGATAGGGCATCTTTATCGCCTCTTTATATCGCCGGCTGTGTCCGGACTAGGTTTCGCTGTTCCAGGGACTGATGCGAGTAACCAGTCCCTATTGCCATGTGGAATAGAATCACATCTGCTTCGACTGAATGTATCGGTGCAGCTGGACATCGTCGCTATCTGCTCCAGATGCCCCAGGAAGAACGGACCGATGACGATATCCCGTCCCAACCATATTCAGATTGGCCGGATGTTGGGGACGCTGCGTTCCAAGATTTTATCCGGGGGAGATGATTCTAGATCCTATGAGTCATGAGGCGACAGCTTGTCAGGCGTTGGAACTTGGAAAGCCCGAATTTGAAGACTCCACGCGTATCTACTAATATCTAGAATCTAGATAGGAGATGATTCGGCCCCGCAAAGGGATCCACAGCGTGGATCAAGGGGAATTCGCTAGAGGCGAGCCCAAAGGTCCGATGGTGACATCGTGAATTCTAGAATATTCTTGAATCACGACATTCGGCACGACATACTTACGAGGCAACAGGATTATTTTATCATGTGGAGCCTCAATCTATCGAAGGAATATGGAACAGGCGAACAGCCACCGGAAAAGTGGTTCATGCGGAGAGCAATATATTTAAGATTCGACCCCGTAGGAACATGGTTGTCTCCGGTTCGGAATCAGGCAAGCCGAGATCAAATCCACGCAAAAATTTCTTGTTGCAATCACGCCGGCTGTCACAGAAGATGTGAGCAATATTGGCATCTGGGGAAAGAGTCTCATGTTCATGCAGTGCTTCAGGGGTAGTCCGAGGCACAACATTAGTCTTGAGCTAATTTCGGGATTTATGGTGAGCTGACAGAGGCGGGAGTCTGACGGATACCGATGCAGTGGTGAGAAAGCGAATGCAGGAGGATATAGTCAGCGTGTCTATCGATAGATTCAATACACACCGTCGCCTCTGGTGAGATCAGTTCAGGAAACTTAAGCCAATAATACTGTGGTAGGCAACCCGAATTCCATTCCAGCGGGGTTGGACTGGACGAAAAATGCGGTCTAGGCAGGTTCGGGGAGTTAATGAGGGGCCAAGACAACCACTTACCACTCATCAGTCATCCGAAACAAAGGACTTCGTCAGAAGCAGAGTCGACACTCGAAAGGCGAAACAAAGGCTATTAGGTGGAACAGGCGAAACATATCCTCTCCATCGTGGCTGATTGGCGGTATTTGTACATTCATCTCAGCAGCTAAATTTCTAACACTGGATTGTGTGGGATGCACGACAGGATTGGCCCCAAAGGATGGAGAAGTAGAGAGGCTGAGCAGGAATGATTGCGTAACTCCAGCTACGCCAGACAGAAATACCGTGAACTGGTGAACAAAGGCGTCGGAGGGCAAGAAAGATTTCGGCTAAAATATTTCCAGTAGAAATTAAAAAGGGAATTCAATATTCATTCATCCGGGAATAATCACAGGTTAATATTGATCTCAATATCAGAAGATGAAGCAACTCAATCTGAAGTTCCTTTGGCGACACCACGGATGCACGGAGCCACGGACTGACGGACACAGTGCAACGTGCACGTGCCCAGAATCATGCTCAGGTAAGGGGAAGGGGGAAGGGGGGATGGTACAATCAGGAAGGCGGGCCGTGGGCTGATGTGGGCACTTTTATTGGCTCAGCTCTGTTCCACACGGGTTCGGCGGGCTACTTCGACCAGAGCCGCTCAGCACATAAAGGACACAGTTGCGCCTTCCCCAACTTCCTTTCGCCTTCCGTCCCCAAGCGAATCGGCCGTCTGGCCACCTGTTCTCTTTCACTCCTGTCTTCAACTCCGTCACTTATTCATCCACCCACGGATGGTGTCCTCTCTTTCACAATGGACATCCTCTCGACATCTTCGTCACTACATCTTCTATCCAACACCATCTCTAGTCCTATGACCACCGTCAAAATGGAAGATCTCGAGCAGCTGAATATGTCTACCGCATCCTCCCCCTCACCATCGCCATCCTCATGCACGTCTGACGTCAAGCCTTCCGTAAAGAAGAGGAAGTCATGGGGTCAACAACTCCCCGAGCCTAAGACCAACCTCCCACCGCGGAAACGAGCGAAGACAGAGGATGAGAAGGAACAGCGACGCATCGAGCGAGTCAAGAGAAATCGGCTCGCTGCTCACAACTCCCGGGAACGCAAGCGACTCGAGGTCGAGAAATTAGACACCGAGAAACAGAGACTCGAGAACGCTGTGGCCACCCTGCGTGAGCAGATGCGACATAAAGATGCCCTTCTCCAAGCCTATCAATCAATGCATGGGCCACTCGTCGGCGATGACTTCAAGTTCGCTCCATCCCTCACTGTCTCGGACATGGACGCGGCGTCGCCCAGTATCAACTCCCAGCACACGTCCATGTCCGTCCCATCATTATCCTCCGCCGCTCCATCGATCATCGACTCCCCCTCCACCCGGACATTCTCGCAACCCGCCACCCCGGCGACTCCCGCGCTCCCCATCGAGGCTGACTTGACACAACATTCTGCAGCAATGTTGTGCCCCGACCTGCAGTGTCAGTCAGCCTCGACGGAGGGCGCCGAGGAGCCGTCGACTCGGCCAACACCTTCGGCACCCTCACTTTCGCCGACGCACTGCGTTCAAATCATTTTGACGGTGCTGACGACCCTTCAATCCCTCTCGACATGGACTTCGATCTCTTCACTCATCCCGACACTTCCCACGACCTCTCCCTCAAAGCGACCATGGGCTCCTTCTTCACGGACGCGAGCGCCTCCCTTTTCGACAACATCCATCCCGCTTCTTCAAATCCTCTCCTTCCTCAGCCCCACGACCCCGACCATGTCTCCGCCTCCCTTTCTCCTGACGGCACTCCTGCTGCTCCGCTCCTCTCGCTCCCTGATGACCCTACTCTCGATTCCTTCTTCGACTTCACCGCTGACTCTGGCGCGCCGAACCCTGCGGCTCTCGATGCTGCGGGCTCGCTCTGCGACGGGTCCAGCGCGAACGCTGTCGAGACAGGAATCTGAGAGGGGGCTCACCAGGGCCGACGGAGTGGTGTTGGCGGGGGTGGCGCGGTGGTGGGAGCGATCACGGCACGGGGAGTCGGCGCAGTCAATTTTAAATCATGAACGGAGAACGAATCTAGGATGGGACAATCGGCGTTTAGAGCAACATGTTAAGGAGCAGGTGAGGAGGTTCGATGGACGATCGAGGAGGAGACGACGGGAGCAATTGAAGTTAAAGGGCGTCCGGGGAGTTTGGGTATCAAAATCCGAGTGATATGTATGATAGATGACGATATCCATCGTAGTAGCAGCGATCAATCCTTATGCTACTCTTCAACATCGTCCACATGCATTGAATATGGGATCGGGTTTGCTCCAAACTAATTGAAACTAGCGTATTCGTGTATCATTGAATACACATCCTGAACAAACGCATTGAAACAGGACTACCTTATCGCGGTTGTCAATACTAATTAATGTCGAGTTAAGTCATCTTGTGGTCTTCTCTCCCAGAGATTGTAGGAAATCGTGAACCATATTGGGGGTCCGTTATATTAACCTTAAATTTATGTTTTCCTCATGTTGGCGTTTGGCAGCTATTTCATTCTTATTAGTCTTAGTAGAAAAGGAGTTATTTGTCTCATCGCCTCATCGCCTCATACCGGTGGTTTTATATTAATATGAGCATAACGTAACAGTCTGGTAGACGGTGCCATGTTCGCCGGTACCTACGCTTTATTTCAGCCAGTTTTATTTCTCTTTTAGTATGGTTCACTACCAGTACCAGGGACTGTGTCAATCTCTATTTCCAGATCCAGCAGTGTGACGCGAAGCCCCTTTAGTTTTCTGGATTCATTCCAGTTCAAAGGTGGATACCTTTTCAGAAGTATGCAGCTCGCACTGAATTGACTGGTTGCTCCATGCTCGACCATCTTCGTCCTGCAATCCGCTGTTCCCCTAAAATGCCTGTTTAAATTTCCGGCTGCTCGATTTTCTTTTTCTAAGCACTCGATCCCTCCTCTGCAGCAGAACAAGTATTATATACATCTTTCGAACACCGTTTGCCATCATCCACTATAGAATACGAAATATCCGGAATAATCTAGGAATCATCATGAACCACCAGTTGCACGCAGAAAAAAGCATTTCCAAGTATTATCGTGTGTCATCGTTATAACAATGAACCAATAATTCCATGAATATGCTTCTCGCAGAATTACGGAGGCAAGTCAGCCTGGCCTCGCAGCTAACAGCATTCAGAAGAAACGTGACAAGAGGACCGGGCTGTCGCTGTCTCAGACCGAGTTCCACCACATCCGAGTGAAAGAGACTGCACAGTATCCTGATTAACAGCTACACAAAAGGCGTCAGTTGTCGCAGGCACATGACCCACAGAAGCAGACATCATCTGTTCTCGTTCGTAGCTAGCTAGTTACCATAGCTCGATCAATACATCAACATCCCCACATGGGTCTCGCAGAGAGGCCTGACGGGCGTATGAATCTCTCTCTCAATACATCGACACCCCCAGATATGACGACCGGGCTTTGCATTGATTTCACATCAGGCGGCACTACAAATCACCCAGACTACACACTAAATGAAGATATGCTTAGCAGTGCCGTCGCAAAGCAGGAGAACCCTGTTGAAAATCAGCATTTCTTGTCCAATCGAATAATCCGTTCAAGGGTAGGGCGAACCGAAGCTAGTTAGGAACAGTGGATCGTCCATGCCATCGCGTGGATTGCTGATTTTGGAAAAGGCCGCATAAGCGTTGAAGGAAGGGTGTAGGGTGGCTGCGTAGGAGAGGTAGAAGGCCGCTGTTGCATGTTAGCTCGATGATCTCAGGAAGCAAGATAAACAGCGCGACGATGGGGTTAACCAACCAAACCTACCGAACACCACGAACACAAAGGCGTTGCCGACGATCCACGGTTGAACGAGTTAGTCTTCCTGCTTCAAGAAACGCGTGGGCTACGGTTCAGACGTGCCTCGCCAATGCTGCCATCACGAGAAGCATTCCGCCAAAGAAGAAGTAGTTCCAGATGAGGGCTTCACCATGGCCCCCAGTCCCTCCCCAACCCATGAGAACGCAACTGAAAGGCGTGGGAGCCACCAGGAACCCTATCATGGCCCTATCAGCAATTATCGCGTCAGTGATCCACTGAGCCCTGGTGGTGGACTCGGACTTACAATGGCGTTGGGTTTCCGAATTTTATCCTCAGCTGGTCGTCCGCAGACATGTCTTTGTCAAGAGAGGTGCGGTCTGAGCTGGGCAGCGGTGGTGTCGGCGCCCTTTCTAGAGGGACAGGAGACCTTCCCCTGCCACCAGTGCCATCGGCTCGCAGAAACGGTCGGTTGATGCTCTTCGCCGGTAGATCAGCTGCAAAGTCCCTGATGTAGTCTGCCATCGCGGAGACTGTAAGCCTTTAGGAACTGGATTATTAAAAATATGTGCAAATAAGAAGGTAAAGCTGAAGATTTGTGAAGATATAAGAGAATGAGCGAGGGGGTAAGGGAATAGTGCAGCTGTAATAAATAGTGTGGAATGTTATGGTCCCGGGCCTGGGCCCTTGAGTATGGCTGATGCCACAGGGATGTGGCTAGTGGATGGCATGGAGGATTATCAAGGAGATAGTCATATGGGAGCTATGTGTTAGGACGGAGCTGTGTTAAGGAGCTGTGTTGAGCTGTGTTAGGATAGCAGAGAGAAGAGTTTATATCTCGCGCACATAGGCGCTGGGAGATTTCTTCCTTCTCTCTCTTCAGTTTAGATCAACGAAACTTGGTATTCGCAGATCTTGCGCATCCAGACCGTGTCATGGAATGACTAATGAATGATTTACTGTCTATTCCCCATCACAGAAGCCCATGTGTACCTACTTGATGTGCTTTCAGAGTTCGACTTATGGACATTGTGAATGGCGCCTCATATTTATATCGTACCGAACAGGATAGGCCGCTGATCCCCAGACAAGACGTAGAACCTGGACGGATAGTTTCGAGATGTGGGGTTCGGGTTGCTTTTATTAGCACAATACGTCTTACCTCCAGCCATAAATGGATCCAGAGCATGAGCGTCGCTAGGGCCATTCCTTGCGAAATTCATCCCCGGTCTTAGGATTTAATGACAGCTTTGTACACGAAAGACGGCGAGAAGACTCAGATGAAATACCTCGTGGGAGCAGGAAGGCCAAGATTCAAAGAGCATGGACAAAATGAAGAAGTAAGAGCATTCTCAAACGGGAGACGGAAGACGTGGACTGCGCGGGAAACACATCTCTTTATCGGTTGATTCGCTCCTCCTGACCCGATATACGGTGCTTCAATATCTACAGATTGTCAACGCTTCCAATGCCACATATCCAAATCTATCACACGGTCCATCGCGTAAGCTTCTCACTCATCGGTCATCAACTCATAAAACAGCAGATACACCTCCTTCTGCATCCCCAACACATCGCTAGTCTTACACTCCTTCACCTTCTCGTCGCTAATCCGCCACCATTTCGCGTCCCTCTTCTTCGCCTTCCGCTTCGCATGCGCGCTCGACAACCGCTGCGACGCGCTCCGCTGCGGCCGCTTCGCCGATTCGGGCGTCGCGGTGGCCGAGCGGCTCAAGATCGACCGTGACGTCGATGGTCTACCGGTTGCGCTGGTCTCCGACGACCCGGACTCGTCCGACACCAACTTCACCGACGGCATGTCTCGCGGGGTGGACGTCGGTGCGGGCCGTCGCAGCGCGGCGATCGATTCCCGCGACGACACGGACGAGAGAGACGGCGATTTCATCCTCTGAGGGACCGACCCGGGCGACAGCGGGCTGAGTGAGATCCCTGCGTCTTCTGCATCCTTCCCTTTCGAGGTGCCCGTCGTGTCCGAGTTCGTCGCTGGCAGCACGGCGCCGAGCTTGGGACTCTGCGCGACGCTTGGGAGCGCTGAGGAATGGGGGCTTCCGGCGTGGCTGAGGCTGGGGCTATGGGCGCGGCTATACGCGCCCTCGGCACCGAAGGTGACGGATGTACTAAAGGGGATGCTGGCGATCTGGCGGCGGAAGGATTCGTAGTGGCCACTGTTGTGGCCGCCCTTGTGGGTGACGACGGTGAGAAGGCGGTAGGTCTTAACGTCGAGGAGGGAGCCGAGGGACAGGGTTTCGGGGAAGTGGACCTTGGCGAGGTTTTTGGTGGAGGAGGCCATGCTGTAGATGGAGCGGGAGAGATGGATAGCGAGGATTTTGGGGTGGTGGGAGATTTGGGAGTGGCGTTGGATGCGGCGCTTCGGGGCGTGTTTGCGGTCGGGGAGGGGGACGTCGGGGGGTGGGTTCTCGGGGTCGGTGATGATGGCGTCGTTGAGACGGGAGATCTCTGAGGTAAGCGTGCTGTGTCGGGCGGACTCTGGATCCGTCCGCGACAGCTCGTGTTCTTTGATGGCAATCGCATGCTCTAATCGACACCGGTCGCATTTGTAGTCGTCGATGTTCTCCACTTTGAACATCCCATCGAAGCAGCGATTGAGCGTCGTAATGGAGGTTTGCGGGACGTTCAGCGTGAATATCACGAATTGCGACGCGGCGGGCTTCGGCTTGAACCCGCATGTCTGACACTCAATATGCGACTCCAGCTTCCCCTCGAACGGAAACCCGTCCTCGGCGACATCCTCAACCGTATCATCCTGCTCATTCTCCTCCGTAGCCTCTCCCTGCTTTGTTTCCCCGTCCGCCACGTCCGGATGAACCCCGATCTCCGGTACTTGTAAACCGAATCTCCGCGCCCTCGCCCTCGCCTTCCGACCCGCATGGTACTCATCGCGCAGCCTCTCCGTCACCAGCTGCAGAAACTCATGCGCATCCTGCTGCTGCCTGCTGATCCGCGACCGAAACCCATGCTCCAACGCCGCAATGAAGCCCTGCGCCGAGATCGTTTTCCGCGCGATTGGCCGTTCATTCAAATTATCCAGCACGTCCTTCAACGCATGCGTCACGATCCCCTGCCTCAGGCTTTCGAGCTTCGACAGGGTGATCTCCCGGCTCTTGAGGGTGGGTCCGGTGATCTCATCGGGCGTGGCGGAGTAGACGTCGATGCCGTCGAGCTTGCGGCGGTGGACTTCGCGGATGAGGTACTTGCGGAGGTCTGGGAGGCCGGCGAGCGCTTGGAGAATGGAGTTGATGAAGCAGTCGTTCGCGTAGTTGGTCAGGCCGACGGCGCCGCGTTTCTGGGAGCCGGGCTCTTCATGATCGAGGAAGAACGTGGGACCAAAGACGTAGACGAGCGTGATCGCAGCGAGGGACGCGCCGGCTGCATATGTAGCGATGGTAAGAGGTCGCTCCGGCATCGCCTCGATCCGCTCGCTGGGTAAAATACTCCTGTACAGATCCAACCACTACACTATAATTCTGTCATGAAGCTGTTGCGTGCTTCGGCATCTGCCTTCCCGGTAGATGCCGGATGCGCCGATGAGGATCTATGTATCAGGCGGCTTCCCGGGGTGATATCGAGTTGAAAGACAAGGTGAAAGGCGAAAGGAATAGCTGATGATGCCATCCATTACGAGGCAAGAAATCCAAATCGTCAAAGAAACGCATTATGGTTGCGATGGTATGGAGCCAGGAGGAACTCCGTGGTCCGGTAGTCGTCCCCTTACTAAGTTAGCACTTGTTACCTGTTGCCTGTTAGCAGCGATTGGTGTTTTGGTGTTGAATATTCCGTATGGTACGCCGCATTCGGCTTAGTTAAAGCTCCACTCTTGGCAGTTGGCTTCCATGTCCGTGACAATTGACAAGGTGTGAGAGATCTGAGCTCTTCAAGATTTAACCCGACATTGACCTTCACCAAATATCCGCTCAACACACGCGATTCCCGAACCACCAACTCTCAATTAAGTCCATGCCCCCATCATCATGACATCCATCCGGTCCACCAACCCCTTCCAGCGCTGCACGCGCTGCATCCACCTCCTCTCCACCACCACCACCACCTCCTCCCGCTCCCCAACTCCCACCCCCTTCCTCCCCATCACCCAAACCCGCACCAAACGCCGCTCGCGCGATGCCCAATTCGTCACCGTGAAGCTGCTGAAGCCGGTGGACGGGTTCGGTAACACGGGGACGATCCTGTCGGTGAAGCCAGGGTTCATGCGGAATATTTTGTATCCGAGACGGGCGGCGGACTATGTGCTGCGGGAGGAGGTGAAGCGGTTACGGGAGGAGGGAGTGAGGATTGCGAGGGATCATGAGTTTAATTTAGAGGGCTGGAGGGCGGTTAAGGATATAGCGGTGGAGGAGAGTGCCATAGAGAGTGAACCAGCGGAGATGAAAAAGAAGGCTTCGATTGAGCTGCTTTCGGTAGGTGGTTATCTACATTTGCGCAACGGATGGATGCTAATATGCAAACAGGCCGAACGATCCCACGAGCTCCTCACCCGATTCCTCCCCGCCCGTCTCACATTCATCCGCACGCCCATTCCCTCCACCTCCCCTTCCACCGAACCATCTCCCCCAACCGGACCCGGCACCCCGATCTACGGCTCTGTATCTACCACCGACGTCCTCGTCGCCATCATGGATGCCATCAAGCAGGACGAAGAAGCCTCGAAGGTCGTGCTGTCGCTGGACAACCTGCGCTTCGTGGACCGGGCGGCGGACGATGCGACGAAGGTGAAGCAGCTGGGGGAGTTTGTGGTGGAGGTTAATCTGAGGGGAGAAACGGAGGCGATTCGGAGGGTGGTGGTGGTGAGGAGTTCGGCGGGTGGGAAGGGAGAGACGGGACCGGTGGGTGGTTATGTTGGGAGTGAAGCATCGACGGCGGAAAAGAGGGTGGATTTGTGAAAAGCGGAAAGTCGAGCCTAGATTTCGGCGTTTGTATAGATGGTTACAAGACAGGGCGGTTTCTGACCCGTAATGGCCTTATAGAACGCCTATGTACAAGATTTTTGTATTATATTATAAGTTGCGGCATGGGCATCTATCGATCTAGATGGCACTCAAAAATTACGCAAGAGGCAAATTCTGCAACGGAGACGCGGTTCTTCATTTTGCTAAGAATACTTATCCGCCTAGTCTCCTGCGCTGCTGTGATCTGTCATCGCCGTATGAAGTCTGAAAGATCCATGATGCTATAATAAGACATGCTGGACAGCAAGTGAACGAGATCCCGACGCATCATCTGGCTATCCGCTCGTTCATCGACCCCTCCGTATCCACCGATGGCACGACGATCGTCGACCGAATAAACCAAGCAAGCAATTTTTTTTATCCATGATTCGCCCTGTTGTTGAAATTCCATGAACGGGTGGTAGGTAAACTGGCGAGTGGGGGAGTGGGGTTCGGTGAAGGTAGGGGTTCTAGATGAATAAGTCGTTGTCCTTCTCGAACGCAAGATGGACGCCTCCGAACTAGTGAAAGGGGTAGATAGAAGGGCAACGCAACGCAGCGCCAAAACAAAGATCAATGTTGGTGGTTGCAACAGCCGCTACATAAACCATCGCAACAAACGGCAAGCCATCACCTCCATCGGACGGGGCACCCAGGAGTCGCAGAGGGAGAGGCAAGAGAATCATAATCACCAGTAACGCCGCTCATATCCAGGCTCATATGCACGAGCCGGGCTCCTTGGTCGACGCCCCGGGGACGGCGGCCGGTCGTACGACGGACGCCCGTGCCCGTTCACGTATGGATCGGCATCGTAGCGTCGGGGCGGGGGCCCGCGCGGGTCGTACGCGTCGTCGGGGAACCGGCCGCGTGGAGGGTAGTCATCGACGGGCGGTCCGCGCATGCGGGGAGGGGAGCGGCCGCCGCCGTAGCGGTCCATGTAGTAGTCGCGAGGGGGCGACCGGCGGCGGTAGTCGTCGCGGCGGGGGCTGTAGCCGCGGGGTTGACGGCGGTAGTAGTCGTCTTCCCCGGGTGGGCCGCCGCCACGGCGCGGAGGGGAGCGGGATCGATGGCGTTCGCGAGGACGGTCCTGGGAGATGGTTAATGTGGACTGTGACAGGATCAGACGAGATAAACGGCACGATGCTTACGTCCACGGTGCAGCGAATGGTTACGCCTTTGAACTCGCGATTGTCCAGACCTTCGATGGCTTTGCGGAGGTCCGCGGCGGTTTCATATTCAACGGAACTGGGAGAGTTAACTCATGAAATTGAAGTGGAAAGGATTGAACTCACCCTTTGCCATCGCGGTCACGGCCTACCTCGGAGTAGACAACGTCAAGGCCAGATTGACGGGCGAAATCTTTAAGGTCCTGTGATCCTGGTGAGTCCGGTGCTATGCGCAGATGACATATCCGAGATGTTTTTCGCTCATATATCGTACACCTCCATAGGAAACGGAAACGGAATGGGGGCGGGGAAAGGAACAGTGGCCAATCCATCCAGGTTTAGGAACATTGCCGTAGCCCTCCGATCCCAGAGGAACCGAGGAGCCGAGCAAGTCAGGACTCAGCCACCCAGACAAGAGGGACAGGAACACAGGAGTGGGCAACTGGGCGACCATATCATCTCCCCACGGCGCGAGAATATCCGGAACAGCCCATTCGGAAACACATCCGAACCGGAGGAGAGGCCGGAAAAGACCGCTCCAGACGACCCAAGGAAAGGAGGAGGCGGCCAGACAGCGACCAATGAATGCGAACCAGGAACCAGAGTGTACAGTAGGAATTTAGCTAACCTGCCAGGACGTCTCGGCGGGGAGGTTCGCGATCGCCATGCGATGCGGCGTGCGACGGGGACGGGGAGCAGTACGCTCGTGAATGGCGTTTTCGTTGCGCGGCCGGGAGCCACGGGCGAATTGAACGACCAGGCGCTCGCCCATGAACTCGGAGCCATCTAGACGGTGTTAGGACCGCCATTGAGCGGCAGATCAGGTTGGAGGGCTTACGGAATGCTGTAACTTGTTAGATACGATCAAACAAGGTCGCGGCTTGGGTACTCACCAGGAACGACATCACGCGCATCCATGGGGTCCTTATACTCAATGAAGCCAAACCCATTCATGAGCTTGACCTCGACGATCTCTCCAGTTCCATGGGTCGCGAAGTGTTCTTCGAGAGTTTGCTTGGTCGCTAGAGCGGAAACAACGGATTAGCTGGGACCCTCCGGAGGCGTGGGAAAGAGATGTTCTGGCCGGGCATCCTCGCCGATCCAAACCATGTCCCCAACCATGTCGCATGGCGGCGACAGTGGCGAGGCCAGAAGCGCAGTTATCCTCCAGTTGGGTGAGGCATACCGTTCCGCGGGAGATTCCCGAGATACAGACGGGTCGCAGAGACCTGATCGGTGGCCATGTTGAAGGTGGGTGTCAAGGTAACGCAGCAAGGCCAGGAAGTGGAGGATGGAACCAAATAAGGGTCTCGGAGATGGGCCAGGAGATGGGATCTGTGTTAGAAGGCAAGCGGAGATGAAAAAGAAGGAAGTCAATTCACGAGAGATCCCCTTTGTGATGGAGATGAGTGGTGAAGAAGATGGGGGAATACCGTTGAGATGGACGCTTTGTGTTGGGCATGAGTGTCACACAAGGCTCACTCCTCTCACTTCTCTCACTTCACTTGGCTTGGGAAACGCCTCACTTTGGCGTTCACCCAATCAAATGCCGACCCAATTATTAAGGCAACAATCCCAGTTATGGCCTTGTGCCTTGTGCCAGTGCCCTCCTGCCTTGTGACAATCACTGACTCGCAATTAATGCTTTGCGATCATGCCTTGACTCGTGATTGCTGCCTTGCTTACGTTGTAGTTGGTTGCATGTCAGCATGTGAATTGTCAATTGTCAATTGTGATTTGTGAAGCCTCTGATGACATCAGCTCGCTGTTGATTGGGAGACACAGGAGTATCCCTCTTTTACCTACTCTGGATTGTTAGGAGGGGAAAACTGAAAGTTCATTTCTCGGGTCTCTTTGTTGAAAAGCAACCATCTTTGATCAACGTTGGATTTCTTAATACCGTCCGTCCGTCCCCCACAAGTCCATGACTAAAAGCCAACATCTTACGGGCCGAGCGAAAAATATGAGGGACGGCAGCTCGCCGGCCTAACGCGAAGCTTTCGCTTAACCTCGGGGCATCCCTTCTTAGCACGCCTGGCATGGGCATCCTCACCCGCACGTCATTCGTCAATCGCTCACTCATCGTTCAGAACTTCAGATATCTCCTTCAAAATCTTCAATTGCCCTTCTCCCCCTTTCTCTTCTCCTTCCCATCCGGCAGATCCCATGAACCCCCCCTCCACACCGCAATAATGTCGTCGCGCCTTGCCCTTCGCGCCGGCCGGGACCTCGCCACCCTCTCCGCGCGGACGACCAGACGATCCACCCCCTCGCTCCTCACCCGCCACATCTCAACCCGCTATGCATTCCCTGCCCTCCGCATCGCTGGCCAACGCCGAGCCTTCTCCCTCACCCCGCGCGCGCGCCTCGCCTCCTCTTCCGACGCCCCCTTCGACCCCGCGCAGTTCCAGCGCGAATCGGACCAAGTCGACGTGTGCATCGTGGGCGGCGGGCCGGCGGGGCTGAGCGCGGCGATCCGGTTGAAGCAGCTGGCGAACGAGGCGGGGAACGAGGAGTTCCGGGTGCTGCTGCTGGAGAAGGCCGGGGAGATCGGGGATCATATCGTGTCGGGGAACGTGATGGAGCCGAGCGCGGTGGATGAGCTGTTGCCGGATTGGAGGAGTCCCGACAATCCGAACGCGTTCAAGGACATCACACCGGCGAAAGAGGATCGGATGCGGTTTTTGACGAAGAAGAGGGCCATTCCGCTGCCGGCGCCGCCGCAGATGCATAACACGGGGAATTTCATTATCAGTTTGAATCAGTTTACGAAGTGGTTGGCGGAGCGCGCGGAGGAGGTTGGCGTCGAGATATACCCCGGGTTCGCGGCATCGGAGGTGCTATACAATCCGGATGGGAACGTCATGGGGGTAGCAACGAACGATCTGGGGATTGGGCGCGATGGGCAGGCGAAGGATTCGTTCGAGCGGGGCATGGAGTTCCATGCGCGAGTCACTTTGCTGGGGGAAGGGTGTCACGGCAGTCTCACGAAGCAGGTGATCAAGAAGTATGATTTACGGAGGGACAGTCAACATCAGACGTACGGGCTGGGGATCAAAGAGGTGTGGGAGATCGACCCCGCGAAGTTCGAGCCGGGCTTGATCGTGCACGGGATGGGGTATCCGCTCCCCTCCGACACCTACGGTGGAAGCTGGATGTACCACTTCGGCGACAACCTCGTCAGCATCGGGCTTGTCACCGCCCTGGACTATCCGAACCCATGGTTGGCGCCCTACGGCGAGTTCCAGAAGCTGAAGCACCACCCCCTCTTCGCCTCGACCCTCGAAGGCGGCAAATGCCTCTCGTACGGCGCGCGAGCCCTCGTCGAGGGCGGATTCCAATCAATACCGCGCTGCGCGTTCCCCGGCGGCGCGCTGATCGGCGATTCCGCCGGGTTCGTCAACGTGCCGAAGATCAAAGGCACACACACCGCAATGCGGTCAGGGATGCTGGCGGCGGAGTCGACGTTCAACGCGCTGTCGTCCGCCGACAACGGCGACGTGTTCTTGTATGAGTACGAGGACCGGCTGCGCGAGTCGTCAATCTGGAAGGAGCTGAAGGAGGTGCGCAACATGCGGCCGTCATTCCACACGCCGTTGGGCATGTACGGCGGGATCATGTACTCGGGGTTGGAGGCGTTCGTGTTGAAAGGCCGAGCGCCGTGGACGCTCAAGCACGGGACGCAGGATCATGCGGCGACGAAGACGGCGGATCAGTGCAAGAAGATCGAGTACCCCAAACCGGACGGGAAGCTGAGCTTTGATATTATGACGAGCGTGAGCCGGACGGGCACCAACCATGAAGAAGATCAGCCGGTTCATTTGCAGGTGAAAGACTGGGATAAGCATACAGCGATGGACTGGCCGAAGTACAAGGGGGTAGAAAATCGATTCTGTCCGGCGGGTGTGTATGAGTATGTTGAGGATGAGTCGAAACCACATGGTGTGCGGTTCCAGATCAACAGCCAGAAGTAAGTGCTCCTCTGCTTGATTGTCGCCTATTGTTATGCTCACAATACTGCAGCTGCGTACATTGCAAGACTTGCGACATCAAGGACCCAAGCCAAGACATCAATTGGCAAGTTCCACAAGGAGGAGAAGGCCCGAAATACTACATGACCTGAGATCGATTGCAATTTTGTAACATGTTTGAGCAGTTATGCAGGCGCGGGAATGTGAGCTTGTATTATTAGAGTACTTGCCGTGAGGTGTAAATATGGAAATGTTTGGATCATGTAACAAGCTGGCCTCAACCTGAAGACACCAATACCCAGGCCACACACAGCAGAGTACAATTAGATTAGATGGTCTCACCACCAATGGACAATGGCCACTCTCATGACGCGGCGTGCTGGAAGGGAGCTCGTGTCAAAAGTACTCCGTTGCTAAAGCCGACTGCGACTGAAACGATCATCTGACAGGTCATGATTGCCTCAGGTACTGAGGCTCCAAAGAGCTTACGACAATGGAGAGCTGAAACCGGTTCGGATGGACAACGCCTCCAACGGACAATGAAATGGCTGTGACACTGTAGTAGAAAGTAGCGGACGTCATCCAGAGGTACCTCAACGACAACGGTTGGTGGAAGCAGGGTGATGCACGAAAAGCATCGAGACTTGGAGAAGTCGACGAACCGCATCCGGGATATCAAATCGCTCAGAAACCTCCTTTAGGAATTTCCAGATTACCCGAAAAGGAGAGCGTTCGCATATTACTCCGGATTCATCTCCAGTAATTCCTCTCCAGTACGGGCCAGAATAAGGAGCGGAGCGCTTGCTGTGACGGAAGGGTACGAATAGGCGCCGGCTTCATGAACGCCAAACCTCAAACTTGCCTCGGAGTTGGTTCGTCGGACAGAGGAGCCACGATCAATCAATCCGAGCTGGATGTCCGTCAAGCGGTTACGGGTATGGAATTCAGCGCTTCGGAGTGGAGTCGAGCTTCGGAGTGAGAAACTGAGGATAGGAAGTCCGAGGAGTGAGCATCGTCACGACGGTCGTTGAGGGTGGGAATCCAGAAGACCTCGAGTTTAAGAACGCGAAAACAACGCGTCTTCCCGTGAACTGCTCAGTGACTCATTCTGCAGGTTCTTGCATCCATTGTGAAACATTTGTTTGCTGTCCATCAACCAATCTACGCTGCAAACAAAGTTGCCCAATGAGTCAGAGAGAAGGGCTGCAGATCCGGATCATTACTCGGCCCGGCCATGGCCCGGTCCACCAATCAGCACGCGTGTGCGCATGGACGATGTTGGGTCTATCAATCGACCATCCGCGTCGCGTCTACAAGCGCCCAGCCTCAACCTCGACCTTGGTATTGTCCCACCGACGATACCTGACGTCCGCTCCACCTCGAAATTGCCGCCCCGACCTATTGCATATCGCAAACGATGCCCAAAAATAAGTCATCGTCCACCAAGAGCGGCAAGCAGCGACGGTTTCATCTCAGTAACCGCCCGCTCCAGCGTGTCCCAGCCCAGAACCTCTGCGGTGCTGTCTATGTCTATCGCCATGGCCCAGCGATGCGTCGCACAGCGGGATATAGCCGCCTCTCGAAACATCCGGAAACATTGAACCCCAAATATAGAAGCGCGACGTGAACGGTCCAGCGTTGTCTGAGGCTCCACGCGCGACTGTCTGGCAGTTGATCTGGGTTTCATCGTCGTGGAACGGCGAACTTGATACTGCTTTGGGGGGGAACTCCTCGGGTGAGGTTCACGCTTGATGCCCGTTGCTGCAGGTTCGCTCCACCAATATGGATGGATACGCGTGGATCTGGTTTCAATTTCCCGGAGTTCATATTAAGCGTGTTCGCCCTTCGCATATGTGCTTCGCCTCTCGATTTTGTTCCTCAGTCTCTGTCTCTATTTCTTGCATCTTGCATATTTTCCTACACGCGTGTCTATTGCATTTGTGGCGCGGGTCTCCCCTTTCCTTGTCATATCCAACCATACCCAAGGAGCAGGCCTCCGTCCTCTAGACTAATCCTTAACCACCAAAAGAACGCGCTCAACTAAACCAGTGTGTAAGTCCAATCCATTAATGTCAGTTGGTTCAAGTCTCATTATGTCAGGCGGGCACCACCATGGGCATCTATAATATCAACACCCATGTCCGCCAGAACACCCCACCGTATGAAGGTCTCCAGTATGGCAGTGCCGTACCCTATCAGACGTGTGGGAATGTCTATCCGGACTCTTCCCCCGAATCCGTCCTTTCGCGTCATACCCATATGACCACTCCCGAGCGGTCCCCAATGCGCGTTGTCGGCCAGGCCATTCTCCCACGCATTCGCTGTCAGGATCAGGTCACGGAACCTTCGGCGCCCGGCCCAATCCGCCACAGAAAATCCGCAAGCGCAAGTTCTCACCCTTCGCTGTATCCGTACACACTTCGGCGACCGTCATCGATCCACCGTGGCACCAGCCCCCCCAACAGTGACATTGTCTCGCCTTCCTCCGCTGTGTCAACCGCTTCTCTCTTTGAGTCTGCGTTCAGCTCCGCCCTAAACTCTCCCATCTCTATCACCGGCAATCATCGACGTCGGTCGTCCCTGGCTGTCATGTCACGTGAGCCATCTCAGCAATCCTTCGCCGGTCGTCCAGGCCACTCTCGCGCTGGTTCAGCGTCAAGTGTGGACGAGGCCGTTCTGAGCCGTTACTCCTATCCGTATCGGACCGAACCCCAATATGTCACTGCGGCGACATACCCCCCCAACTCGGCCACTCATCTGCCGAGCACAAGCTTTTCCAGCCAGTACAATGCAGATATATTAGCTCCGTTCACCGATACCGCCGCGGCTGGCACGGAGGCTCCGCAGGAGTCCAATTGCCTCACCAACTACCTCACGTCTACCAATCCCACTCCCATGCTGATCTCCCGCGCGACGCGGAACGACATTGGAGCGAAGCACTTCTGGTTCGACGTGCGCAATCTCCGGCGTTGGGATGGCTTCTGTGTCCAGACCATCATGGACCTCCCCACCATCCCCGGCCTTCTCGCCATCTCACTGAATGCCGACGAATACTTCCCTCTCCCTCCCCGCACCAACCCCACGCCAGAAACCGAGTCGGCGCTCGTGGATATCTGGAAGAACACGCTCGCCTTCAAAGTCAACGCGGGCCTGAAGCTCTGCAACAACAATCTCCGCATGCATGCCGTCTCCAACCCCACATCCGGCGCCGTCAATCGCCCGGATTTCGTCTCCAATGCCCCGGGTGACATCGAAAAGACTTTCCGTGGCCACACCCGCGGCCGCGTCATTGGAATCGCCAAGAGCTACGAGGAGTGGAATACCAGCCTGCGCACCGGCAACGCCAACGACCAATGCAAATATCTCAAAGGCCTTGCCCATCTCCACTACCTCCTGCGCGAGAACGGCTGCCGATACGGCTTCATCATCACCGAGATCGAGCTCATCTGCGTCCGTGCCGGCGGCCCCGCGAACAACATCCCCACCGACTTATCTGCGTCCACCAACAACGCCGCGGCCACCGGCGCTGAGGATCCGAACAACTGGCCGATCTACGGCTGGCTCGAGCTCGCCGCGCCGATCAAGCTCGCCACGTCCCACGAGCCGACGGACGTTACCGACGCCGGTGCGCACCCCCCGATGACGGCCGCGTTGGCACTGTGGTTCCTCAACATGCTCGCCGCGGACCTCGTGCTGCCCGGCCAGCCGTCCTGGCGCATGGAGGTCGGGGGGCCGGCGGCGTGCTCGCGGAATCGGTGCGAGCCGCGCGACGAGTGGATGCCGAAGGTGTTCACGCAGTTTGAGAAGCGGGCGGCGAAGAAGGCGAGAAAGTGGGTGTTTCCTGATGAGCCGTTTCAGAGAGGCGAGGCGAAGCGGGAGAAGTAGGCCGATGAAACTGAAGGGAGTCGAGAGGTGCACTCCATGCTAGGAGTCGAGGGTAGATGGGAGGCTATCAATCCGTCTGGAACGGACTTGTCGAGCTACGATGGCTCTTGCATTGGAAGGCGTTTGATGTGCATTGATTTGCATTAGTCTGTTGGCCGAGCTCAGTAATGGGGCTTTCATGCCGCCGAGAAACATTAATACCATAACCACACAGTAGTGTCTTCCAATGATCACCTCGATACAGCATCGTGGAGCAATTTGTACGAAATCGCCCATCACGTGAGTTCCTGATGCGAGTCGTCGCGAGTCGTCGCGTCAGGTCGCGTCAGGTCGTGTCCGCTAGCCGTTTTAGGAAAAAACCAAGCGTAAGGCACTGGAACTTCCTCCTGTGACCTAATCACTTGCACTTTGTCTCCATCCCGATTCATTTACACGTCAATATTGTATTAATTTCCGACCTATTGCCCACACTATTCAGAGCTTCTATACCAATTGCCGTGTATCCTAACTTCTTACTCCGGAAGGCTAGTTACCGACTCTCAATTGCGCTGCGTTAGTCTACCTCCTACAAATCGGTGTTCAAGTCACTAATTCAACTTGACACCCTCTTAGGCATCACAACCCACAACCCAAGCAGCATCATGTCTGGCCTCACCGATTACCTCACACAGTCGGACACCAAACGTACAGTACACAATCAACCCTGATTGTCCCTGCGGCTAAAGCAACCTAGGCAAGGCGGACGAAGAGGATGTCTCCCCCGCCACCAAAAAGGCTCGCACCAGCGACAAGCCCAAGACGCTCCGTCAGCTCCAATCCATGCCGCTCGACGACCTGGCCGAATACGCCTTTTCGCTCCAGGAACAGCTCGCTGCCCGGCCACCCGCTCCCCCGCCTCTGAGCGATGAGGAGTTGGAAGCGAAGGCGGTACAGCTCATCGACATCTGCAGGCGGGAGATCAAGAAGCAAATGAAATGGCAGCCGAGTTGCAAGCGGGGGACGACGAAGTGGAGTTACCAGGGGATGGTGCCGAATGAGGATGTATTCTACCGCATGGTGCGGATCGAGAAGGGGAATAAGGGGTGGAAGAAGAAGCAGATGCCGATGGCTGACTTTCGGAGGCGGTTTGGGCATGTGGAAGCGAGTGTAAGTGAATGGATGGTCGTTAGATACCAGAAGCCGTGGCTGACACCAACACTAGATTCGATATGGAACCTTGATGATTACTGGAGACCATGTCAACGTGCAGTGGGATCCTGAGGAGAAGACATTCAAGCTTAGCGGGACTTATGGCTTATAGGCATACGTCTATTATCGATCACTAAGGAGATCATCCGGCAAAGGCTGCGATAGTTGGGAGACTCCTTCGGATGACGTTGACAGTGGCACAAGACGAATAGGGACGAGTGTATCATTATTACGTAGAGTTTCTCTCTGTCGATACTGTAATCATATTTAAGAGGGTCGGTTTGAGCCGCTCCTGATTACTCTAAATATAGGTAGTATAAGGATAGCAATCTGATATTGACGTCAACCTGTGCGAGCAGGGAATTGGATATAAAACTGTAGGAAAACTAAAGCAGAAGAGCAGTAAGTGTACACTTGTCATGCTGGAATGTCCATTACCACGAAAAGCCTTCAGTGTGAAGGTAAACCTCGGAAGCTCCACGACCAGCAAGCACCCGAGTCTGTGCCAAAGATGCCGCCTCACGGACGTCATGCGTCATACTATCAGGGCCACAGACAGCAATTGCAACACTCTCTCCAGCATTTGCTGTCCACTCTTCCAAAAGACCACTCAAATGGGGTCTGCCTTGGGAAACCTGCAACCACTCCCCGCGAGACTTCGTAGAGGAAACCTTGACATCAATATTCTTTTCATCCAACGATGGTGTTCCGGAGCTTCCGTTTCTGGAGTCGCCAGTAAGATGGATGGCCACGCTTAGCGCTTCGGCACCAGGATACCGCTCATGAAGACGGCCAATTTCTTCCACGAACCACTCGCGCACCTCTGGCTTACGCGCCGCGAGAACAACTTGAATCAGCGTCTTCTTGGCATCTCTTCCCTTCTGGCGCGCCAGAATATCTTCGACGAGTGGAAGAGTAAACCCGGCGCCTGAGCCGCCAGCGATGATCACGGCTCGGTCGAATTGAGCGAACGATTTCAGCGCGATGCCGCCAAACGGCCCTTCAAGCATAACTGGAATAGAAATTCCCGGCGATTTCTGAGCAATGGCTGCCAACCGTCCGGTAACGCCCCGGGCAGATTCAATGTAAAAGACCGCTTCGCAGGGACTGGTCCCGTCCTTTGAAGGGGGCAAAGAGCAGATGGTGAAGGGGTGGGAGGTCAGTGATTGAAGACCAAGGTGACGGAAGCTAATGAATCGGACGAAGAAGTGCTGGCCTGGGTGCCAGGAAAGGCGGAGTGCAGCTCTGGTTGCGGCACCACCCGATCGCAAGGGGACGACAGCCTTAATCATGCCGCTTGGAAGGGGGGTGAGGACAGCTTTATGGGAGAAGCCGTATAAGAAGAGAGACTTGAGCTGTGAGTACCAGAGCCCACTGAGGTAGACAGCTCCGGCAGCAATGAAGTAATCCCTAGATGACCGTCAGTCCCAAATCTTTGTAGGTATCAAGTCCAACTTACACAGAGGTAAGCGTGAAACTGCAGTGGATAAAAAAAAAGACAATAAACACAACTGCGGCAAGGATATGCGTAGCTTTGAAGAACTCGTAGAATCGTTTCCGCAGCGGAGCCCAAGAGAAGAACGTCAGATAGGCCTGGGGAATTAGAGCCGCGACGCCGGTCCAGTAATAGAGGTTTGCAGTCCATTGAGCTCCCAGGTCGCCTTGTGAACGTCGATAAATGATGAAGGGGAACGTATGGATCAGGGCCAAGACAAGCATTGCCCACGCAGAGTACTGATGGAAGACTTGGAGCTTCTCATGCGGTACTCCAGTCGCGAGTGTAATCCAGTTGGACTTTGATGCCAGTGCTCTGTACCAGTTAGTCGGTTCTCATTTGGAAGGCTACGATAGGCTCACAAGTTGAACGGTAGAATAGCCAAAGCCATCCAGCCCGTTCTAGTAGCGATGGGTGGGGAGTTGCCAAAGGACTTAGTTCCATGGTTGGGCCAATAGTATGGCTTTGGTCCTAGAGTCAGGATGAACAGGTAAACAATGGCGGTGGCAGTGAGGAGCAAGACTCCAAGGCTCGGAGTAAGCCATCTGATGGCTCGGAAGTTGTATCCCTTGTACGAGAGATATCGGAAGCCTGCTATTACTTTGGATAGCGGCCCTTTGGCGCGGCTTTTCGGAGAGGAGGATCGAGAGAGCAAATGTATCAAGGTAAAGACGCCTATTGTCGCAAGGGCAAACCAGAGCGGCGCGCGAGCATAAACCAAATCGCTGATATACCTATGGTACTTTCAGTTAGTTTCAATGATTCGGGATACAAATAGAACAAACCTGAACCCCTGCTAAGGCCGGTTGCTTACCAGTATCTCCAATTTCCTCTACTCCATGCGCATTCCTCTGCGGTAAGAACCTCCCTACAAGTGGCAGTGCGGGAGGAATGCCATTCTAGCGGATAGTCAAAAAATGGTAGTCCTTTGGGCTTCTCGGCCTCCCCTCCGGACATGGAACCGTGATTCATTTTGGTGGTTGATGTGCCCGCTGTTTAGTCAGGGATAAGAAGTAAATTTTGGTGTTACTGCAGCACGAAGAGTATGGGAGAAAGGTTGTCGGGGGTTCATATAAGGTTGCTAAGCTTGAGTCTTTGCTCCCAGTGCCACGTGAACCTGATCAATGGCCCGGAATCCCTTAATTTCGCCATCACTATGGTTCGTCACGGCTCGTTCTCCGCCTCGGCGTGACTGATTTTCGTGGGGATGGTTCTGGTTTCAGGACCGAGAATTGCTGGCCGTTAGATATAACAGCGAGCATTTGAGCAAGTTTATATATTGGCCCCTGCACTTCAAATGCTCCCCTAGCATCCAAATTAATTGTGATGGTTTGACTGGCTATTTTCCATGCACCATGGATTTTAGCACTGTTCTAACTTAAACTGTCTCAACTAGTTAGGTCACTAGCGATTGTGATGGCGGACACTAAATAAATTGAGCGGGGATATGACCCTAATGAGTAACAATCATCTGCCTTTGCCGCCTTGCCCTCTGCATATTAGAGACGAGTGGCTAGTAGACGAAGCAGACGAGAATGCCCGGATTAACGAAGAAGATGAAAACTGGAAAAGCAAAACTTGTGAAAGAGCACGAACATTGTGTTATGGTTCCAGGCCTGTGGCCTGTCTCCTGTATGATAGTCACGTGACTAAGTCAACTGTCGAAGTCTTAGACATCGCGCACGCGTCGTAGATAGCTCTTCTTCTTTTAGCTTTGCAATAAATGAAAGTGGTTCTCGTAACTTCTGCGATCAAACCGTCTCACATTGGGCGTTAGAAGATTGGAAAAACGTGGTTTGGAGTGAGGAGACGGCGATCGTATTACTTCATAATAGAGGTAGTTATCGGATATGGAGCACGAAAGACAAGGCGTTTTCAAGGAGCTATACCCGGGAGCCGCGGAAAGGATATACAGAATCTATGTTCTGGACCTGCTTTTCGTACGATAAGAAATATCTGTTCCATTGCTGGAGGGCGGAAACGAAAAAGGAGAAAATTGACGCGGAAAGAGTATTAGAAGAGGTGAACGAATTGCTTGAAACTATTTATTGAGAACAGTGAGCTTGAAACAGGTATTGCGAGGATGAAACCCATTATGTAGAGCGACGAGTATATGTATTTGGAGTACAGCGACTTCTTTGACGTAGGAATTCCTCAGAACCAAATGCTATCGAGCCATGCTAGCCATAGATGAAGAGAGTGAAAATAAGGAAACGTATTCCAAAAAATAGGCAGAAGTTGTTAAAGCCTAGCAAACTTGTTAGGAAGACCTGCCGAAGGAGAAGATCCAGGCTTGGATAGCGCGGATTCCACTACATAGTAGATAAACAATTGAGCTAGAACGAGAGAACGAGGATAAGAAGGTAAAGATTGAGATAACGCAAATTTCCTAATTTGAAATAGATCGGAAACACTCGCTGGTCTGGTCGAGCATTACAAACGGTATCACACTGCCGCTTACCAGGGCAAGCAGCTCGCAGAATGCATACGCGGATTTTCTGATAGACTCTGATCAAGACTCCAGTCTCGACAGCATTGGAGTTGAGACCACGGAGCCACACATCCAGGGAGCACATGTCGGTCCTCAGGCTAGGATGCATGGTAGGAGTATGTTATGCAAATAAAAACTCATCGTATAATCGGGTGATCACGCGGGGGGTTGAATTAGATTGACCTACTAATCTTCACTAGCATCACGCAAACCACGATTCTCATCAAGATAGACCTAAGCCTTCTTTCGTATAAGCTAACACTTCTAAAGCACTCGAATTCATAAAATTTTGGCGGAGCAATGCTGAAGGTGTGTAGATGTTCACTGTTCCGATTCTGTTCAGCCAGTCCAACCCATCAACCCTCTTTCAGCGGCTTGGCGCCTTGGCCCCAATTAGCCCTTCTGCGACGCCGCTTACCCGATTTACCTTTTCCGTGTTACCCTAACTCCAAAAGAAAAGCTGCATCCCTCCTTGTGATGCCAATGCTTCCGGCTCCTACGCGCCCTCAAATCCAGCTCAAGACCCACGGTTATACCAATTCCGCGGCGTCATATCTACCTGCTTTCTTATCTTGTTTCTTCTCTCCTGAGAACTTCATACCCATCAATCGCATGATGAACGAGCCCTTGCGTTTGCCTATAGCCGCCGGTTCCGCTTCGATAGTGCAAGAATAACTCTCGGAAGATCCGCTGCTGGTGTCCGTGCAAGGAGGGGGCAGGAAGTATGGGCAATCTCCTCCAATGTACAAAGCAAGATCTGGCATCTTGTGCATCTTGGCATACTGCACTTGGAAGGTCTGTTTGGAGTTAGTTTTCTGGTTCAACGTGTGCCTTTGGGGCACCCTGGGACCCTGATGACAAGTGACTTACTTTGAGACTGCCCAGCGCTTCCTGTGTTCTGCACTGACTCTGCAACTTATCAAAGATCCGCTGCGCATGGAGCTCCTCTGGCGGCTTGGTGTTCCGTCGACAGCGATCGGACGGGGAGAAGATGTGGTGATCACCTAAGTCCTCTGGCCGTCCTGGACAATATTCGAGGGTTTCGTTGAGGATGATATCGCTTTGGGCAGCAAAACGGCCCGCCCAATAAGACCGCGGTTGCGGTTCCTCGACCTCTTTCATATTCGAGTGCGGTGGCGGTGTATGAAAGCAGGACATGCTCCTTAAGGGGGGCTGTCGTCGCGGGCCTTCATGGTCGTGACTCACATCTCCCGGCTTTCTGCCTGATGATGACTGAATACTCGTCCTTGTAGGTGAGTGTTCGATTCCTAGCCTCTTTCGGACTTCCGCTATTTCGGTGAACTTGGATGAAGCAGAGCGGAGATTCACCGCCGTTGCTGGGGTCCGTGGAAGTAGATCCGGAACTGACTGCTGCCGCAAACTCGGTGAAGGAAGAGATGGATTCAATGGCCGCATCAATTGTCGATGCTGAATTGTCTCGCAGAACGACTTGGTTTGTGGAAGCCGTAGAGGCTCACCCCATTCCACGGGAATCGCGGGCGATGGCGTCGGGATTCGACTGGCAACCGATCTCCTGGCCGGCGTTGATCCAATTCCCATATTGCTGACATTGCTCGACTCATTTCGAACGTCTGCCCTGCTTTCGGATGCCTCGGCGATGGATTGAAGTGCCGACTGTGGAAGCTCCTTCCGTCGAATCTCGTGTCGCCCTGTTGCCAGTTCATTAGGAATGCTGCTGGTAATCGGTTCGCGCGGAACGCTCTCGATGTTCACGGTCGTCGTCGCTAGTATCGTAGCCTGGCTTCTACTGGAACGGAAGTTCTCCTTGCCTTGTGACTTGTTGATGCCCTGGAGCGGAGCATTTAGGACCGGCGCATGCAGATTGGGTTGCGTGATAGACCTGGGTGTCTGCGAGGTGGTGAAGTGGCTGAACGACTCATCTCGGCGTCTGCTGCGCAGGTTCTCTTTGTTGACAGGTGATGGAATGCGAGATCGTGGCAGAAATGTTGTGCTGGTCGATGATGGAAGCCCCTTGTTGCTCTCATTAGTCTCCTTCTTCAGGACGAGATTCCCGGTTGTAATTCTTCGAGGCAGAAAACCGCGCTTTAGTCGCTGGTCTGTACCGGTATGAGATCTCGCGAGCTGTTCGCCATGCACTGACGTGGTTGGTGTGAGTTGACTATCGTCCGAGCTATCGGATGCCTTCCGATTCTCTCCTGACTTCGAGGGCCGCTTCTTGTGCAGTGCTCGGTTCGCTAAGGGTCGCAAAGAGTTGGAAAAGTTCGTGATCGACTCCAACCGTTGAAGTGTTTTGCTTTGTGTGTTGTTTTTGGGTTTACGGGTGGCGATCAGCGGACGAGGATTGCCGGTAGAACTAGCTACTTGATGCATGGTGACTTTGAGTTCCAAAAAGCAGTGATTGAAATTTTGAAGAAAGACTGTGACGAACTATCGACAGAGGCAAGCCGTCATGAGGAGTGTTTATCTGTACATTTACTGGAGTGGGATGAAATTGGGGTGACGGCGAGTGTGAATGTGAATCTGGAAGCTCCGCATAGGTAAATAAACAACACAAGATCGCACCTGCTAGGCTGGCCACCAGGTGAATCTTGAAGTCCAAAGGTTCACTAGTAAGCAAATCAAAGGCATGAGTTTAAAATCAGCATTGCAGTGGAATCCATCAGTTGCAGCGTGGGCGATATCAGCTGTGACCCCTTAAAACCTAGCCAGGGAGCGATGAGCAGAGAGGACCTTTACGGTCGAAGAATTCTACCGTTAGTTTTACAACCAAGACGATCGCAGAAACCGACGTCATTTTGGACGTGAATATGCTGTGTTGCATGTCGATCGAAATGGTAGCCATTGACCTGGTTTATTGCTTGGTCGCGTACCGTCGAGCAGAACCGTGGATGAAGAACCCGAGATACCCCTATTTGATGACAAGTTCGAGGCCAGATAGCCCAGTCCGGAATTAGCCACGCACATTGAGTCGTCTCAAAGTTCCGCTGTAAGATTTGATCGATACTTATCTAAGGGCGGAACTTGTTACATTACATGCCATATTGATGACACTAATGTCCTTTGTTCCGAAGCCATCGATCTTCGCCAGTGATGATACAATCCTCCCAGAGATCCAAACAACGCCCCAAAGCTCATTATCTCTTTCCGTTACTCCTCATCCGAGTCATCGATCACAAAGCCCGCCCGCATGCGAGGAGCTGGTGCGCGTTTGACTGGCACGTCATCCTCACTATCACTTTGAGCATTGTTGCCATTCAGTGCAGAGGTCTCTGTTTGCTTGACTGCTGCCGGTTCTTCATCAACATCGCTCATCTCCACGTCGCCGGTATTTCGCTCAACATGATGCTGTGAAGATATTGGAGTTTCATCGTCCGATTCGTCGCTGGAATGATCGCTCGAAATGAGGATCTGGTCCGTTGGTCGTGGAGAGGTCGATCTCGAGGTCCGCAAGGGACTCGCATCGGAGAGCTCGGAATCGCTTCCAGCTATACTCTTCCGCTTCTTGGCCTTCCTCTTGTCCTTCTCTCCGCCTTCGACAGCGGACTTCCTCTTCTTTGACCCTGTCGTCAGGTTGAGCAAAGCTTGGCGAATATTCTGGTTTGTGTTTTCCCGTCTCTTCTCCTCCTGGGCGAAGAACTCCGCATCGTCCCCTGAATCCTCGTCAGAGCTGTGTACAAACAGCGCGCTCTTGATCTTCTTTTGCTTTTCGCTTTCCGCCTTTCGTTTCGCTCGGGCCCGTCTCTCTTTCTCTTCGTCATCTAGTTCCCCCCGGTTCTTCAGCTTCCGCTTCGATTTGGGCTTCTCCAATGCGTCCGGTTTGCGGGCGGTTGGGCCTCCCACAGGGAACAGGAGCTCTTCAATGTCGTCGTTGGCAATGAAGTCATCCTCGCCGGAATCATCGTCAAACTCGGCTCGTTGACGAGGCACGATTTTGCGACGGATGTAATCGGAATAATCTAGGGTCTCGTCCATTCCGCCTTCTTCTAGCCCTAGAGCTTCCGAAACGAAATGAAAGTTCTCTTCAATCTCGCGCCAACCCATTTCAGAGGGGAATACCCAACCAAGCTTTGTCCCGTCACTACCATCTGCCCAGTGCAACCCCAGTACGCTCAGCAACAATCGCAACTTGCTATCTTTAACCATGGCCTTTCGCCTGTCCGGATCGTTTGATTCGAGAGGGATTGGAGCAATTTTCGGTTCTTCGCGGCTTGGAACCGGGGCATCTGGATTTTCAGATGCCCAAGCAATTGCATCAACTCCTTGCCGAGTGGCATCCGCTTCTTGCTTCTTACGCTTTTCAAGGATCTCTTCAAGAGTCGACTGGACCCAGAAAGCGTTGCCCGATTTGTCCTGTAACAGGACTGCTTTCACTGCAACTTGGATCTGCACCTCTTTACTCAATCCTGGTGTGAGTTCCAACTCAGGCGCCACCCTTGGCACACTCTTGGGCACCTCTCTGTCATAGCCGTGTTGAAGATAATACAGCGTGGGGGACATCTTGCTGAATAGAATCTCGACAATGAGTTCGGGTCGCTCCTCGACCTTTTTAATCAATTTCCGGAGCACGTTCTTAACCAGCTCTTTCCACTCCTTAAATGAAGCATGCTGGCGATCCAGGCCATTTGGCCCTTCGATCATGCGGTGGAAAAGCCGAATGATGTCTGCCCTGAAGAGAAGAACACTCTGTTCTAACTTGAATGCTGCTCGGTAGAAGAATCGGTGCGCCCGTTTCAGCTGCTGTGCGTCAAGTTCATGGTAAAACTTAGTGAATGCAATGAAGGTATTGATGCAATTTTCGTTGACGAATCGGGCAGAGAACCGCATGAAGTCGAATTTCCTTTCTTTGGTTGTCTGCAGTGCGTCCTGTTCCTCTTCTTCTTCCGAGTCTTCCTGTGGATCTTCCTCTTGATTCCCATCTTCGCCGCTATTGGCCTGTTTTTCTTTCCTCTTCTCCTTCTTCTTACGGCGAGCACGACGTTTCGAACGAATTTGGAGGTCGGCATTTTGTTTCGAATAATGCTCGAGCATCCGAATAAATACGTGCGCGAGCTCAGTACAGGCGTCCAAGTACCCAAAACCTTGATCCTTATAACTTCGCACCAGTCTGATAATCCGATCGTGCGTAGACTCTTCGTAGAAAATTCGGTTCTGGATGTTGTCCGCAATGTCCTGGTCGTCCTCGTTGGAGCTCTCGGCCATTTGTTGAATGGTGAGCAAGATTTGCGTGAAGCACTTCATCCCTGCATTGACGTCTATGTTCATCTTATTGTCAACCCCGGACTGCATGAATCGGTTCAATAAGATAAACGTCTCCTGGTTCAGCACGCTCGCGACGAGAGAGAATCCTTCGTCTTCCTCTGCAACCGTCTTTCCCTTGCTTTTCGCCGATTTCTTCTCCCGTCGAGCGCATTCGGCCTTCAGAAACCATGAGATGAGGTAAAAGAACTGCGAAGTATGAGATTTTAACACTCGGTCAGCTTCCCTCTCGATGGCTTTGCGCAATTGCACAAAGAGTGGGTTGAAGGATGAGTCCAAGAAGTCTTCAATAAAACTTCGTAAATGGTTTCGAGCCGATGGACTCAGTGGCGTTTCGACGTCGAACTCAGCCTAAAACCGATCAGTACGCGCTAAAAGAAGTTGATTCTGAGCCTTACCCCGTCATCGCCAGTTTTACGGCTCCGCTGTTTTGGTTTGTTCCACTTCTTGGATTTGTCCATTTTGTTCAGAGTCCGCTGAGAGTTTCCAAGAACATCTTGTCCAGAGACGGTAGACATGCGGTTGTCGGCCCGCTTCACCCAAACCATTGCTCCGAATCGATTATGCCTCGTTGGTGCATGCCGCGCATATTCTGAGAGCATTGACTTCTCCTTCTGCAACAAGTCTCGAAAGTCTTTCGTGTTCGACTTGGCCAACTGCTGCTCTTCCATGAAGAGCTTGGCTGGATTGATACCGCGTAAAAGATGGAACAGAATTTCTAAGGTGATCACGTCTTGCTGTACGAACTCGGATCCCATGCTCGATGCGATTGTCAGAAGGAATGGAAAGATATCCTGGTCGGCGAACGTGTCGATAGTGGCAGACCGTGATATCTCCGCTTCTTCGCCGTCCATTGGCAGATCCGCGGGATGCGCAATCTGCACGACGTTACGGAAGAAGTAGAGAGCAAGACGGATGATATCTTCATCTCGGGTATTTCTCTCATTGCGAGGCTGAGCCATTGAAGGAATAGTAATCTGCACAATGGTACGGAGAATCTGAGTAGTATCGTGACCGAGGATGGCTCTCTTATAGCCAGCCTGAGCTAATTGAAGATACGGGGTGTGCCGATGATGGCCAACCGTCATCTGTGCATCGTCGATGTCCAATGGCCATGTTAAAGTGACCATTAAGTCGACTGCCAAGGTTAGATTGGAATGAGGAATAGGCGTAGAAATTACGTACGACAAGCCAGAGCGACCTTGAATTTCAAACCGCCTTCTGGGATATTTTCCGGGAATGATGCTAATATCTGGAGCAGGTCTCCACGGAGCAAATTGGCCTCCGCCATTGAACGGGCAACATCGAAACGGTTGAGCTTCTCGTCCACATGTTTGAGCCATCTTCGCAAGTCTTTAAGAACAGCAAGCGCGTCATCGCCTAGTACATAACGCCCGTCGAGTTCAGCACTCGATCCTCCGAGCTATTGCATGTTAGCTATTATGCGAGCTGTTGAGATGTGAAGCAGGACCTACCGCCGTGACAAGACTGTAAACATACGCCCGGACTTCTGGGTCCACAGTGGACGGTCTTGAATCGTCGATCTCCATATTCAAATCATTTGTGGAAGGTATGAATTGGAGGGTATTTGCATTGCCATGGAGGTGAATGAGGTCGTTCATGGATGGTGGTTCAAACGCGGAGAGACGCGTTGAAATTCTGTTGGACGCGTCGGGAACAGGGGTCGCGTGGCTGCCACTTTCCACTCCGGACCTCCTGCCTCGCCAGGACTTTCCGCCAACTTGTTAGCAACCGTAAGCCCTCCAAAGTGCATCTTTCTACACGTAGTATATCGAGCTGTCTAGACGCCATGAGTGAGCAAACGAAGCAGCGGCCATATTTCTATAAATAAATAAATATTCAGCTCGAAGCCCAATGTATCTGGTTCCAGCTTCCACTGATGTTCCCCCAAGGACAAGCACTCCTCCGCTCTCCGCGGTGGAACGTTAATCCGCTCATATGGACGTCCCTGCCTCCTGAATCGCATGATGACGATGATTCGCCCAAGGCATCCCTCATTCGAAACAAAAACAATTGCTCCTGTCGGCCTTGGATTTTGTTCTCTCAAGAATTCGGTGACTGGACATCCAGCACAGACCTTTTCATCACGAGGGTGTTGAAGTGCGATTATCATGGGCTTCTTAACGTAACAACTTCCCGTGGCATCCACGAGCCTACTTCAACTAGCCGCGCATGTTCTGTATTCTATTAATCTACCTGCACCTGTCCTCCCAATTATCCAGTGCATGTCAGGAGTAGAAGACGACATCGGCAGGATCGACATCACTTAAATAAATCTCAGAATGGCTCCGGATCTCAACTCCGTCCCTCCATCTCCTCGTTCTCCAACGAGTCCTTCCGCTGCTCAAACCCCGCAACCATCCACCTCGTCCTCGCGCCGAACATCTCAAATCTACCCCATGAATCCTCCTCCGCTGCCACTGGCCACGCCTGGAGGCGGTTTGCCCACCAACACCCACCCATTTCCGCCGCTGAGCCCAGTCTCCAGCAGCCACAACCATGAGTCCGGGAGCGGCGTCCCTATGAGACATCCTCGACCCCTCACCGCCGCAGAGCTGCATTCGGAGCTGGAGAAAGAGCAGGAAGCAGTGGTACGTAAATCTGCGCCGCATCAACGTCCTCCTTGTACTCACTGGTATCTTGTGCCGTAGGTCAACCGCTTAACCCGTGAACTCGCGGCTCTTCGAGCACATTCCGCGTCAGTGGCCTCCACTACTTCTTCCACCTCCACTGCCCCCGTTCTTCTCGATCCTTCCGACCCATCCACGACCACTACGAGCGTCTCCCTGGCGGGACCTACGCATCCGACCGCATCACGAAGGCACCGCAGCTCCAGCAGCGTATCCCGAGGAAGCGTCACCACAGCACATATAGGGATACCTCTGACGAGCGCAACTGCGAGCATACCGCACCATCACCGACCCTCCGCCGGAACGGTACAACTGGAGCAGGCAGGCGCACCCTATGGGACTTCCTTACGATCGAATAGCATAGGCCTGACGTCACCACGATATGAGGAGACGGCTATGTATAGGCATGAGTTGGAGGAAGCGAAGAAAGAGAATGAAGCGCTACGACAGAAAGTCCGAGAACTGGAAGTTTTGCTACGGCAGAGACGGAGCTCTTCGGCTTCGAGTGCGAGGGGGACATAGAGCTGGGCTTTATACTTCGTCTTTCGTTCAGGGTTCTCCTTCGTTTGAGAAGTTATATGGCGTTTAGGACTGGGGTATTGGGGTCAAGATTTTGCTTTTGATATAGTGACAAGAAGGATGCTATTGCCAAATGGCTCCTGCCTCAGTACTGGTGGCATGGGATGGAAATTCTTAGGCCCTGTGAGTGGTCGCTGAAAGCCTGATGGTGAGGCTTCAGTTAAGAATGAAAGATTTCAGGTCGGCCTTTTCGCGTCTTCGTGACAGTAGGGTATGAAAATTCCTGATACCCTGAACCGTGCTGATTGTTCCGTAGAAAATCATGTTTAGAGCTCAACGGTACTTATACAGAGATTGAGTGGCACCTTGCCGTCTAGGCTTGTTGGAAACCAACCTGGAATGATTCGAGCACACTTTACAGCGCTCTGGCTACCATGAATGCTCGATTAAATGCAGTACGATGAATACAAAATGCTGATCTCATTGTACGACACGAATATCTCCTGTTGAACACGTCCTAGTAATGGTCTGGTATCGAGGCTAACTGATATAGACTCATGCCAGACATTCTTACTAGATATTACCTGTCCGCCCTTCAATTCAAGACCAGAAAAGAATACGATTTGAGAGGTGAATTGGCAGTTTCACAAGTCTTTGTTTACCGCCCAACTGTCGCCTATAAAGGTAAATGACTTTAGAGGATAGGCACGTGGGGTGAACTCCCAGTAGGTGAACTCCCCATATGGGAGGGTCGATTCGCCAAGAGGGTAGACATATGTCTAAGACATGAAGATTGTAGTTCTTCTTCTAGGTTGTCCAAACCCTTTATACAATGATTAGGAGTGGCCCGTAGAAGCCGATACCTAAGATCCTTGGGTTCCTGGAATGATTCTTCTTATATGACTAGCGAATGTCTCTTCTAAACCTTCCCAGTGTGGCCTTGAAATTATTCCGAACTACTACTACAAAATAGTAGGGGCGTGAGAGGTCTTAGCAAGGATCTTAAGGAGTGTGAGCTGCGAAGGTCGATAAATGTCTTTGTAGGAACTCAAGCGAAATTGATTGGAGTTCTAATGTATGATATCCTCTTAAATTCAGGTTCAGCTATCCCTCAGGCTTTTCAAGGCGTCCTGTCTGATATCTAGCCAGGAGAGGTTGTTAATGCTCTTTGAGTGGTCCCCAACGGATGCTCCTCAAGGGGTTACCCATGAATGTCCTTGGGAACCTTCCCTGAAAACATCTTCCTGTTATTTCAGAAACTCGGAAATCGATGGAGAGATAAACTATAACTTGGTTAAACAGCGACAGATCAGTGGCTGATGTGCTCTCTGGTACCCGAGGATTTGGCATAATGGATATTACTAGTACCTGGTTTACGTCTAAAGGAAGGTTACCTGATAGATTATTTCCAGACATGCCTTCTGTACCTTGTAGGAGCGATGTCAGACTACCCGTGAACATGCCTTCAGAGGTGGGCTTCAGTTCTGTGCCTCACAGGGGCGGCTGGGTTCAGCTTATCCCAGCCACCCCCTGGAAGTAGATATGGCGGCGTGCAGCTCAGTGATAAGACAGTGGAGACTGGAGAAGAGTATCCGCCATGTCCACTGTGTCTGCTATGTCTCCTATAATGCACCTTTCGTTCCCTTTAAAGGTGGAGGTATATAATAGTAAGATAGCAAGACCTTTAATTAGTTGATACCTGGTTCGGTGCCGCGCCAGTCCTCCGTTCCCCAGAGGATAGAAGTATATATTAGTAAGATCTTGATACAAAGTATCTATCGCACCCATCGCCATGCATTTTCTCCTAAGAGGGTAGAGGGCTATATTAGTAAGACCATGATATATGCCGTACGCACCCTTTGTTCCTCCTGGGGGTAGAGGCATATGTTAGGAAGCAGGAAGGCCTCAATGTACGCCGTACGCACCCATTGTTCCTCAGAGGGTAGAGGTATGTGTTAGTAAGCTAGGGGAGACCTTTATGCCCGCTAGAACATCATATGAGCGCACGCTTCGCTCTCCGTCGTAGATGCGGAGGGCCAGAGTTTCCCGTAGCTACCTTCAAAAGGGTGGAGGCATGTATTAGTAAGAGTCTAACAATAAAGCTCAGGCGCCAACGCCAGCATCGACTGTAGCAAACTGCCTCACTGAAGAGCAAAGAGGTGTCTTACTAAGATTGATGTCGACCCCAGCGTAGCCCTGTCTAACCGCCCTTTCGGGGGTGGGCATGTCTCTTACTAACACATCAAGGGGCCTTGAGGTATGAAAGGCCCTAAAAAAAGCACCAACCGTGGGGCAAGTCAGGCATGAAGGGTAGATGTAGGTCTTAGTAAGCCTTTCCAGGCTCTTACTACTCAGTCACTTCAGTCACTTATCTCGAGGGTTAAAGGTACAGCTTACTAAGACACACGTCGAGGTCTACCATAGGGCATCGTTCCCTGGTCTGGAGGGTAGACATATGTCTTAGTAACCGTTCCAGTCTCCCATTGTCTACGGTACCGTACCGTACCGCATTGTGGTACATGTTTCTATCAGAGGGTGGGGGTGTCTCTTAGTAAGACACATGTCTTAGTACGGAATTCCAGGCTCCCATTATTACCGTACCGCATGGTGTTCATCCGAGGGTGGGGGTGCCTCTTACTAAGTTCCGGTCGGGAGGGAGTCAACGACAGGCAACGAGGCATGTGACTGTACAACACGACACATGAAAACCTGATTCCAAAAGGCGGATTGACTGGGACGACGGAAAGTAGAGGGTTGAAGAAGCGGCCATGGCCGTCTACCATTGAAGGTACATACATGATACCCGAATTTTTGCTGCTGCACGTCTGAAATGCCGGACGATAGCAGTGCCGCATATTCGCTCGCTAGAAAAACATAATGACGCTCAAACAACAATGGAATGGGTGTGAAGCAGTGAACGGGACTGAGAATGCAATCGCGGGTGTGCGCTGATAACAAATGGGTATCGTAGCCGGAAATTCGGGAAAGACTGGGAAGTAAACAGTAAATGATCGCCGTGCTCCGCCGCTGAATCAACGACCACGCATTTTTTCTGGAGCAGGAGGTGAGGGACACCGTGGCCATACCGAACGCCCCCTCGGAATGAAAGGAAGGAAGTGCAATGAATGGGACGGGCCGTGGCCCCGCGATATCGGCTGGTAAAGCCGATGCAATGCCAGAGTAGTAACGGACACGATGAACGGAAAGGAAGAACAGACCGGAAGACATCACCGTACCGACTCCATGAGCAGCAGAATACACCGGAAATCGTAGGACGGATCTCAGCAACTACGCAGCAATTCCCTCCGGAGCCCAAATGACCCCAACACCGCCGATCCTCTCGAAGGAGCTGCTCTCTTCATCATCGATCTCACCATCCAGGTCACTCCCATCCTCGGTCCCCTCACAATTCAGCAACCCGAACCGATTCGCCAGCTGCACCGTGTTAACCTGCGGCTGCTTCATGACCCTCGGACCCGGCATCTGGGAGGGCACCTGCCACCGCCTGGGCGTCGGAAGGGGTTCAGCGCACTCGTCCGCATACCACTCGATCCGCAGCCCGCGGTAGGGTTGGCGGGAGGTCATGCATGTGCGGGCGAACATGGCATAGTTGATCGAGTTAGTGGAGATGTAGATATCGGAGTCCCGGACGGTCACCGAGAGGATGACGAGGTTGTGAACATGCTCCATGTCGTCGCGAATGGCGGACTCAGTGAGGCGAGGGTACCCACCACGGATGACGAGGTTGCGAGTGGCGCCGCGGGAGATTTTGTGGGCCATGTGAGGTGTGGTGTGGAATTGGCGATCGTTCCAACGGATGTCGATCTGGAGAGGTTAGATAATGCACTAATAGGATGAAAGTAGGAGGGAATGAAAGGGAAAGGCGTACCCTCTTCTGGTGCAAGTAGAAGTCATTCCGCTTTGCAAACGCAAGGAATTCGGCTGCTCCCTCGACGAAGGTGACCGTGGCGCAGCGCTGTTCGGGACGTAAGTGGATATCCGTCAGTCTTCCTCCGCGGATGATGTTGGCGAGGTCCCTGTGGGTAGATTTGTCCGACAGGTTGCCGAAGTACAATGTACGTTTCTCAGCCTGGGGGTTCGGATACTTCGGGACACTGTCTGGGGCGGCGGAGCTGTCCCTATCAGGCTGACTGTCAGAGTCCGGTGCTCCATAGCTGGTGGACCGTGGCGCTATGCCGTGGGGACCACTCAGCGTAGTTGGGTTGTTGTGGTAATATGTGGTCGGACAGGAGCCGTTGGATATGTTCGATATGTCCCCAGATGGTCTCCTAATAGGCAGGGGGTTGGGCAGGGGCTTTTGGAAGGTGACGTCCCCGCTTGGGACATCATTCGGGGTATAGTACGTTGCTTGTCGACCTCCGCTAGTCAGGATGGCGAGCTGTTCGTGGGTGACACCACTCATCAAGAGGGTTCGGCGGAGGTTGACTGCTGTTGTTAGACCAGTGGAGTATATGCCAGAAGCACAACAGCTTACGGAATTCACGTTCGATTTGAAGCTTGGGACCGTTAGTAGACGCATATCATATAAAGAGAGTTTAGAGTCATACCAATCGCTCATACTCTGCACTATTGACAAAGATCGGACCGTCAGTGATATTTCCGGTATCCGTCTCACCCTATGGGTAGTTGTAAGGTTAGCATAGAGTAGCTTGATGCTTGAGGCATAGTTCCAATATCTGAAGGCAAGAATTTGTGCCAGATGCCCATAAAGCATGCCTCCAGCTCTTTCGGGCGCAAAGGCTGAGACTTTTATTGTATCCCCATGGATTTGTAGCTTTTCTTGCTGATTGCTGGGGGTAGTTCGCCATGGTGCGGACATGTGAGGGCATGCTTCAAGAACCGGCAGTCGAGAGGACTCGGAAAGGTTACACATACAAAGTTGGCTCTGTATCACAGGAGTTAGCAACCTCGTGGTAAGGCATAGTTTGTGTAAGATAACTTAGCACTCACCGACGAAGCAAGGCCTCAAAGTGAGACCTCTCGATGGTGACCCTGTCCCCCATCTCGAGGACATGGGAAGCAGGAGCTAGTCTCGAATAGAGATCTGCAGGAAGTTGATGGTTGTCCATTTTGCAAGAAAGGCGAGGCAATGAAGATACATGCAATTCTAGGCTGTACACGCGGCCTTCTTATGAGTTATTGTATTGAGAAAAGAGACAAGTCTTGATTCGTATGGAGAGTGTGTGAAAGTGATAGCGAGACACAGCAGCCCGTCCACGCTGCGGCACAGGGAGTGACACAGGGAGTGACGGAGCCACAAGAGGGAAGGAGAACAGGCAGGGGCTTAGGAGCTTGGGCCACTGCAAATCATCATCATTCAATCGCTAATAGCCCTATGCTGAATTCTTAACCATCCGATCGACCATGCGGCATACCTAGACCTCTTATAGACCTCTTATAGACCTCTTATAGACCGCTATTAGCCGCGATATCATATCCCCTGTGCTTGTTTAATCTTTTTCACCTTTCCTTTCCCATGTAACCTACATATCCTGCAACATTCCCTTGCCGCTCATTTGCCTATGGCGTAAACCGTTCTTTCCTCCTCCATGGACTCGAATCCTTCCCCATCGTCCTCGCCGCCGCCGCCTCCCCCCGCTCCTTCAATCTCGAATCCACCGCCGAACGACCCCATCACACTTGTCAACAGCCGCTTCCAACCGCTTTCCGGCAAGCAGAATGCCACCGCGGCTTCTCAGGATGGTTCCCTGTTCGCCCAGTTCGCGGGCAACCCGTTCTTCACGGCGGTATGTTCGTCGTGCTGGAATTCGCGAACCGGTGGCTAATTTTGGAAGGGATTCGGCCTCGCCGCGCTCGCGGCTGCGATGAGGGTCGGGCAGCAGGGCGTCAAGCGGGGGGCGGAGCTGCTGCGGCGGCGGCTGTTGGTCAATGTGGAGATCACGCATTCGGACGAAGCGTATCGATGGCTGTTGAATTGGATGACTTTTCATCAGCGGACACAGTTGAATGAGGGCGCTTCGAAGGCGGTTGGGTGAGTCGCGTTGGGTGAGAGGTGGTGCGGCTTCCGACTGACAGTCATCAGGTCCGCAGAGCCGAAAGGCATAGTTGCTTCGATCATCCGCCGACTGACGCCAAATCTTCACCACCTCCAGATTCAAACCGTACGAGCCAACCGGGCCGATGGCTCGATAGCGACGCATTTCAGCCTGGTCCCAGGTCAGGGACGACATATTCTACGATACGGGAATGCTTTTATTGCAGTAAATAGACAGCGCGAGAAGACGTTCGATTTAGCGAAGGGCGAACCATTCGAAACCGTCACTCTCACCACGTTATGGGCATACCGACACATATTTGAGAAGCTGTTCGAGGAGGCTCGGCAGCTAGATCAGCAGATGCAGGAGGGGAAGACCATCATATACACAGCGTGGGGAACGGAATGGAAGCCGTTCGGAGAGCCCAAGCGGAAACGACCACTGGACTCGGTGGTGTTGGCAGAAGGGATGAAGGAACGGATAATGGACGACATCCAAGCATTCCTAGACGCCCGCACCTGGTACCTCGACCGAGGCATTCCCTACCGCCGCGGCTACCTCCTCTACGGGCCCCCCGGCACCGGCAAAAGCTCTTTCATCCAAGCCCTCGCCGGCGAGCTCGACTTCAACATCGCCATCCTCAACGTCAGCGAGCGCGGCCTCACCGACGACCGCCTCAACCATCTCCTCACCAAAATCCCCCCCCGCACTATCGTCCTCCTCGAGGACGCCGATGCCGCCTTCGTCAACCGCCAGCAGGCCGACGAGCACGGCTACGCCGGCGCCACGGTGACGTTCTCCGGGCTGCTGAACGCGCTGGACGGCGTCGCGAGCGCCGAAGAGCGGATCATCTTCCTCACGACGAACCACGTGGAGCGGCTGGACGCGGCGCTGGTGCGTCCAGGGCGGGTGGACATGACGGTGCGGTTGGGCGAGGCCACAGAGTATCAGATCGGGCAGCTGTGGGATCGGTTCTACGAGGAGTTCGATGTGGATAAAGGGGGGAAGGGGCGGTTCTTGGAGCGCGTGCGGCAGCTAGGGTTGGTAGATTCGGTGAGCACGGCGGCGCTGCAGGGGTTGTTCTTGTATCACAAAGGGGATATGGAGGCCGCTATCGGGAGTGCGGAGGAGCTGGTGAGCCATCCCACGGCCGGGGGCGAGACGCTAAAGGAGTCAGTGGTGCATTAGAGGGGAAGATTTTGTAAGATCCATGTTGTATGTACCCGTAGATTGTAGGATTTAGTGATGTGCCGATGTGGAACGAAGAAAACTCTGATATGCAAATGCTTCACAATAGGGATCTAAGTTCAACAAGTCGTCATTGTCGCCAATAATGCCCAGGCCAATAGCGTCCTCCACTCCCGTCCATCTGATAATTTGATATCGGATCAGATAAGATCAAGTAAGATAACTGATAATCGCATCTGCATCTTTGTTGAAAACTTGAAATGCAAGTGGGACAACGATTGCACACAAGCATATCCTTGTCTTCGATCGTCAGCCCTGATCCACGGGGGATTTTGGCACTCTGGTTGGCTCGGGATCGAACCTGTTCCCATGGGTGGTGACGGGACCATCCACTCCCGGATGACATGGAACACTTTTTCATGATCTTTGTCCAAAGTTTCGTAGATGCCGGATAATTACAGAGTGAACATGAATTCCTTCCCGCATAAGCTTGACCTTCGTTGTGGAACGTGGATATGCCAGAATGGGAGTGGTCAGGCATTTGGGTCATACTGAAATCACATCTAATATCGGAACACCTTCCGGGCCATCCATGCATCCCATTAGCTAGTAGGGAATAATGTACATTGCACACTCCTTAGTCCTTCGGCTTTAGGCACCTCCATCCCTAATACGACCTAACCTGCGTTACTCCTACCTAAAGTATTTTTATGGTATTGGTGGGTATACCACACTCCCTTCCAAGGGTCGCGTCACTGGTGCCGCAAGGCCATGTCGAACGCCCGCCCTCCTCCCCACTCCCTTTCAAACGACGCCGGTGAAGAATGTGAACATGACCAACATAACGATTTAACCCCCCACTCCGATGACAATAATGAACCACCACCCTCCCTCCATTTACCGTCGACATTTAGCCCTCCTCCTGGACCCGATTTGGAACTGCAAGAGCTGTCCTCCGCTGCGTCGCGTGAGACCCTCCCCCCGAATGGCCATGATCTATTATTGCTAGCACGAGATCACGATATCGATACCCCCGTTCATCACGAGCCCCATGATCCCTCCGCCGAGAATCCCGCCGCCTCGACTCTTCTGCCTCCCTCCTCGCCTGCGTCTCGCGACTTCGACGCGGAGGGCTATTCCACCCCGGTGACGGAAGAAGATCTGGATCCGGCCACCGCGCCGCTCGACCTCCGCATGTCACGTACACCCCTCCTCAACAACCCCGTGTCGGGGACGGGATACGGCGGGATTCCCTCCTCGAGCAGGCCTCGATCTCGAGATCATGACAGAGACGAAGACGACAGGAGCAGGACGTTCCGGATACATCGCGGTCGGAACACAAGGCTACAACGAAGCGATCCAGGACAGGATGGGAATCATGGAACATATGGACGACGGTCATTTTCACTTTCAGGGCGGGACACGAGTAATGAAACGGAGGGCGAGGCAAGGAGACGGAAGAATCAGAGCAGCAGCGTGCCGAGACCGAGACCAAGATCCCGTCGATTGCCCTCGCACGATTTCGCCGGGCAGGTGGAATTCGGCATCGGAGGGGAGAGGTTGACGCTCGAGATCGACCGGGACCCCGCCCCTGGCCCCAAACTCGACGACGAAGAGAACCCCGAGTCGTCATCCCCCTCCGACTCTGACCGAGAGACCTTGGGCACCTCGACTACTTCTGCTCGATCACCGTCGGCACGGCGGCGGTCCCGAGCGCGCCGCCGGGCCAAAAGGCAGGACACCACGCCGTACGCCCAGGTCCGCGCCAACACGCGGCAAACCGACGACATCACCCTCTCGATCAATACGCCGCGCATGTGGTTTTTCTCCATGCTCTTCGCGGTCCTTGGGTCCGCGACCAACATGTTCTTCTCGCTACGATACCCGTCCGTGAGCATCAATCCGACCATCGCGTTGCTGCTGGTGCATCCCCTGGGGAAGCTATGGGACGCTGTTTGGAAGCGGTCGGGGGATCCGGTGGAGGGGTTTGTGGATGGCTGGTTGGCGGAGCGAACGGCGAGGACGGATAGGCCTGCGCGTGGGGTTGGTCGCGTGAGGGAGGGGGGAGAAGAACGCTGGCAGAGGAGATGGAGATTATGGCTGGCACAAGGACGGTGGAATTATAAAGAGCATTGCTGCGTCTATATCGCGAGCAACGTCTCCTTCAGCTTTGCGTTCGCCACCGACGTATGCTACCCATCCTTCCCCTTACGTCGTATCGCTAATGCCATCCCAGGTCATCGTCGAGCAGAAGATGTTCTACCACCAAGACCTCGGCGTCCTCTACCAAATCCTCCTCGTCCTCTCCACCCAAATCCTCGGCTACTCCCTCGCCGGCGTCACCCGCATCTTCCTCGTCCGCTCCAGCGGCATGATCTGGCCCGGCGCCCTCACCACCGCGGGCCTCTTCAACACTCTATACGAAAAAGACAACGCCCCCGCCGACGGCTGGACCATCTCGCGCGCCCGCTTCTTCAGCTACGTATTCTTGGGCTCTATGGCGTTCTACCTTCTCCCCGGCCTGCTCGTGCCGGCCATGAGCTACTTCAACGTCATGACCTGGTTCGCGCCGCGGAACATTGTCGTCGCGAACCTGTTCGGCGTGGTCTCCGGCCTGGGGCTGTTTCCGATGACGTTTGATTGGGCGCAGATCGCGTACATTGGATCGCCGTTGATCGTGCCGTTTCACGCGGCGATGAACGTGATGGCGGGGATGCTGTCCGTGATGTGGATCGCGGCCCCGTTGCTCTATTACTCGAACGTCCTGTACTCGTCATATATGCCCATCTTATCTTCGTCGGTCTTCGATAACAGGGGCCATGTTTACGACGTCAGTAAGATCCTGACCAAGGATTTCCTCTTGGATATCGAGGCGTATCAGGAATACAGCCGGGTGTTCTTGCCCATCACATACGTGCTAAGTTACGGCATGCAGTTCGCGGGCCTGTCGTCGCTGTTGACGCACACCATCTGCAAACATGGAAAGGACATCGTTAAGCTATCGAAGGACGCTATGCGTCAGGCGAGGACCGAGGCGAAGAAAGAATACCGGCTGCTGCACGATGAGGACGATTCCGAGCCGATCCAGCCGATGCGATCAAGGACCAGCACCGACATGTCCGGGAGCGCGAGTCCGGATACGGAGAATTTGATGGACCAGGAGGACGTGCATGCGAGGTTGATGCGAAGGTACGACGACGTGCCGATGTGGTGGTATCTTTTGACGGGACTGTCGATGCTGGGGTTGGCTATCTTTACCGTCGAGTAGTAAGTCTTTTAGACACCCGTCCATTCATATTCACTAACGTCTTCAGTTACCCTATTCATCTTCCCTGGTACGGCCTCGTCTTGGCCTTGGGTACTTGTACCATTCTTTTTATCCCTATCGGCATCATCAACGCGACCACAAACCAAAGCATCAGCATCTACATTCTCTGCCAACTTATCTGCGGATACGCTTTCCCGGGCCGCCCTGTCGCTAATATGGTCTTCACCACCTACGGCTACGTAAGTACTGTTGAGATCTCTCTTCTCATCCGCCCCCTATCTACACCGCATCCCGCTAACCGCACCCCAGATCACGGCCTTCCAAGGCATCAAATTCGCCTCCGACCTCAAACTTGGCCACTACATGAAAATCCCCCCCCGCACCCTCTTCGTCCTCCAACTCGCCGCCACCTTCGTCGCTTCCTTCACCCAACTCGGCGTCATGAACTGGATGCTCGCCCACATCCCCGGCATCTGCTCCCCCGACGCCATCAACGGCTTCACCTGCCCGCTCGCCCGCGTTCATTTCAACGGCAGCATCCTCTGGGGCCTCGTCGGTCCCCAGCGCTTCTTCGGCGGCGACGGCCTCTACGCTCGGCTCCTCTGGGCGTTCCCGGTCGGCGCGCTGACACCGATTTTGGTCTGGTACCTTGCACGCGTTAGCACCCGCAGCCGCCCGTTCTGGCGGAAAGTCAACCTCCCCATCTTCTTCAGCGGGCTGTCGTGGATCCCGCCGGCGACGGGGCTGAATTTCAGCGTGTGGGCGCTGGTGAATTGGGTGTTCAACGACCTGGTCGCGCGGCATCGGCGGGAGTGGTGGAAGAAGTATACCATGATGCTGAGCGCAGCGCTGGACTCCGGGCTGGCGGTGGGGGTCACAGCGATTTTCTTTGGATTTTTGTATCCCGGGTGGATGGAAGGGTTTAGTTGGTGGGGGACGGAGGTGTACAAGGAGGGGTGCGATTGGCAGGCGTGTGCATATAAAGATGTGCCGAAAGGCGGGTTTTTTGGGCCGAAGACGTGGAGGTAGAGGATTAGGATACCACAATAGAAATGCATATTGGTCTATGCCGTTGCTTCCTGTTCTCGTTCTTCGTTAAGGACAAGAGCCGTTTGTATGTCCAGCTTGTACCCTAGAACTGCAACAGGTTTCTCGGAGTAGAATTATCTAACTATCGCTGAACAACCAAAGTCTAGCTTGTGCGGCCAAGGACAAGGACATTTCAATGCCATTCCAGAACGTTACCGACAACCTATAATATACAAAATACAATTTCAATGACAATCAGTGAAGCGCCCTGGCTGACACTGCCGATAGTGAGCCTTTCTATCATGCATCCACTGTCTAAATCGGCTTGTTATACGAAAATTCCGGTAAGCCCAACTGCGGCGTCGTAATTTTATCAAGAGGCTTGTTAGCCGTGGATCCGTTATTCTCTCGGTTGCTCGAGACCGCTGTCTGAGCTCCCTTAGCAGTGCTATTCCTCCCGGTCCTGGTCCTAGTAGAGATGCTACTAGAGCGTGTGTTGGCCGCGTGCGAGGTACTGTTTCCACCACCTTGCGAATCTCCGTCTATTTGGACTGGGGAACCTTGAGCCTGCCTCTGGTTCTGAAAGGCAGTGTCGGCGGGAGGAAGATTGCCGGCGCCTTGTTGACCAACCCCAGGAACGCCGTCAATGATGCCGTCACCTTTTCCTGGAGGTGCGCCACCCGGGGCGCCCTGTGATTGATTAATATACTCTATTAATTGTGACATATGATCATGGAATATGTCATACCGGAACGTTAGGGAAGGCCTCGACATTTTCCTGCTGACTCGCTAATATATTCCCACAAGCATCCGGTCTCACCGCACGCCTCTGTTGTGCATTCATACCAATCGCCTCCGCCGCGACGACCATGTACGTATCGATCGACGGCAATATTTGCACGCAGCGGTTCTGGTTGATCTCATCATCAAGTTTGCCTTGCTCTTCCCCTGAACCGACATGATCTGTAGATTGTCGACCACGGACTGGAACACGCCATTGGTGAGCGTCAGATTGGCGACCGATACACGCGGGTCGTTGCCAATCACGCTGTCGAGGACGGCCTTCTGCGAAAGTTCATCCACTTCGGCCTTGAAGGCGCCGTCGGCGATCACGTTGAACTCGTCGCCTTCCGCTGCGCCAGTACCGGCGTTCAGAAATGCGGTCACAATGCCTGTGTCGGTCATCCAGTTGCTTATGGCAAGTTGCATGGCTTGCTTGGAACGCTCATCAACTTGATGGGGGTCACCGGTTGCTTGAGGGGACGGATCGCGGGCGGGAGTGAAGGGACCCAAAGTTCCTGGGTTGGTTGCTGGGTCGAAGTTGGGGTCGGGATTAGGATTTATACCCTTATTACCATTGTTGGCAGGCCCCTGTTGTTGAGCAGCGACCAGCGCTGGGAGGATAGAAACTAAGGAGAGATACTCCATATTCAAAGGGAGATACCGCACTAGCAAGAAACAATTGAATATACCAAACAATCAGAAAGAAAGGTAGGGACGTCTCTATGCAATTAGATGAGTCTGTGAACAATTTGAAAGCCCGTTCGGAGAAGGAGATGTTGCCTAATATATAATACCCATGAATACGACGACTGGTACAACTGAAGGAAAGTCGGTCTTCGAGACGGCGATCTTGAAACCTGCGAAGCACCCCGCAGGGCCAACTCTTAAGCCCCATGTTCGAGGTGGCATAAACACAGAGAAGAGACACCGTATTCTTTGAAATTGTCAAGTATTTCACTGTGCATATGAATTTCCTTGTCTGTTTGAGTTGGCGCAAAGCCCTTATCCTACAACGGGGATGTGTTCTAGAAGACAGTCAGTCATAGGGTAAGGCACCTTACACACGGCCAGCAGATTAAATGAGACCAATCGAATCCACATTGCTAGAGCCCGCTTGAGAAGACGATGTATATTCCAATCGGGGTTCTCTCGAAGGGAAGATATTCAGTGATTGAGTTACAGCGCATGATATGTTCCAACAATAGACCTAAGCAAGGGAGTGATGAGAGTTAAAGTCCATCAACTTTTGGCAAAATGTGTAGAACTATGATCCATTGATGCAGTGCCTGGGGCAATGGCAAGATTAGACAAGCATTGATAAGAGGACAAGCATATAAATCTGTGCCCCAACGCCACAATTCGTATTTCGAAACCTTCGATGCTACAGAACATATACCGAAAGAATCGAAGCGGATGCTCTACTTATTCGTGAAGTATCAAGGAAATGTATGCCTAATTAGAATTAAGATGATAACAGACAAGAGGAAAAGCATGAATCAAAGAACGGGAAGTTGAATCGAGCAGTGTCTTGAATCGAGCAGTGTCTTGAAACAAACATTGTGTCGGCTGCGGTGAAACTCGAAACGTGTCTGGCAGACTCTCAAGCCCATCCAAGTGGCCTGATATCTCCTGGTTTTGACAATTTGACTTTTAGAACTGTTCGAGTTAAACCCTCGTGATGGAAATCAAAGTCCGAACGTAGGTCTAAGTACTGATAATGCTACTACATTGAGCCTCCATAGATGATCAGATTAGGCTGTTAAACTCACTTTGTGTAGGCATTAGGCATGCGATTGAGAGAACTGTTTAGGGCTTCCAAATAAGACAACGGGACCAAGTACTACTAGAGCACGGGAAGGTTGATCATAGGTGAAAGCGCTGTCTTCTCATCGATTGATGTGATCACGACTCGTGCTCCTGCTCTGCATCGCGAGGCTACAAGGCAATAACGTAAGGCACCAGTATCACGTCGAATTCTCATTGGCCAGTACACCACATCAACGATCCGGTCCCACTTTTATTCTGCAGTTTAGCGAAACTCGAAACCTCATGCCAAGAGTTCGACATTCGCATCAATTCCTATCATCACCCTAACTAAAGCCTAGACCTCCAATCCAGAAGGTGCTATCGGATTGAACAGAGGGTACATAAGACCGTCACGAAGAATCCTCCCCCGGAAAGCCAGAAGCCATGAGTCTCCGGCAAGGTGTGCCGCAGTACGCCCAAGGGAACGAAGCCGTTCGCGCCGTCGCCGACGAATCTGATGCCGAAGAAGATGCCCTTGTGAACGATTACCGGGAACAGGTTCAATACAATCAGGATGGCATGGACGACTTGGAACGAACGGTGTCCATCGGTACGGGCGCGGGACAGGACATCCACGCACAACTACAGGCGGCAGCCACCCCGCTAGAATTCCAGGCGTCGCTGGAGACCAAGTTCGCGAGCTACGACAATTATTGCACGCTGTTCCACTTCATCTTGAATTCGGAGGGGCCGGTGGATTTGGAAATGCCGAATGTAAGGTCTCGGGAATATTGTGCGACTCGTGTCACTGACCACCTGGCAGCATTACTGGGCATGGGACGTGATCGACGAGTTCATATACCAGTTCAACAGCTTCTGCAGCCACCGACAACGGGTCGCATTGAAAGCCGACAATGAGGCGGAAATTCAGATCCTGCGCGATAGCCCAAATACATGGGGCTGTTACAGTGTCCTCAACGTGCTCTACTCCTTGATCCAAAAATCACAGATCACCGAACAGCTGGCAGCCAGCAGAAGAGGCGAGGATCCCAGCCAATTTGCCGGAGAATATGGCAATCGACAACTCTACAAATCTCTGGGATATTTCTCAATAATCGGACTCCTCCGAGTCCACTGCCTGCTTGGCGATTTCAGTCTGGCCATCAAGACGCTGGACGATATCGAACTGAACAAGAAGGCCACTTTCGCACGAGTCATGGCCGCTCACTTCACCACCTACTACTATGTCGGATTCTCCTACATGATGATGCGCCGATACGCCGATGCGATCCGCATGTTCTCCCACATCCTCATCTATGTCTCCCGGACCAAGAACTTCCAGAAGAATTCGCAGTACGAGAACGTGGCGAAAAAGAACGACCAAATGCATGCATTGATCGCCATCTGCGTTGCATTCCACCCCACCCGGCTCGATGACACCATCCACACGGCGCTCCGAGAGAAGTACGGCGAGAAGTTCAACCGACTTCAGCGAGGCGGCCCGGAAGCCCTTCCCATCTTCGAGGAGCTCTTCCGTTCCGCGTGCCCGAAATTCATCTCCCCAACCCCGCCGGATTTCGATAACCCGGAGATCAACGTGGATCCCATCGACCACCATTGCGCCATCTTTATGGAGGAGGTTAAGAACCATATGTGGTCTCCCACCGTCAAGAGCTACCTGAAACTCTACACCACCATGGATCTGGAGAAGCTGGCCGGATTCTTGGAAATTGAGCCGGAGAAATTGAGGAGCTGGCTTCTGGTGACCAAGCAGCGGAGTAGACAGGTCCGGTGGAGCGAAGGCGCTTTGTTGGATGGCGAGGTCGTGAACAGTAGCGAGCTTGACTATGCTCTTGAAGGGGTAAGTTTCCGTGGTCCACCGTTTGAGTTCAACTACTGACTGGGAATTATAGGATCTAATCCACGTTTCCGAAGCGAAGGTCGGGAGAAGGCTCGTAGATTGGTACTTGAGAAACCTGGCAAGGACCTATTAGAGGTGACACGTCTCGGATCACGTATCAACACGCAAAAATGAGTAGCATAGAAGGATATGGGGGCGTTTCACGTGTAACTCTATGGTCATTCAAGAGTTCATGAAAGCATATCGTACTTCGAACTCTTGAACACCACGTCAGCGAGTACTAGGTAGACAACGAGGACTTCCAATCATAGAAGCTAGGAGAAGCTTCAAACCGAGGATCTTGAGCGACAAATTGGGGACAGCGGTGATGCCTATTATTGATGCCACCAGTCCGTTCTTTACCTGTAATCAAGGCTCCTACAAACAACCATAGTTAGACATGAAATCATGGATGTTTCACGTTCAATTGGTCTGGTCCGAGAATGTGTTCTGCCTTAAAGCGATGTTGTGGACTCATGGCATGCAGGGTCGGATTTGGTCCAGACCCCTGCCTGTCAAGGGTACACGATTTTCAAGCACGTGACCAGAAATATCTCTCGAGTCGGGTTTCCAAGCTCATAAGAAATCATCTCGTAGTTGCTCGGACTTCAATTCCCACCTAAAAGAGCAACAGTATGTTACTAAGCTCGACAACACTGAGGATTAGACACACTACGCGTATTGTGTCTTCCTTTTGACCTGGCCAAACTGCAGGGACCTCGCAGTAGACTCCTGCGTTCTGCAGGAGCCGATGCGATTCAGAGGATCTTATGGCTCTTAGGAATGGGCTCTAGACCGGTATGACTTGCAAGATTGAAGACATGGCACTTTCTGACCCCGATGTAGACACTATGCATCAATTGCTCTCGACCTATTCGCAGACAGCTTCACACGATATCCTCTTTTAGCCCACGCGACAAGTCATCGACAGGTAGCAAAGCCCTCGGTCAAGAGAGAAGCCGACACCTCGTAAATCAAGGGTATGGCTTCAAGTTACCAATTGCGAATCGCACGACTCCATCAAGAACCTTCCATTCTGGTGTCGCCCGCGGCCATCGACAAGAACTGGGCTGTACCTCGAACAACGAACACACACAGGATGCAGCAACACATATCGAAAGCGGACAACATGTGCCTCCGGATCGTTCTTGGACCGATTCTCGCCTAGATGCTTGGTTGAAAAAATACCGGGTAGACAAAGATGCATTTGTGCAATTGCAAGCCCGTCCACAGGCGTCCTCCTATCCCTCGTTACCACCGGAATTATTCGACCCATCGTCTGGCAGCGCGATTCACAAAGCATTCAAGGAAATCCTGCCTGACGATGTACAATGGGCCTTCAGAACTCGGGAACAAAGCTCCAAGGAGCCACGCTTTCGCTCCATGCAGATATTACTAGATGGAAAGAGCAAGCGCATCGCGGCTCTGGGAGAAGGTTCAACAAAGGATGCCGCGATAAAAGCCGCATATCTGGATTTGGTAGCCAAGCTGGACCACGCGGGACTGCTGAATTCCTTTTGGCTGCGGAAAAAAGATGCGGGTGTACGGAAGAAGGAGGCCGAGACGTTAGACTTCCTAGGCAGCGAACGGTTTTCCAAGCTGCAAGTCTTCAACTATGCCTCTCGGTTTGGCTGTTTTCCTAACGTCAAAGTCGAGCGAGTGGAGTCACAAACGGGGTCGTTGCTGTTTCGAACGACGATCTCCCTCCATGAACTTGGTGTCGTTGGGATTGGAGAAGCTCAAGATGTCGCATTGTCCGAGATATATGCCGCTCTGCATTGCAAGAGCCAACTTGAGCTTCTCAGGTCTCGCGAATCATCAAAACGGCTCGACCTACGCGACTATAAGGCGCTTAGTCTTGACAACGCTAGCGATTTCATACGATTCTTCCTACGCAACCATCCCGACAGTAGAATCACATTCGACGAATCCGTGACGGACCCCTACGGTCTCGGATTCGAGTATTCTCGCGTCCAAATCTGTCTTGACAACCAACCACTGGGTCCTCCGGCGCTGATGTTGGAACGTTCCCAGGCGGTACGGACCGCCTTCCTTTTCGCGGCGGTTGAACTCACGAACCAGCATTCCGAGCTGTTTGCGGAATATCACGAGGACCTTCGGGAAGGGAGAGGACTTACATCTCGGCGCCTTGAACCGGTGTCCTTCCAGATTGACGGGCCGATGCGCGCTTATATGGAAGATGTCATCTCCCAAGCCGAAAAGCCGGCGCAAGGTGTTCGAATATCTTCTTCTCTGGAAAACTTGTATGAAAAGTTTGCTCATGGCAAATTGGGATACGCCGCTCGACTTGGCACGGTGGAAAAATTGCTTGACCGGGATCCCTCACCGCAGACTCCGGAAGCGTCGGAGAATGCGAATCTCGGTTCAGACGACCCAGAGTTCACGCACTCGAATCTGCAGGACTGGCTTCCAATGCGCGAATACAGCGAGGAGCTTCTCGATATTGTCTCCAACAATCCGTTCTGTATCATCTCCGGAACAACAGGCAGCGGGAAAAGCACTCAGGTCCCTCAAATTCTTCTGGAGGAAGCGCTTCGTCACGGCCCAGACCAAACGTGTAATATCATTTGCACGGAGCCCCGGCGAGTGGCAGTCACGACTTTAGCCGAGAGAGTAGCCGCTGAAAGAGCGGAAGGTGTTGGGGATTCCGTGGGATATCGAGTGAGCTTCGATCGAGTCCTTCCCAGGATGCCGCAGCGGGTCACTTACTGCACGCCGGAAATCCTATCACTGCAGATGCTTCATTCGAACGAAGACGTCCTCGCAAACTTAACGCACATCATTGTTGATGAGGTGCATGAGAGAAACGCCCGGACAGACGGACTTCTCTCGCAGCTGAAGCTGGCCTATGACAATCGAGTCCGGGCTGGAAAACCTTTTCCAAAAGTCATCCTGATGAGCGCTTCACTTGATGGCGGCCTGATTGAGGAGTATTTCAGCTTAAGGACTGCCGATGGGAAGGTAAAGCGTTGCCCAGTGTTGACGGTCCCTGGAAAAGTGCATGAGGTGGAATACAAAGATCTAGAAGACGTCGACAAAGAGCTGAGCAGCGACACGGTCCTACGAACAGCTCGCACCTTGCTGCGCGACTCGGACTACGAGAAGTTCATGAAGTTGGAAAAGGCTGTAAAACCACTAGCGTCCAGCCCGTCAAATATGCTCATCGGTTGGAGAAGCGAATGGGAAATTGCTCAGGATCGCGAGGAGGCGAGGGTATCCTATGCGTTAGTAGCGGCGACCATTGCGAAAATTTGCAAGTCGGACGAGAAGGGTGCGATCCTTGCATTTCTTCCGGGCTGGAACGAGATCAAACGCGTCGAGGAGCTGCTCCAGCGCGGGAAGGTTTTCGGACTCGATTTCAAAAACACGTCGAAGTTTCGAATCTCCTTGCTCCACTCGACGAATCCTGCAGGCATGGAGGAAGCACTCACCCCCCTCCCCGACACATGCCGAAAGATTCTCCTGGCAACCAACATCGCGGAGACCTCCATCACAATTCCCGATGTTCGATTCGTCGTGGACAGCGCCAAGCAGCGAACGCCTCGCTACGATCACGTTCGTAAATTGTCCGTGTTGGACCGAGAGTGGGTGAGTCGGTCAAGCATCGTGCAGCGAGCCGGTCGTGCAGGACGTACGCAGCCTGGGACGTATTATGGGCTTCTGTCCAAGAATCGGCACGAGTTATTGCGAGACACGATTGCGCAGCCATCGATCGATTCGAGTCACCTACATCTGGCGTGCTTGCGAGCACGGTCACAGTTTCCGGAGATGTCGCTCCCCGAGTATTTCGCCCAGTTATTGGAGGCTCCCTCACGAGATGAAGTCGCAGCGGCCGTGAAAGATCTCCAGAATATCGGGGCCATCGGTCCCGATCTCACTGTGACGCTGTTCGGTCGACTATTGGGAGAGTTCCCAACTCAGCCTTCGATCACTCGGATGATCCTCCTGGGGGTGATGTTCCGCTGCCTTCAGCCTATGATCGTTCTAGGTGGATTCTTGACAACCAACCAGCAGTTCTTCATGCACCCCGAGACCACCAAAGACAAGCTCCGAGCCGATGCAATTCGCGCAATCTACTCGCAAGGGACGGCGAGCGACCACATCGCCAGCATTTCCGCCTTCGACGAGCTCCAATCCATCGAGACCAGAGAAGGGCCGGACGCCGCGGTGGAATGGGCCGAGAAGAGCTTCTTGAACATCCACGCGTTCAAGATCGTCCAGAAATACATGCTGCAAATCCAGCGCGTGATGTGGGACCGGCGCATCGTTCGTGATATCTACTCCGCGGAACACAATGTCAATTCCACCGAACTCAGCCTCATCAAGGCGCTCTTCCTCTCCGGCGTCGCCCCCAATGTCGGGCTCCGCAGGACGAGCAACCAATTCTGGACGCGCAGCGGCACGGAGGCACTATTGCCGATGGACTCCGCTGCAAGGCCGACGCATTGGATGTCAGGGAAGGATGCAGATCGGACACTCTGCTGCTACTCCCATCTCAACGTGGTTAAAGAGGGCCATCTCGCGATGTTTCGCGACGTGTCCATGGTGACCCCGCTGATGACGGCGCTCTTTGGCGGGCAGATCACACCACACCCGGATGTCGAGGCGAATTCATTCCGCATCGACAAGTGGTTGCCTATCAAAGTCAACGGGCACGAGGAAAAATCCGAGGCGCTTCAGGTCTTCATGACGTTCCGGGAGATTTGGGATCAGCTGTCGCATAACTTGCTGGAGGAGTTGAGCTTGCCGGAGCTCACAGAGCGATGGAAGCGGAAGGATCCGTTGTTGCTGACGTCTTTTGTGAATGCGATAATTCACCTACTGAACTATGAGAGCGGGTTGCTGGAGACACGGCGAGGGATCTCCACTCAGCCAGCAACGGCGGACGGTCCGGAGCAGATGGACGAGAAGGAGTCTGTGACCGGACATTGAATGCACTTGGGTTATGCGGAGATGATTTATTACATATAATTGTACCATACTTGTAACTCTTCCATAGCGTCATGCATGTATAGCCGTGGCATACGACACCGTGAGCTAGTTTTCATCCTCTATGGTTCTTCGCTTGGTCTCTCCCTTCCTCTTCAGCCTTCGCTGATTTCCTCCAGTTGTCTATTTCTTCAGCGGCATCGTCTTCGCGAGCTTGGCCTCCGCTTCCTTCTCGAGCGGGTGGGTTGGGTTCGAGGGGATCTTCTTTAGGTGCGCGGCGGAGGCTTCTTTCACGCCCATGCCGGTCGGAGCGGCGCCAGTCTCGTTGGGATTGGCTTGAGGGTCGGACTGCTGATCGCCCCTCTGGTTCGATGGGGGAGGAGATTGGCGGCCTTCGGTCATGGTGTGAAGTACTGGAATGCAGTTAGCAGTAAGCATCTAGGGAATGGGATGTGGGATCCTCCTTACTGAAGTGACGATGTTGGTTGGAGGCGAGATATTGGCAATGGGCAGTTGTTCAATTGGGCTTAGATTGACGAAGTGAATTATTGTACAACGGCATTTGAATTTAAAACGGCTTTTATCATTTTATGTATAAACCATCACCAGTCACTGGATTCCATGCTCTTCCCACTCGGCACCATCATATCGACGTCATACTCTCTCACTTGTTGTCATCTTTCGGCTTTGGTGTATAATACCTGAATCTGCACTTTTGGTCGTTGTGGCCCATCGGATCGATATTATGTTTACGCCACAACAAACAAGCCACATTATATGGCGGACGAAAAGAGCCCAGCGCGTCGAATTGAAAGTTCCACATCTTGAACATCAGCCATCCAGGTCGCATTATCCGTCTCCAGCAGGTCCCTTCAAAGGCTTCGCTCACTGCATCACATTTACTGCTTTCCAAATAGAATCCTTGTCTATATCGTTGGAATTGCAATCTCTGTACACGATGGCCGGCGCTTCCCGACAGGACTACATTGCGCGCGTCCGCTACTCCAATGCTCTCCCTCCACCACCGAATCCCCCCAAGCTTCTCGATGTCCCAAATACAGGCTTGTCGGGAGGGCAGTACACATCCGCGGGATTTGCATCGAGACTGGCGCGAGAACAGCCGCTCAACATTGAGGCCGATGCCGAGCTTGGGATGCCCATAGACTTGATCGGTATCCCTGGAGTGTTCGAGGGAAACGAGCAGTGTGAGTAGAGCCAGACCGAGATGCAGCGCGCATAATACTTTCTAAATCTAACAACCGCCAGATATCTCTACATCAGACCACATTCCACCCGTCCATCCCCATGACAAAGCCCTGCTACGTCCGCTCGCAGCGCTAGGCAAGCCATTGTCACAGGCCTATGGCGTTTCATTCCTACGGCGAACGGAGTACATCACCGCCTTACAAGGCGGTAGCCGGGACCCGTCCAGCGCGATGCTCCGGCAGAAAACCACAGAAAAGCGGTTCAAGAAGCCCAACGTTTCCGATGACGACCCGATCAACATCCTGCGCTCCATCATCAAAGGATTCGACGTCGCATATCCACATGACAAGTACACGGGACCGGACACGCCGAGTAACATCCGCGGCGCACAGACTACGGCGGCGGAGAAAGAAGCGTGGGAACGGCCGAGACATCCTACCAAGCCGCATCTCCGAGTCCTGGACTCCTATCCTGTCCTCCCTGACTTCGCCGCCGTCCCCGATACCGGTGCCTACATTGTCGTCAAGTTCAACCCGAACCCCGTCGGCCCCACGGATAAATACGACGACCGCCTTGACGTCGGCATTCTCTTCCCACAGAACCCCCCACCCCACGAACTAGCGCGATATCGCGAACAAGAGAAGGCTCGCAAGCACGATCCCTCCGCTCAGTTCGCGATCCCCTTCTACCACTACGATTTCTTCATGCCCAGCGCCGACTCCGTCCGCCCTATCAAGCGCAAGTTCGACGTGCTGGATGACGACAACGACGGGGACAAACTTTACACCTGGGAAAGCGGCGTGCCGGAAACCAAGGGGATGAAGTCCTTTAAGTACGACCGGGTCCGCCACTATGAGACGTACCAGCAGGCCGGCGAGGGCCCCGACGATTGCTTCACGGATACCGTGGGCGTGGCGCTGCATGACCCGGAGGCGACGGAGACGGGCGTCAGCAGCGGGAAGCAGAAGGCGGCGTACTTGTACGGGATCAGCCAGCGGACGTTCATCCGGCCGAAGAGGGCGAAGATGAGTGCGAGTGCGGCGACCGGGTGCGATCATGACGAGGAGCAGGAGTTCGATGCGGTGGAGGTGCGGGTGAAGAAGTTGGAGGGCGACGAGTTGAAGAGGAGGAGGAAGACGATGGAGAAGTTCGACGAGAGAATTGGAGATCAGTTCTTTCCGATGGGCGATGAAGCCATGACTCTGGACAGTCAGGACAGTCAGGAGTAATATTTGGGCTCGGGATATCCACGTGCAAGGCGTTTGACGGCACACGAAACTATAAAATCGGGCTTGATCACGAGTCTGTTGACGAACACCTCCTATTCATGGTGCGCTGTACTTCTATCCGAGCCTTCCAACTACCAATTCCACATGCACTTCTGCGACAACACCTTCGTCCCCAGCAGCTCGTACTCCTTCTGATAAATCCAGCTATCATTCCCATTATTGCTCAGCCGTGCAAACACGCTGCCCCCCTTCCACGCCACCACCTGCTGGTCCAAATCCCTCGGCGGCGCGCCGATCAGCACGTCCTTCACGTACAGCGGCTGCAGCTCGCGCAGCTTCTCCTCCAAGAATGAATTGAATCCCGCGATCGACCCGCCCCCGCCCACCACCATGATCCCCCCCAGGAAGTCCCGCACCTTCCGGTCCTCCGCCCGCGCCCCTTGCGTGATGCTGGCGAACACCGCGGCGTCCAGCGACATGATCGGCAGGATCCGGTCGCGTTCGTCGGCGAGCTTCAGCTTCTCGGCGACAGGGTCGACGGCGGACGGCGCGAGGATCCCGCTGTCATCGGGGGCGTCCTGGGAGCCGGCGCGCTCGGGCTTCGGGGTGCCTTCAGGGGCTGGGGAGCCGGCGACGGAGGAGCGGGGGGTGGCATCGGTTTCGTGGAGTTGTTTGAGGAGGTTAAAGGACGCGCGGGCGGAGGGCGCGGCGGCGGAGGTGGGGGCGGAGGTGGTGACGGGGGCGATGGAGCCGTTGTGGGCGTAGGATTGGGAGGCATGTTGGAGGACCTGGGATTGGGCGATAGAGAAGGGGTCGTTGGGACTGCCGTCGTAGAGGTCGTAGGAGCGGTCGACGAGATGGCGGCGGCCGAGGAGCTTGTCGTCGTGGTTGAAGATTTGAGGGCGGAAGTAAGCCTGTGACAGAGGTTAGATAGGCCCATTGATGGAAGCTGGGTAGGGTATGGCTTACCATAAGAGCGAGCATCGGCTCATCATATGTCTTGAAGTTGTACTTCCGCGTGTCCTGTCCCGATGCCCGGAGATGGAAATCGTAGAGCTGAACGCCGATGTCCCCTTCATTCATCGTGCAAAACTTGTGCTTCAGCTCCTCCGCCAAAAGAAAATCGTAGCGTCGTTTCAAGTTGATCTCTTGGTAGGGAAAATGGTCGTAGAGCATCATTTTCATAAACGCTTCGGTGACATCCGACCCGCCATATTTCATGTTGACGCGAGACTCTTCCACGCACATGCCATCCTCGACGCAGCAGATGGAGGTCTTTTGGGCACCGATGTCCACGATGCATGCCATGGAATATCCCGCGCCGTAGGTGGCGGCGACGCTCTCTTGCATGAAGCAGACCCTTCGAAATCCGAACTCGCGCATCAACATGTCGAGACAACGGTTGACGTACTCGCGCTCATAGAGGTCGGGGATGACGAAGCAGCAGCTGTACTTCTGCCAGTCCTTCCGCTTCGTCAAACCCAGCTCGGTTTTCATCGCTTCCTCGATGATGAGGTACAGGTCGTTCCACAGGGGGTTCTTTTGCTGGTAGTCTTTCTCGTTCAGCCACCCGTTGCGGAGCGGCCAGAGCAATCGATACCGGGGCTGGGACTTCTCGGGGATGCGCAGGGCGGCTTGGCCGCAGACGTACTCGGGCGCGCTCGAGCCGCCAACCTCCGTCCACTCCACGCGCTGCGGGTCGTTGTGCTCGGTGATGATCTCCGGGTGCGCACGTCGATTGAAGTTGACCACCAGCTCGCGGGAGTTGGGCATCAACCGCCGCTTATTGTTTCGCATCCGTGTTTTGAGTTCGAGCGCCATGGACATGTACTCTTTGGAGAACTGGAGAGGGAATTAGCATCATATGTCCAGGGGAAAGAAAGACGCCGTACCTCCGCTCCAAACTGCTTCTCGGGAGGGACATCCTCGTCCTCCTGACCCTCCAGCTTGATCCGCTTCGGCTTCGGTTCGCCTCCATCGATCTCGCTCTCATTTTCCTTCGCCTTCCTCGCTATCACCATCGGCACGGTCTTCGGGATCGGGTCATTCGCGAGCCCGATCCGGAGGTTCTGGCTTCCCGGGTGTATGACAATGAAGGTCGAGCCATGCGCTTCCGGACTTGTCGGTTCCACATCCTCCATCCGGTCATCGTCCAACACCACGCCTGCCCGGGCTCGGTCCCGATCGCGCGCTTCCTTCACCATGCGCTGGGTGTTTTCCTCTTGGATCGTGCGGTAGGCGAGGAACTGCTCATCGCGCTTGAGGTATTCGGTGTAGTAGTTCTTTTGGTTGATCATACTGACGGCAGGCCAGCTGGTTAGGTCGAGGTTATTGTCCGTCTTCGCAAGGCCTGGATATTCGTTAGTTTCGACTCGCGATGGCGTTCACTTTGATTACGGACCTTCCTCCCTGAGGGCAGCTCGCCCACTCTTCTTACCAACCATCTTGGCTGAAGACCGGGCTATACTATGCGAATTAGAGAGCTATATGAGGAATTGAGATATTGTCGGGAGATGGAGGGTGAGATGAACAAGAGAAGGTATCGAATTGTTAACAAGCCCAGCGGTGGGTGCAGAATCCGATTCGAATTCTAGGAGTGTGGATGGAGCTGTGGAATTTCCGAATGATCGAGAAGTGAAGGATGCGAGATCCATCCATACCGCATGCCGTCCTCCGTAATATGGTGAAGCTCTCCAAACGGGTCCAAACGGGCGAATCACCTGTAGTTTTCAAGTCACTTCACCTCACTCAACTTATCCCATACTCGATTTCCTATTCAGATAGCTTTCAATTACTATCGTCTCTTCTGTAGTTTTGTATTCTCAACCAGATCTCATATTATGTTATAAAAGGTGCGCACATGAACTTTAATGTTCTGGAGATCATCAGGGTCATACAAGGGCGTACCTACTGTGTACTATGGGAAGAGCATGGGATATCTCAGGAAATAAAATCCAAAGTTGCCGTTGTCTTCCTCCTCCTAAATGACAATAGGCAAGACATAAAGCAAGGAATTTAATCATCGTTTGGGGAAAGGCCTCAGCAGAGAGCGTCGAGGACTCTCAATACACCTTGGACACAGCCATCAATCATCAAACTCCAAGGTATCATCCCTCCAGACGCCGACATCAACCTAACCAGACCCAGACCGCGTCATCACTCATCCTCCTCCATTTCCACATCCTGCTCATACTCCTGCTCCTCCTGTCCCGCCAGTTCCCCCTCCACCTCCTCCGCGACGAACTGCTCATAGTCCTCGAGACTCTTCTGGATATGCACCTTGAACTTGATCACGTCGTTGAGGATCCGCTCGATTTCGGTATGCAGTTCTTCTCGGACGGCGTCCGCGCGGTCTTTGAGTCGCTCGTACCTGCAATATATGTCAATATCTGTCAAGACTGGAGATCATGACGCTTCACTCACTCTAAGTTGGTATTCATCTCTCGTTGTTCGGTCATCTGTATGCTATCGCTCAACCCGGTCCTTAGACTCGCGAGCTCTCGCTCCATCTTCTCGACGTGTGTATCGGAAGTCATTTTTTGCTCGTTGGTCAACTGTGCCCTTGTCAGCAAAGTCCCATGGTGGTTCATTTCTCTCATCTTATGGGTGCTCACCTCTCGCGTCTTCTCAAACTCATCCGACGCAGACTTGACGCGGTACTCCAGCTGATCGACCTCCTGCTTCCGCTCATCCAACTCCACATCTGTCTTCAACACTAGGTCGCGGATTTCCTCGTCCTGCCCCGTGGCCACCATTCGTCGCTCACCGATCTCTTTCCGTAGCGTGTTGATGTTGTTGCGGACCGCACCCTTCAGGTCAAGATTGAGGAGCTGGTGCGGCTGGTACCCGTTCCCGGCATCCGTTAAGAATCGGTCGTCTTCGGACTGCGACCCTTGGGAAGTGCTGAAGTGTGAGCCGTCAGAGACAGACAGGACGAGCTCGTAGTTGATTCCTTTGGCATTGGAAGCGGTGGAGGGGATGATGCCAACTTCGTAACCTAAGGAGTTATAACGCTCCATTGTGTTTCGCAACTCCTCGAGTTTGGCCTCGGCTTCGGCTTCTCGCTCCCCTACCCGTCTCCTTGCTTCTTCCAGTCGAACTTGAGTGGCCTCGACGCCCTTGGACATGCGTTCTCGGTCGGCATTCATGCGGTCGATGTCTTGGATCGGGATGCCTTTGCTGTCCAGACAGTCTTGCAGCTCCCGCCGTTCTCGATCAGCTTCATCGACTTCCTGCTCGACCTTCTGGATTTCTTCCTCGAGAAGCTGGATGCGGTTCTGGTATTTCTCCACTTTGGCTTCCATGTTCGCGTTGTACTGCTCGAATTTCCCCTTGTCCTCCTCTAGGATCTTGATCGTGTCGTCTAGCTTCTTCATTTTCTCCGCGCCACGGCCAAGCTCTTCGACCTGATCCGCCAAGGCCTTGCTCTCTGCTTCAAGCAGCTTGACTTGCTCCAGATGCTCGCGATTCGCCGCTTCGAACTGCCCGGCCATCACATCGATGTGCGGTTTGATGATCTTCTCCGCATTCTCGTCCGACTCATCGTCTTCGACCGACAACCAGTCTCGATATGCGTTCGACAGAAATGTGAAGATGATTCGATCTCCGGTCACATCGTAACCCGCCTCCATGCATGCATCGTCATATACTCCCGATGCATATCCATCCATGATCCGCGCTAACTGCATCATCCAATGCAAGAGGCCCAAGAAGATATGCCAATTGTTTCCTCCCACGGCCGCAATTTGGCTTTTCATGATGTTCTTCTCAAACGGATACCGCAGCTGCTTCAGCAACGGCGGCACCTCCGCATCGATACTCTTCAGAAAGCGGTACGATGGGTCCAGCCGCTTATACAGCCACTGAAACATGCAATTGAAATCCTTCTGCGTCGGCGACGTGAACGCCTTGGCGGATAGACTGTATTTCATATCCATCTCAAAGTTGTTCTCCGACAGATACTCCATTAGCTCGTGTGCCATCTGCGCACGCGTGCTCCCGTCTTTTAACCGTCGCGGATCCTGCGGGACGGTCGGCGGCGCCGGGGCGGTTTGGAAGAACGATTGTCGCGATGCGCCGCCTCCGCCGTTCACCCCCGACGGACGCGCGCTGAAGATGCTGCTCCGTCGCTGCGCGCTGAGATCCAGGCCGAACGACGGGGGACGCGGGGTCGAGGCCGCCATTGGGGCGAAGGTGGATCGCCGCTGCGACGACATCATGTTGTTGGTCGAGTTGCGGTGAACGCTCGCGAAGCCATCGGCGAGGTTGGAGCCAGAGGAGGAGCGGTGGAGTTGGGATGTGCGGTTTGGGGCGAGGGAGAGGCGGGAGGTGGAGGTGGACCGGCCGTGGGAGTTGAGGTTGTTTTGGGAAGTGGAGCGCTTCATGGCGGAGGAGGGCATGGGGATCGCGGAGACGTTGTGATTGATACCGCCGAGAGTCTATGTTAAAGTTAAGCGGTTAGTATACCAGCATTGGTTTGGAGGTTGAGCGCAATTGCGATGCGATGCGAATGGTGTGGGGAGTGTGGACTGACTTCTCGTGGTCTTCGGACTGAGAACAGTCCGGACTCGTGCGCCATCGCCACCAGGAATCAAATATTCGAGGACCTTACTATCCAATACAGTATCCTGAGTTCAGCAGCAACTGTTCTAGCTTTTGAGTTGTGCAAATTGTGCGGTGCTGCGCATGGGGTTTCAAGTTGAGGTGCGGATGAGGTTCTGTTGTCGCGTTTGTTTACTCAAGTGAAGGGCTCCAGCAACGGCGCTTCTGATTGGTCCCCAAACATCGGTAGGGTATTCTGATTCTCAGCCAAGGCCTTAAGGCAATAAGGCATATATTCAAATTCCGATCTTCACATGTTCTGTTTTATTATAGGCTATTTACATGTGAACTGAAGAGTTGGATGGATGGGAGTTACTGGAGTGATGGTTGGCAGGACGAAAAGTAGGTATAATTTAACTGATGAAAATCCGATTGCCGCTATCCTCAGTTACAAGTGCTTTCATAAGAGTACAGTAGCGGCAACCAGAGTGCCATTCCATACATGTAACCAACTCCCAACACCAGCAATTGCACACGGTGTTCTAAAATACATAGACAAACGGTTTTCTCATGCACCCACCGCCGCCTCGGTGACCGTGCCACTCTCCGACGTATCCTGCTCTTTCTTCTCGCCATTAACCGCCGGCGACGGCTTCGACGCCGCCATCTGCCACGCGGGAATTGCGGCCTTCCCGTTGGTCCCGAACCTCCCATAAGGGCTTTGAGTCTGGGCGCGGTCTGCAACGTTGGAGCTGGATGAACCTGTGGCTTGAGCTTCTCCAGTAACGGATGCTGAGCCGTTGGTCGCTGCGGTCGGTGTTGCCGCCGTAGGAGTGGCTGTAGGGGTAACTGCAGGGGTAATCGTAGGCGATGCGGTGTTCGCCGCTCCATCAACTGGTCCTTGCACGCCGTACACTGCTGGGGTAACCCCCGAGAGTGGTCGCTGATGTCCAGGAGCAGCTTGGGCAGATCCCATCCGGTTGCCGATTAAGGTCTTCAGGCTCTTCAATTCCTGGCCCAGTTCTCTTAGTCGCCCGTCGGCGCTTTCCTTCTGAGCATCCATTGCCCGCGGAAGCTGATCCCGCAGTCCCCGGATCTCATCTGCCGTGCGGCGCGCATCATCGTTGCGGCGGCGGTCGGCCTCGGTCAACTCCTTGATGACCGAGTCGAGATTGTCGAGGGCGCTGTCCAGACGATTTGTTCGGGCTTCTTCGGAGGATTTCAGGGAGGCGGTATCAGTTGCGAGTTGGTCGAGGAGGGCGAATGCGCGAGCGAACTGTTCGTCGATGGCAGCTTTGTCCTGCTCGACTTGAGGTGGTGTGGGTGGTTTGATTAATGGGACGAGATATCGCTGGCGATGTGTTAACGATAGATCTTCTCGGAAAAGGAAGGATGGCGAACCTTTGCGGTGAAGTAGAGCCCGTAGCTAACACCTCCTACTACGGTCGCCATGATGAACCAATCTCGCCAGTCGCGCCGAGGCACTCTGTTCATATGTCAATCTCGCGTCGTTCATAACAAATCTGTGGCCACCTACTCTGGGGGAGGTTGTTGCTGTGGCCACGTCGGAGGATACCCATATCCTTGGGGCGGCTGTCTATAATTGTATCCTGTAGGAGGTGCTGTTGCTACCGCACCAGCTGGAGCAGGGCCACTCCCTGATCTCGCTAAGGCTACATCGACCTCATCTTTGGTGAGGTTTTTCGATTCGAGAAACGCGAGCTTCTTCTCGATGGGCGCGTTTGCGACCGATGGGTCCTGGAGAACTAGAGGGTTGTTAGTAAATTCGAGAAACATCGGAACCGTTTTCATGTCATACAGGTGACCTATGCAGTGGTTAGTTGAGTGATCTCTCATCCCTAGGTGTTCGATGACGAACCGCTGAGTTGACCAGGTCTTCGCGGACCATTTTGGCGGATTGAAGTGAGCGCTCTCTCACCACTACGTCCGCTGTATCCCCTACTCTTTCATAGATGATGGAAAAGTAAGATCGCAAAGAGTGCCTTGAATGTTACAAATTCCAGAATCGCCATCGGCACGATGTCTACGGACCGAACCCTTCCTTGAAGCCACCATTCGGCATGGGGAACCTCGGCAGCGGCGGCCTTCGTACCCCGTGACCCCAGCCACCTCGTCGGCCTTGCCAATGTCACATGACCGGCCAACCGCCGATTTTCGGCTGACTAAGGAATCCTGTGTAAGCTATTGTTCACGTATCACGATGCTTCCACCCTCCACTCAGCATCTCCCTCCTCTCCATCCTCCAGACAGTCTAAAGGCTTAGTATTGGTGTATCAGCTCTTCGATATTTCGGTCTTTTGAAATTGCCAAGAATCGATCCATCCTCAGAAGCCCAGCCGGTAACATTCACGTGGCACCTTGCAACAACCCATTCGGCAGCTCGGCGCGTCACAGTAGACGTGTCACATCATGGACATGCTCAAAGACCTGGACCCGCTGAATGAACTTCCTCAATAGAAATAATGACATTGCCTGCTCTGGTGGCACGTATTCATACGGGTTGTGCGATTTTGACCAAATGATTTGATTCTTGGAATGCATCTCCCATTGAATGTCCCTCAATTCGTAATGTCCAATTTAGACTAGATACTACACATGTCATCCATTATCTTAGGTTCCCCCATCTTTTTTATTAATATTATTTCTCTTGTCGGTCCTTTCTTTTCTCTTAGTGTTTGGGGTATTCCTTTCCTTTTCTCACGTCACTAGAGTCTCGCTTCGTTCCAGCTTGAATCTGAAACCCGAAGAGCCTCAAACGTGCGGTTAAAGTCATGCACCACAGAATTTCGGAATCTCGTCCATCCGGTCAAAGCATTTCTCCTCGACCAGTAGTATGGCGGGACTTCTTACATGCGTTTCTCACATCCGTTCGGGCTTCCGACGCGTTCTGTTCGGGACGCCGTTTCGGAGCTGTGATACTCTTCAGCTAGGAGCCTTGGCATCCCCAGAGCCGCTCAACTTCGCACCCAGCATCATGCTTTCTCTCGTCTTCAATTGCGTGTCTTGCCTTCAGCATGGTATACTTTCCCATAGACACGATCTGCATCGAAGAGCTGACAGCATGGTTCTGGGCACGATCCTGCAATCATAGATTCTGGCCTGAGCAAGCCGATGAATCCCTTGGCTTGTGGGCGGGCCTCTGCCAACACGCAGTACCTAGATTTTTACTTAGAGCACCGACTCGTTCCAGGGAGATCTAGCGTTTTCTCACGTACGCTCTGTGTCAAGATATTGATTGATTTTAGTAGAGATCGCCCTGTGCTACCCAGCCTTGTTCTCGGCACAATGGACGCATGATATACAAAAGGCCTCCGCTGTTCCCTCGATTCTCAAGTAGGCATAGCTTGGCGTAAGGTCTTCTTCCGAGTCCAAAGGTTCAGTTCTCTATCTCGTGCCGGTCACAGACTCTACCATTCATACTTTCCTTCATTTTATACTCTCCTTCATTTGTACGAGCTGTGCTCGACTGTCCGCTCCTTTGAAAGTGAGCGTTGTTCCTTTTGCATTTTCTCTTCATTACGCTCTCTTTCGGTCACGATGAAGGGACTTCTCCCTCTCACGACACTTCTCTACGTATCTTTCGTAGCAGCCAACCCGCTGCCAGGCGACCATGGCCGTAAGCATCAAAATACTTGTCTATCAACCTTCTCTAACACTGGTCAAGGCATCGCCGATCTACAATCTCGAGGACAGCCCTTAAAGCAGATTAGGGACCAACCCAATATAGCCCGCCGATCCACTGGCCTCGCCTTCGCCAAACGCGGCCGGAATACTAAGGATGCCGAAGATTCTGCCGATGCTGCCACCGAGGAAGCCGCTATTGCAGCATTAGAGGGCAATCAAGCAGATCCTGAAGCCGCTGCCGCTCCGGCATGCGCTGCGGCCCCAGCCGATGCCACCGCCGATGCCACCGCCGCCGCAGCCAACGATCCCGCCGTTATATCACCTGCCGCCCCGGAAGGTGCCGTTAACAGGGCAGAGGTCCACAAACCTGGCGCTCAAGCCGGTGTCGCTCCTGCAAAAGTTGTTATCCCGGCCAACGGTGCCGAAGATGCTGCCGATGTAGCCGCCGAGGAAGCCGCTATTGCAGCATTGGAGAGCCATGAAGCAAATACCCAAGCCGGTGCCGCTCCGACAATCGTTGCAACCCCAGCCGATATCACCGGCGTCGCAGCCAAAGACCCCGCCGTTACATCACCTGCCGCCGCGGAAGATGCCATTGGCGGGGCTGGGATCCACGAAGCTGGCGCTCAAGCCGGCGTCGCTCCTGCAGACATTGCTGCCCCCGCCAACGGCGCCGACATTGCGGGTAACGACACAGCCGTTGCAGCCCCAGACGCTGCAGGCAATGACACTGCTGTTGCAGCCCCGGCCGCTGCAGGAAATGACACTTCTGTTGCAGACCCAGCCGCTGCAGGAAATGATACTGCTGTTGCAGACCCAGCCGCTGCAGGAAATGATACTGCTGTTGCAGACCCAGCCGCTGCAGGAAATGATACTGCTGTTGCAGACCCAGCCGCTGCAGGAAATGATACTGCTGTTGCAGCACCGGCCGCTGCAGGCAACGACACCGCTGTCCCTGGAGGTAACGGCAAGGGAAACGGGAAAGGGAGAACTAAGGGAAAGGGGAATGAGAAGGGCAATACGGGTAAAGGAAATGGAGGGAATGGGAATGGGAATGGGAATGCTGCTAAGGGCAAAGGCAAAGCTGCTGCGGCTACGGGAGCAGATGCCGGTGGCGACGGAAATGGTATCCAACGGCTAACTGCGATAGCGCAGAGTCTTGGGATTCTGAAGCGGGATCCGGAGCCGGAACCGCAGCTTACCGAGATTCTTGGCCAGATCTTGGGGAAGGGGAAAGGCAACAGTGCGAAGGGCAATGGGAAGAATGCGGGAAAGGGTAAAGGCAAGAATGCGGCTCAGAACGTGGGAAAGCAGGCGAAGGGGAAGAAGGCTACAGCCAAGAACGGGAAAGGCAAAGCTGCAGTTGCTTGTACTGGTGAGTTTGGCATACTGTTTGACTCCACTTTATCCTGGAGCATCTGCTAATGTGTCCTATAGCTGCCGCACCAGCTGGAACTGGTGCTGCCGTGGCAGCTCAAGCCACTGGCGGAGCTGCTGCTGCGGAGAATGCGACTGTCGCGGATACTAGCTTCCGTCGACGCGATCGTCGTGTCCGACGAGCAATGGAACCCCGAGATTAGAGGAATTGGACGTAAAAATAGGGGTTGGTTGTAAAGGTATAACGTTGTTCGGTGCATAGGAAGCCAGTATGACCTACCGGCAGCCCTTGGTCGGAGTCTTTTCCTACTTTATGTCATCTCCTGCGGTATAAATTCAACTTGACACGACTATCAGAATATATAGAGGTCAATCATAAACATATTGGCAATCAACCATCACTACCTGTTCGTCATACAAGTACACTACATGTGCTATGCGTTTCCTTAGACTCTATATTTCTCACTCAGATATGACTTTGGCGAAGGTGGTTGAAACTAAATCGCCCTGGGGCACAGATGGTTCCTGTAGAGCACATTACGGCGCGACCTCAAGGCCATAAGTTGACAATTCATCCTATCTTCAATTTACATCATTTTAAATGAGCCCAATCCGAAACCCCAGTGTCGGAGCATCGTGCAGCTGGGCACCACCATCGAGCGAAGCTTAGAAGATACCTAAGATATTCGGCGGACTTGCGACTCCCCCCGGGACCTGTGGTTGAATGTCAGCAAAAGCCTTTTGTAAGCTTTCGGGACGGACTTACATTGCAAACCTCGCTCGTCACGAAGAACGAATACCGATTTAGCTTCTTGCACTGTTCCGCAAGCGCCTCTAGGTCGAACAATTCCCCAATCGGACATCCCCAGCCGCCTAGGAGCACTTCATGCATTGCGTAATCTTTCTGCGTGGCTAATACCAGGGCTAGTTAGCTATGTCCAGGCGCTTACAAGTCGACAAAATGTTACTTACGCCAGCATTCAAACGAAGGCTGGTCGCCTGCCACGGCTGAGAAGTGATTCCAGATCCACTCCAGCACTTCTTCGCTCTGCTGGACTCCCGAGAAGGTCGGTGGGCTGGGCCTAGCCGCGAGCTGCTTTACCTCATCCGTCGATAGCTTGTTGTACGAAGCCATGTAGCCTGTCAGTCGTATTAGCAGGGGATTGAATTGACAAGTGAACGGCAGATATTACCAGAGCGGATGATCAAGATATCGCCGAACTTGATCTCGACACCCTGCGCTTCCGCGACCTTTTTCAACTGATCCAAGGTGATATTCCCTCGCTCGAACGGGTTGTATTCGACGTTGTTCTCCAATCGCCAGCTATGGAAGTCGAGGAGCACGCCTCGTCCGACGATGCCCTTTTCCGCCCAGGCTGAATTTACCATAAGAAACGGCTAGATTAGATGATGAAGGGGAGTTACCATGAATTCCGAGAACATCACTCTTGTGCTCTCCATGGATGTCATCCATCGTCACGCCGTTGTAGAACTTCTCCTCCTTCTGGTATCCAAAGTGGCGGAGTCCATCCCCTACACTGAATCAGTGGATGCAATGCGTCCGGTTATAGGTGTATGTGGACGTACATTGGCTGCTGCTTTGCGTATTAAATGACCATGTATCATCATTGACAATTCTTGTCCCCTTTTGATAGACGTCCTTGTGGAATGCCTGACGGCCGAAGAATGGAACCTCACTTTGGGCATCCAGAGGCCAGTTCATTGAGACCCTAGGTACTCTGTTACCAGGCTGCCGAGAATGATAGACCGACATCGCACGAAAAGCATTGTGGCAGTTTTAAAGGGGTGGTAATGGTTACCTTGTCCCGGTCTGAATTTCCTTGGAGGCTTCCCGGACTACTTCGTCAGTCAGACGGTTGAGTGTGCCAAGCTGATCGTTGGAGCCGTATCTATAAATATGCCTTAGATATGTCCAGACTCTTGAATGGTAGGGTGTTCATACAGTCCCCATGCGGACCAAAAAGGGTCCCCCTTTCGTAGGGGTAGTTCTGAGAACTTTGGGATCGGTGACATCCTTGACTATGGCTGGTTGAGCAACGTTTAAGGTACTTGACTGTTCAAAAATATACAAGAGATTTATTATTTGACTTGGAAGAACTCATGGAGAAATAACAGCAGAAAATAGCCTGGTAGGATCGTCATCGCGGAGTCTCTCCGAGTCCCTCGGTGCAATAACATCAATACGCGGGGCATTGTTCGTCATGGTCAGGAGGGCAGCTAAGTACGGCACCTGCAGCTCTTCTCCCTGTATGTCTGCGGAGTTGAGATAGACGGAGAGTTGTAGTAATCGGCTCTTGCGGTGGCGAATTCATCAGCATACAGCCGAAAGGTACCTGTATTCATTATTCCACATACAATCCCTTTTGAACCTGTCATTTTCGCAGGGACCAGGCTGATTTGCCGTATGGACAAGTGGGGAAAATATCTTTCGGCCCGTCTATCAACAGCTCCAAATGTTGGTGGTATGGAGGCTGATGAGTCGTTCTCTTCGATTGCTATCTCGGCAGATTTGAGGTTTTAGTGATCGAGGAGGGATCTACCCCTTCTCTTCCCTTTCCTTTAGCCTTTTCTGTTTTGAATCCCATTTCAAGGTGTAATTGATTTGATGAATTCGATGGAATTCAGCTATACAGTATACATTTGCCGTTCTTCAATGTGACCGGGGTAGATCATAGCGTCGTATCTGCAAGCATCGAGATGATGCGGATGATGAACCACAAGCTATTAAAGCTTTAAACAACCTCAAAGACCCTCTGTGCCTTATGACGCTCCACCTCCACCCCGACGCTCCTTTGTTACCTGTCCTAACCGTAGTCAGCATCGATCCGCTGATATATGTCGCTTCTCCAGCACGCGCGAACATGTCTCGCTAACCAAGTTGCGAACAAAAGTTACAATGCATTCATTTCCCGCGCGACGGAGGAGCAATTGCTCCGCGTCGTTCCAGATGGAGAAAATGCATCTACGCAGCGTATGCGTGCCTCAACTTCCTCTCTAGCTCGCCTGAAATGCTAATGGACCTTTCTAGGCCCGCTAGAAGGCAAATTGATTGCTATCAAAGACAACATTTGCACCACCGACTTCCCAACCACAGCCGCATCCCGCATCCTTCACGAGTTCCCCTCCCCATACGATGCGACCGTCGTCTCGAAACTCCGCGACGCCGGCGGTGTCGTCGCGGGGAAGACGAATCTGGACGAGTTTGGGATGGGTTCCCATTCGATTCATTCCCACGTCGGTCCCGTCTCCCAGCCGTCCTCGATGGAACATGGAGAAGGCCAGCTTTCTGTGGGAGGTAGTTCCGGAGGCAGCGCGCTTGCGGTCGCGACAGACCAGTGTTGGGCATCGCTGGGGACCGACACGGGCGGTTCGGTGAGGCTTCCTGCAGCATATACTGGGGTGTATGGTTTCAAGCCATCGTACGGGCTGCTCTCGCGATGGGGCGTCCTGGCGTACGCGAACTCCCTGGATACAGTTGGGATCCTTGCGAAGGACGTCGACTCCGTGAAATCTCTGTTCCATGCCGTCAATGGCTATGACAAGAAAGATCCCACCAGCCTAGCCGAATCGTCAAGAAGGCGGATCACCGAGCTGGTGGAACAACGGAAGCGATCCGGCCGCTATCGAATCGGTGTGCCAAAAGAATATAATACATCCGGAATCGATCCGAAGATCAAATCCGCCTGGAGAGCGACCTTGAAAGCGCTACAAAGCAAAGGCCACTCCATCCACCCCGTTTCCCTTCCCGCAACCAAACTTGCCCTCCCCGCCTACTACGTTCTCGCCCCTGCCGAAGCTGCCTCCAACCTGGCGAAATACGACGGCGTTCGATACGGCACCCGGTCCTCCGGCCCCGACACCAGCGGCGGCGTGCTCTTTTCCCAAACGCGCTCCGAGGGCTTCGGCGACGAGGTGAAGCGGCGGATCTTGCTGGGGAACTACTCGTTGAGCGCCGAGGCGATCGACAACTATTTCATCCAGGCGCAGAAAGTAAGGCGGCTGGTGCAGCGGGACTTCGATGGGGTGTTTTCGTTGCGGAATTCGCTGGTGGACGAGGGGGGGGATGGGGAGGGCGAGGGAGAGAGGGTGGATGCGCTGCTGGTGCCGACTGCGCCGACTTTGCCGCCACTGGTTAAGGATGTGAAGCGACAGGATCCGGTTGCGGCGTATATGAACGATGTGTTCACGGTGCCCACAAGTCTGGCGGGGCTGCCGGCCATCAGCGTGCCGGTCAAGACCGATCATGGCGCCGCACGGTCACAGATAGGGATGCAAATTATTTCCCAGTATGGCGATGATGAGTTGGTACTGGAGATCGCACAGTGCTTGAGTGAGAGTTGAATGCCAAGGTCTATTTTCAAGAATGATGATGATGATGGTGGTGCTACGAATATCAAGTCCTAGACAACTTCAGAACCAGCCACGAGCAGTGGCCAACCATAGGTCGATAGTCTTACTGGCCGCATACACCTTCTGAATCCTGCTGCCCAGAGCTGCGGAGACAGGATGGGCACTTCGTGCTGACCTCGCAGGTATGGGTGGCATCCAATTCAGTCTTACACTGCGGTTCGTCGTCGATGGATCGCGTTTCATCAGTTTGGCATCCCATATCTCCGGATGAGGTCAATGGTGTAGAGTCCTTTCCGTCTAACCCATCGTTCAGGGCTGAGTTGGTATTGTCCTCCCGTGTTTTGCTGCCTTGAACATCGCTGTACTCGTCAGCCTCGTTCCGGGCCTGGTCGAGAGGTCCTTTCGAGTCTGAATGCAGGCGGAACAACATTCCATACCATGGGCGTGCATGCTGATCACCACTCACTTCGGTAACGTTTAACTCTGGTTCGGCGGTGGTTGCAGTCGAGGTTGTCGAACTGGCAGCATCGTCCTGATGGTCCTGGTGGTCCTGGTCATCCTGTGTGGCCTGTTCGTCCTGCTTATCCAGCTTGGCCTGCTCATCCAGTTCGTCCTGCTCGTCCAGATTGTCCAGTTTGGCCTGCTCATCCAGTTCGTCCTGTTCGTCCAGATTGTCCAGCTTGGCCTGCTCGTCCCGCTCGTCCCGCTCGTCCAACTTGTCCAGCTTGGCCTGCTCGTCCTGCTCGTCCTGCTCGCCCAGCTTGTTCATCTTGGCCTTCTCGCCTAGCTTTGCCAGCTTCTTCAGCTTCGCCTGCTCGTCCACGAAATTTTCCCAATCCCGCCAGTCCTCCCAATCCCGCAAATCCCGCCAGTCCCGCCAGTCCCGACAGTCTTGACAGATTTGGAACTCATGGGCGTCATGCACGGTGTGCCAGTCCTTCCATTCCTGCTCGTCATAGTCGTCATAGTCCTTATACACCTCATATTCCTCCTTCCTGTCACGCTCGTCCTGCTCGTCATATTCGTCATATTCCTCATGCTCGTCCTGCTCGTCCTGCTCGTCCTGCTCGCCCTGCTCGCCCTGCTTCTCGTGCTCGTCGTGCTTGAGACATCGATGCAATTCCTCCATCAATTCCTCATCCGACTGGCTCATCTTCAGTGTTCGAAGGGTGCTACGATCATCTTGCGATCCATCATTCGCGGTTTGTACCGATGTGTCATTGGTGGACGGACGATCGTCTTCAACTGCGTCCTCGGGGTCCTTCATAGTACAGTCTGGGGCGTGGCGTCCGTTTTCAACGTGGAGATTGGCTCCTTCAGGTTCACATACGGTACTTTCCACAGATTCCTGTCGGGGGGCGGAAGTATCGAGAGGAGCAGTCAAGACGAATACGGGTGAGTTTCGGCCGGATTGATGGAAAACACTGACTCCCTCGATAGGCGACGGCTGGGACTCATCCGATTTGGCTACGTAGGCAACCGCGGATGATGGGATGGTGCCCTTAGGGACATCTTCTGCATGCTGGTCGGTCAGCTTGGCCGTTGCCTCCTCGTCTTCGGGGTCGTCTTCGTGAGCTGTTTGCTGCTCAACCGTCTCCGTCACCTTCTCTGGTTCTTCCCTAGCAGCAACTTCGAGGTCATGGAAGATCTGGTCTGTGGCTGCGTCCAGTGACAAATGCGGAAGGGGTCGGACTTCTCGTCGACGACTCCGACGCGGGGTCTCCGCTGCGTTCGGTTCCAATGGAAATCCGGTGCCTGGCATCGGGGTGATGAAACAATCCGTCCGGAAGGAAGTCGTGGGGCTTTTAAACTTTGGTTCCCGATCAGCAAAAGCACTGCTGGTACGTGCTTGATGCTCAAGGGCTGGGACCGTATCTTGTGCCTTCTCCGTGGTGTTCGCAGGCTGGAGTGCATCGGTAAATCCTCGATGCTCATAGTTTGGCGGCTTGTCGTCCAACTCCAGTGATCCGAAAATTTTGTGCTCAGGGCTGCTTCCATTGGCAGTGCGGTAGATTCGGCTGCTTTCTTGGCTGATCATCGACTCCAAGGAATCGGTGTTGATATCGACATCCATGAGAGGCGCAAGTCTGGGAGGCGCGGCGCGAATAGGAATGGGAGATGAACGTGGAATATCTTGCCGCCCCTCGAAGACATCGTCACACATACTCGGGTCTCTTTTGTGACGGCTCCTGCTGAAAGTCGACACATGGAGAATTCCGGAGGACCTGTAGACCGGAGGCTGCTCGGCGCTGGTCTCACTCGTGCACGAGCGATCCATGTGCATCAATGGATAACGGTCGCCATGAACCGTCCAGTTCAACGCGGAAATATCGCGTCGCTTCTTTGGAGACTGTGAGACGGACCGTTGCACCAGTGACGAAGTGCGACTCGGGATAAAATCATTGTCCCCGACACTGTCATCACCACTAACAGTATTGGATCAGCGCTCCACGTGAGAAAGTCGATAGGCGGGTCTTACGGGAGGGATGCGTCCTCGGCGGACTTCAAAGCAACAAAGCTAGAAATGCTTGCACGAGCTCGCACCATTCGACGGGACACACTACTGAGGCTACGGGATACCGACCATCGGCCTTCCCGACGGCGTGGACTCTCCGGTTCCATAGTGACACGGTGGCGAGCCGCGAGTGGTTCTCAATCAAGCGCTGGTTCTCAATCAGGACTGAAGAAAAGGAAAGGGTGATCTCAATCAAGCATTCACTGATTGTTAAGAAAAGGAAAAGGTGATCTCAATGAAGCATACGTGTGATACTCAGGTTTGAGGAAGCGATGAAGACAGGAAGACGACAACAATCTTTAAGTGGAAGTGACAGGAGAGGAAACTGCTCTGGACAACGATCGGTATGACAATCACGAACGATGATTTGGCTTGGATATGCCGAATAAGGAGGCGCTACATAGAATGAATGCTACTCGTGTAGCACGAGTTACCTTACGCTCTCTCCCCTACCATATCAGGACCGGAGTAAGATTCCTTCCTTTTGCTCAGTCTCCCCCCTGCCGGTCAAGAATTCTCATGGTGTCCGATGAAAGGAACGCATCGATATTGCCTCTAGGTGCTGTACAGTGATTCTTGGACGAATTATTGAACAATAGAGTCGCATTTCGTCGGTATGGACCTCGATGGAAACATGACATCCCATTGACACAGGAGTCACGCACTCCTGCTGACTGGTCTGTTACAAGTTCGGATCCTGTATAGAGTCGCATGGTTTAGCAGTGATCCTGTCATGAGGAGCAGGGAGTGCAATATTTTGACGCATATCGTTTTTGGACTTCGAGGTGTTCAAATAAACACGATGAAGTGAACTCATGAGTCAGAACTGATATCAGGTATTAGGGAGACTTTGCAGTTGCTCCACACACTAAACTCCGATCTCCGGCGCTAACGGGAATATCTGTATACGGCTTAGCGTATGCTATTTAGGGGGTCATTTCGTGTTTTCATAGACACCTGGATCATAGAGAACGGAGAACGAATTAATCTCAGTCAATAGTATCGCTCATCGCTTTCCCTTTCACGCGCCGTTCAGTCAGTATCTTCAAATTGGATAGCCCTCGACGTATCCGCTTGTCCACCCGATCTGCACCATCTTGCGTGTACCCTCTCCATCGACCCGTCGTCGCGAAGTTTACCATGCCTAAGAAGCAGCACGAGCAGGCGTTCCGCGACATCATCGATACGGGTAATTCTCCCTGGCGTTGAGAGGCCGAGATTATGGATCTAACTCATTCTAGCTCGCAAAAGGAAGCATACCGAGGCGTTGGCCCAGAAGATTCTTGGCTCCGGTGGCCGCCGGACCAGCGCGCCAGGATCCCTCGAGTCCCGCATTGACAAGCCGACGCATTCTCAAAGCATAGGAGGCGCGGTCCAGTCGGGGAGAGTGGGAAAGGTATCCCGATATCCCAGCTTCATCAGCTATGGTGTATACTGATATCGATGCAGAAAGCCAGACCAACCGCCATCGCGTCGACCGCAGCGTCGAAGCCCACCGCGCGGCGAGCTCGCGTGCAGAACCTCTACGAAGATGTTATCACAGCCGATAACAGTGCGCTGTCCAACATCGCCAGTGTTCGGCGCACCTCGGACGCGATCCAGGTGAAAGGCATGGGATCTCCGAACACGGTCATTGCGAGCAACTTCGCGTATGGTACAACCGCGGCGGACATCGAGTCGGTCCTCCTTGCGCCAGAGAATGGGATTGATGGACTGTTACGGTGCCGTCTCCTCAGTTCGTCACCGACAGTCATCGCGGAGTTGACGTTCAGCGAGCGCTTCGCCGCCGAGAGAGTGATTGGGCTGTTCAACAACAAATCGGTAAGTGACAACCGCTGTTGCCGTCGAACGACGACTTAGACCAGTGCATAGGCCGATAACCACATCCTACACGTCTACTTCAAAAATGAGCGCCAGCCCCCTGTCAAGGCCCCCGCAGCCAAACCCACTCCCACCCGATCCGCCGCAAAGGTTCTGCGCGGTCCACCGACGGGACCGAGACGCGATCGAGAGAGAGCCGAGGCCATGGAACTCGACGACCGAACGCCACCGAAGGCTCCCCGGGCGCAGGTGGAGAATCCTCGTCGCGCGCCGGCCGAGTTCCAGGATGGTCGATACGGGTTCGCGGAGGAGCCGGCGTACAATGAGAGTGGTGGAGGCGCTCGTCGGGGACGCAATTACGGGGGGGGTTCGTCGGGACTGCGGTCGGATGTGGTCATGTCCGACCGCGATCAGGGCTATCGCCGCTGAATGAATGCAGGCACCGACGGAGGAATCCGCATCGGCATATTCATCATGAATGGGGGTCTGCGACGACCGACAATCGCGAATGATGGTTCTTGACCATTCACCGACATAGGGAAATATGTGCTGGGGGTGCGCATTCAGCGCTGGATACCAAGTTCTGGCTTATATAAATAGCACGGTTATTCCCGACACACTGTAATATACATAGTTGCCGTCCAAAATGGGCAAGGTGTTCGGGTACTTGCAAAGAATCCGAGACACAATTCACTCTGTGGATGATGTAGCTAGCACCTTGGGCACTTTGACGTGCCAAAAGACAGCTCTAAAAAGCACTTAGGATAATATAGAAGTTGATAATTACCTTATCTATTTATTCGGATTAATCAAAGGCCCTACTGTAGTACTGAGTACTCACCTCTGCAGCTCTGCTTCAATTGCATCAACAGTGGAACAGTCCCCAATGCGGGAGCACCCGTTGAACTTGAACAGAACCCGGCATATCAATGTTACAAGTACGGAATACGGAGTACTAAATACCTCCTAAACAGTCCTAACCCATACTAAATAAATACAGCTGGGCGTCCACGGTCCAAAGCCTAAACTCCCAAGTCCCAAATCCTCGAAGTTCGACGAGAAGACCCTGCAGACGGCTGCAGTACCGTAAACCCCGACCTCCGTCATTCTTAATTTCATCCCCATCAACCGCATCAGGGCTTTGATGACCCCGACCGTACCTTCAAATCCACACCACTCATTGCCTACAACATGACGTCCGTAAATCCCCCACCAGCTCCATCATGGAGCGAAGACGAGCTCATCGAGGCGCTGGCGCTTCTCGAAAACATGCAAGAACAGGTACCGCCGCCCTCCTCACCCCCTCCCCAACCCATCTCCAGGCGACATACTAACCCCAACCCCCCCCCCGTAGCTCGATCTCCTCCGCACCATTCCCGCCGGCATCATCCGCGCCCTCGGCGCTACCCATCTGTCCCCCGAAGACTACTTCCAGAACTTCCTCGTGCCCGCGCACGGCGGCTCGCGGCGTCTGAACAAGTTCTCGACCGACTGGCACGGCGCGCCAGTGCGTGGGATTGTGGAGCACGCGAGCGCGCGGGAGAAGGAGGACGCGGATCTGAGCGCGGGGTTGACGGTGCCGAAGTACGGGTGGAGGGAGCTGGCGAGGTCGAATGCGAGGGTGAAGAAGGAGGGGGAGGATGGGGAGAGGGGGACAAAGAGGGAGGAGGTGGAGGAGTTAGTGAAGGGGTTTGATGAGCAGACGGAGAAGGCCACGGTGAATTTTGATAAGGAGAGTTTGGTGATTAAGGTACGTGGTTCGCGGTCGGAGGGACGCGACGCAACTAATATATGGTACAGATACAGCTGAAGGTGCCACAGTGGAAACTGCGGTTCGTTCTGAATCCGGAGTTTGACGACCAGGACCATGTGGTCTATCAAGTAGAGTGTGTCGGCAGCAAACCCGCGCAAACCTCGATTACGCGGTGCATGAACAAACGCCCGGCTGCTGGCGACCTCCAATACCTTCTGGTACGTCCTCCGCCACCAGCGCAACCCCATGGCTAATTCCGAGCAGGACATGATCGGCGCGTATCAGGATGCCCCCTTCGTGACTTGCGCCATCTGCAACAAAACCGTCAACCAACAGGTCATCCACCCCACCGGCCGACGCAGAAAGGAGATTAAGAACGACGACGGCACCACCGAGACCGTCTGGGAGCCCTACCACGAATCCTGCACCTGATCTCCCGTTCCGAGCGCACTAAAACCCCTCCACCCACCCATGTGCATCCGGCACACCCCAATGCCCCCACACATCCCGCACCATCCCCCGCTCCGCATCCACATCGCTCCACGAATACGCCCGCGGGTACCGGTAGGTCCTTGACCGAAAATCGTACACCTTCCCCGGCCGCCGGTAGCGCGCGGCGGGCCACAGCGGCGGCAGGCTCGCGTCGTCCAAGAGAGGATCGAACTGGGTCCAGCGGCTCCAGCGGGCGCGGGGGACGGGCTGCGCCGCGGGTGAGGCAGTGATAGAGAGGAAAATGTCAGGGCCGCGGCCGGTGAGGAGGTCTTTCCAGCGGGAGCGGCGGGTGCCGTTGTGGTGGTCGCGCGGCCAGATGAGGTTGTAGTGGGGCTTGTCGATGCGGACGCGGTGGCCGTTGCGGACCCAGCCGACGCCTTTGATGAATTCGGGGCGGGGGTTGCGGGACCACGGGTTTTCCATGTTATGAAGATATGGCTGAGAGTTATGGGAGGCCGATGACAGATGCTTGGTGTTTAGCGGGGAATCGAGGAAGAATGGTATATTGGTGACTTGGATTACGGCCTTTGTTCCGAAGCGGCACTTATATTGAGCTCTGTCAAGGGGGGCAAACCGCACGACACATTTATGTTTGATATCGTGATTTTACGGATATGTAGAAGAGAATTCATTGTTGCCAACAAACACTTGTCCTGCATCATGCTTTGATGCAGTAGGCAATCAGATGGGGAGTATGGTCCAAGGATCGGTCGTTGAAATGGGCGGGCATGATTGTTCTGCTCCCGGCAGATGTCAAATCGGGCAACATGCGTTAGAATCCGATCATTCCGGAGTTGATGTCACAACCGTAGCATCGTGGATCAAATTGAGCAGAATCGCAAACGTTTGTAGACGCGGGTGATCTCGGATCTATTGACGGCTATACTGTACAGAAGATTTCTTCATAGCATTCGCTCCCTCACAGCTTGCTGATGAACAGCCTCGCCAACATCGTCCGCATGTTCTTCGGCAGGATATATTTGGTGAACACGTAGATCAGCGCCGGGATGAGGATGAACGCCGTGGTAACCTCGTTGACGAAGTAGAAGGGGATGAGCTGGGGCATGGCGGCGTAGAGCATGGTCTATGATATCGTCAGTACCGCGAATCCCACCACGCTCCTCGTCTAATGCCGTGACATACGTAGTTTGGCTTCTCCTGCTTCGCCGGGGCGGCCAATTGGTTCCGGGCCTGCTGCGCTCGGAACGAAGGAACCTTCACCGTGGACACCTTCGCCGAGGTCGACGCGGCGCGGGCAATCAGGGACCGCGAGGCCGTGGATTGAAGGCCCAGCGATTGGCGCTGGAGGCCCTGCACAAGAGGGCGGAACAGTCGTGATGAGGACATGATGCTAGCAAGCAATTAGCTGGTTGGGTGTTGGAGTCGGAAGGTTTGCGGGCAGAGCATACGGAGCGGGTGGATGGGTAGGAGGGGTCAGAGTCGGTTTGATGGACCAATTCCACAATCAAAGTCAGCCACACCGACGTCGGTAAGGCAGCTGATGAATTGATGGATGGGATGGAGGTTGGAAGGCCGTTGGTTGATCGGACGGGTCGTGGTAGAAGCTCTCTCTCGACCATCAAGTTTGGGTTGGAATCCACGAAGCATGAGGTCGGAGAAACTGCGGCCGGCAAAAGGATGATCCGGAGCAGGGATATATGTGGCTGATTTACTGTGGCTGATTTACTGTGGCTGAAGTGCTTCACTGCTTTTTTCTGTTTTTCTACAAACAAAACCGCGTTCACGTGTTTGGGTGCAGGGGGTTGCGCTCTGCATATCGGAGCTTCACCTTTCGCTCCATCAGACTGGCATCGTTGCTATGAAAAGTTGCTTGCTAAAAGGAGCTTTCACGCTCCCTCTCTACCCTCCCCCTACCCAGTCGATTGGTTCCCTTCAGTGACACCGATATTGTTGAAACTCCTTTCTCCGTTTGATCCCCATACCGAACGACACACCTTCCTCCAACCCACGATCCACGCCGCCCACCATGTCGCTCTTTTCGAAGTTGAATACTGGGCAAACAACTCAGTCGAGCCTATTCAACCCGACGAGCACCACTTCAGCGGCCCCAACATCATTCAGCAGCCTTTTTGGAGCACCGCAAGGGACCCAGCCCCAGAGCAATCAGAGCAATCCTGCGACATCCAACCCAATGTCACAGGGTACACAACCTTTCGGTCTTAGCCTGGGAGCGACCACAAGTTCATCACAACCTCCGCAGCCTACACAGCCTGCACAGCCTTTCGGTCTTGGGTTTGGAGCGACGACAAGTTCATCACAGCCCGCGCAGGTAGCACAGCCAGTGCAGCAACCACAGCAGAACACCCAAAACAACCAACAGGCGACCGGCGGTTCCAGTCAATCGGCATATTTCGATCACCTCCTGGAACGAGCCCGAAAGAACAACAAAAACAATGGCGTCTCGCAGTTCGGGGAGCTGCCGAACCTCCAATTGGGGCTGGCGGACATCGCCCGGAAAGTGCGAGATCTGGGGACGGGCGGCCCGGCGGAAGCTGGAGCACCGGGAACGAACGCGTATGTGTAACTTGTGACCGGAGTTTATTTGCGCTTCATCTCATGTGCCCCCCATGCTGACCACGATTCAATTCTAGACAATATCTCCTCGCTGCTTCGGGCGTGTCAGTCGCGTCTGCCTTGCGCGATCTGAACGACGTCACTGCGCGATCGGGAACAAACGTCGCCGCGCAAGCTGCCAACGAACCGGACGCCGATATCGACGCCTATGTCGCCGGCCTCCATGCGCAAACAACGTCCGACCTCATCACGCAGAGTTTGGAGCAATCCAAACGGGACTTCGATGCGTTTTTGGAGGAAAATGTTCAGATGGAATGGGATGCTCAGCGACGACGCATCTATGAGCACTTTGGCTTGGTTGGTGCAAGGGAAGAGGATGGTAGTGTCGACGCGTCACAGAGTGGTTTTGGCAGGTCGTCCCGGAGAAACAGACCATTGGCAGCCTCTACATCGGTATTGGATCTTGGTCAGAACGGCATGTCCATTCGAAAATCGGTCATTGGAAATGCGGGAAAGCGAACACTTCGTGGATCCGCCCTGGGGGATCTCCCCAAGGAAAACTCAGGAAACAACCTTGCCTCCATCGGTGGCGATGCCAGTGCACATTTCCAACGGAACAAGCAAGAGAAATATGGCCAGAAGGTATCGGAGCTCAATCAGGCTCGGATCGGTGAGTTGACATACCCGCTCCTAACCCAGTTCTGCGAGGTCGAAGCTCAATCCAACGTGGACGATACCTCCTATTTGGTAGATTCCTACAAATCGCTCATCGAAGGTACGGAAGAGTCAGCGGTGCAGACGTCGCTGGATCAACCGGGCGCCATACGGGAGCGGAAATTTGCTCGGCTATACTTGAGCGATGATGCGCAACGATCCATGGACATTCGGAAGCGAATTCTCAACGGATCGAGGAAGTCGCTAGAGAACAAATTCCTCGCGCACGTCGACGCAACCATCGAGCGCAACCCGAAGGAGGCAAGGCTTGGAGGCATCCCTACGATTCTCAACCGTGTCCGAGCATACATCCGAGTCGCCACCTACCAAAAGGAGCTGGGTGCTGAAGTGGAGCAACTCCAGACTCTCAACGACGATTACCTGTGGGTTCTCATCTACTACCTCATCCGGTGCGGCCTGGTCACCGAAGCGGCTCAGTATGTCCAAGACAGCCAACGGGCCATCGTGGGAATCGACCGCACATTTCCCCAGGTCATGTCCGCCTACGCCAATGACCCCGAGCGAACGCTGCCTCCTGATTTAGCGCTTCGCCTTCGCCAAGAGTGGAACCGGCAGTCTAGCTATCCCACGGAGCAAGTCGATCCGTACCGGATGGCATGCTACAAAGTCATTGGCCGCATCGAGCTCGAGCGACGCACGTTGCCAAACATCAACATGAGTCATGAGGACTGGATCTGGCTGCAGTTTGCTCTGGCGCGGGAGTCGCGGCCCGAACAGGAGCTTGCGGCCAATGTGTTCGACCTGGCTGCATTGCGACAAACCGTGGTCGATATTGGGAATCGGCACTTCAAGGCCGGCGCGGACAACATCGAAAGCCCGGGCACGTTCTTCCACCTGCAGATGCTCGTTGGCATGTACGAGCAAGCGGTCGCGTGGCTCTACGACTTCAACCACGTCGCGGCCATCCACTTCGCCATCGCGCTGGAATACTACGGACTACTTCGCGTTTCCGATTTCAACCAGTCCGAGCTCCTGGGCTTCAGCACGCGAGAGGAACCGCAGATCAACTTCGCGTTGATGGTCGGCCACTACACGGGCGACTTCCGCTCCGCCAAACCCGAGCTCGCCGTCGACTACCTCACCCTCATCTGCCTCAATTCCGACCTGGAAGGCGCGCTCGGCGAGCGACAGTCGCAAATCTGCCTCGAGGCGCTGCGCGAACTCGTCCTCGAGACCAGGGAGTTCGCCCTCCTTCTCGGCGACATTCTCGCCAACGGGGAACGCATCCAGGGCGCGATCCAACGGCGCTCGAGGCTCATCCGCATTCAGAACGAAGATACCTTCCTGCAGTTCATCACCTCCCAAGCCGCCGCGGTGGCAGAAGACTGCGGCCGCGTCACCGACGCCGTACTCCTCTACCATCTCGCCGAAGACTACGACAGCGTCGTTTCCGTCCTGAACAAGACTCTATGCGAAGTCATCTCCACGGAGCTAGGCCAAGAGCGAATCCGACTGATCCCGCCGAAGCCGCGTGTCCAGACACCCGGCGAAGCGAAACCGGAGCTGCAGAGCTCATTAAGCCTGACGACGGTGGACGACCCGTCGATCCTGGCCGATAGTATCCGGCGGTTGTACATGAGCAGCCAGGAATTCTCCCGGCGGATCACGAAGTCCAACTGGGAGATACTGGGGCGGATGGTGATGCTTGCGAAGGCGCGAGATCTAGTCAATCAGGGAAATTGGGATGGCGCTCTCATGGTAAGTTCCCCAGATCCTCTCTCGCAACCCGCGTTCTCGTGGAGGTGGAGATGTTATTGACGCGCGACTAACTCACGATCCCAGGTCACTAAGCAGACTAATCTCCTCCCGCTCTCCGCGCAAGGCGACATCGCCGCCATCCGTACCGCTGCGAACAACTTCAATGCGTACCCCGAACTGTTGGCGCGCACCGTCGGCCCGCTGCTGCTCTACACCATCGTCGCGTGCGGGCAGGAGCGCAAGCGGCTGCGGGGGTCGCCGTACTTCGACGCGACAAAGGTGACGCGCGTGGAGGAGTTGGGGCAGGACGCGCGGGATCTAATGGTGTTTGCGGGGCTGGTGAGGTATCGGTTGGAGGGCCGCGTGTTCGAGGCGTTGGCGAGGGCTGGGGGAGATGCGGAGGTGGCGTGATTGGGAGTTGGGGGGTTGGGGGAAACGCAGGGTTTCTCTCGATATGGCTAGGGAATGGGAATAAAATCATGAGGATGTTGATATACCCTTGTTAGATATGGAGGTAGAGATGAGCCAACAGGACCAAATGCAGACCCCGGTTGCCATCCGTCAACTTGGTGCTCCACCGTATATCTCGTTGAGTTTCTTGGTCTATCCTGACGGAGCAGGATTAGCAGGTGTCGACACTATGAAGTATGACGATTTTAATGTCACGTCCTTCGATACATAACAACACTTTATACATGATTGGATAGACTGCAGTTCAGTAGTATCAGGATATCTTGGACAGAGTGAGATACTCTGGGCGATCTGATGATGCTTTCCATGGCGCGTCTACCCCACCAACTCCTTCATAATCCAGCCCAAAAAATCTCTATTCCCCGCAACAATAGCCACCGTCAAAAAAGCTACAAAAGCAGAGGCTGCAAAAGCAAAAAGAAATGATTTCGGCCGGGCTCGATCCGGCGACCTTGAGTGTGCTAACAGGATGTTAGACTCACGTGATAACCAACTACACCACGAAACCAATTGATGGAATGAATTTCCGGTCTTTTTACCAGGTGCACAAATCTTTTCAGACTTTCGTAAACCTAAAATTTCCCCTCTTAGATCGTTGCTGGGCAATTGGAGAGCGAGCATAATATCTCATACCCTGTGGGGGCGTATATTCTTCACGAACGGAATTATATCGGATGTCCTAGATGGTTGAGGCCGAAAAGGTCTTCGCAGTGCAAGAAAGATCCTTGCAGGGAGGCCTCCCCCTTATGGTAGAGGCTTAGAGCCTTTAACACATGAATTGTGAACTGCCCATTGAAGCAACTGTAAACATTTATTGGCAAATTGTACTCCGTACCTGTATAGTTTATTGTCCATATGAAAGTCATGAGATTTTAGCTAAATGCAACTAATCAAGGGACGGTCTCGACTGAAGCTGACCAATGGAAGCAAAAGAGCATACGGTCAATATTCGCATCAGTCTCAGTGATTGAATATATCTACCAGGTGCTCCACCGCTGAAACTTCCGTGTTCTATCATATCACCCCTAAAGGTTTCACCACCATTACAATCCATCGGTGGAGAGGATGGGGTTCATGACTCTGGTGGTGTGGAAAGATGAGCTCGGGAGTATCGAGGTGTCGAGGTAGAAGATTGACGAGGGATGAAGGCGATCAAGGAGAGAGCATGGAGAAAGCAAGCCTAAACGCGCCCTGAACATCGCAAGAGGCCCGACATATCGCTATTCATTACATATACCTATTTTACAGTGGCCGTCGAGGCCTATTTTTCCTGACCATATGCACCTGATGGGGAGAAAGATCAACCTTCACCAACAGCCGTATGTAACTCCCAAAAAGGACCCCGGCAGTCCTAGACAAATTAAGGATTAGCTGCCCTCCGTCCATCTAGTGTACCCCGTGTTGCGATGCATGGTTTTGGTGGCGGATAGCGGTAACGAGAGTCGTGGCTTAGCCTGAATACGCGGTCTCCACGAGATAGATCAGACCGAATACGATGAACGCCGTAGCCCCTCCAAGAGTAACTATCGGAGTGTTAGTGAATGGTTCCCAGTCAAGGACCAGGCATACGTACCAACTCTCATGCTAACCTTCCCCGCGATCGCCCGTCCTCCAATAACAGCCGCAGCGGTACAAGCCGCATGGCCAATGATCGCACCGCCCGTGACCCACCAATAATCCTGCCCAGCCGCCATGGCAATTGTAGCAATCTGCGACCGATCGCCCCACTCGCCAAGGAAGGTCATGATGAACGTCTGCACCCAGGCAGGGGACAGAAGCAACCCTAGCAGATTGTTCAGGCCGCTGAAGGCGGACACGACGGACCCGCGGAGACCGCGGGGGCTGGGCGAAGGGGAGCGAGAGGGGGAGGAGGAGGGCGATCGAGGATGGGTGGGGAGGCGGATCGATTCGCTTCGTCGGCCTCGACCGGATTCCAGCGCATATGGTGAAATTTCCGAAGGCCGGCGGGTGCTCCGCCTGGCGAGGTGCTCTTTCTCCTCAAGTTCCATTTCCACCTCTTTCATCTCTTCGCCGACGCCCTCGTCGGGGGACATGGCGAGACCTTCGCGGAGGAGACGCACGCCGAAGACGAGGAACAGAATGGTAGCGAGGAGGGACGTTAGCCGTTTGGATAGGAGGGTGGGCACGGCATGGCCCAGCACGGCGGAGAGGATAGTCATTGCGGTGAGCGCCGAGAGGGCGGCGGAGAAGACGACCATGCGCGGATGGCGCATGGCCATTAAGGCGGCGACCAGGAAGGTCTTGTCCCCGATTTCGGAGAAGATGATCATGGTGAGGGAGAGGATGAAGGAGTGGAGAGGTTGGATTATGCCCTCGTCGTCGTCGCCGGATGCGGCTGTCGGAGGCCGGAACGGTTTCGTGGTGGCTGGCTTGGTGTCGGAGTTGATGGCATTGTCACTCTTCGGTAATGTTGGAGGGTCGGGGTGGGGGATATCGTGGGGCTTATCTGGGAGATCGGCTGGCTTCTAGATGTGGATAACTGATTAGCATTCTATCACACGATTCAATGGCGTTCCTTGTGGTCCGTAGATGATACACACCTCCAGTCCAGTGGCGCCCTTGGGTTTCTCCTTGGGCTTCTCCTTGTCCTCGGAAAGTTTGACCGTCGTCTCCTTTCCAATCACCTCCTCTTCGTGCACCGGTAGCGGTGGTGCTTCCTTGGGAGGATCTGGCTTCCTCCCCGACCTCTCCCCCGATTTGTCCTCTTTCTCTTTTCGCTCCTTGTCCTTCTTCGAGACCCCTCCTTCGGTGCCAGTTGGGCCCTCTGGACTCGGATCCCGATGAAACATCACCCCATCATTCTCCGGCCCAAGCTTCCACGTTTCTTCGGCCAGTTTCTGGTTGACGCTTTCGGGTGCTGATGCTGGCTTTGGTCCTATGTCTTCCACCCCCGGTTTTGGCTTCTTTTGCTTGTCGATGTAGGGCCCTGCATGTGGCTTCCCATCTAACCCGTCGACAGGCGCATCCTTTGTGCCAACGTCCGGCTTGGACGGTGAAATGGTTGCTTGGACATTCAGCACAGCGTTTGCGTCTATTCCATTTCCCGCTTCTCTAGGGACCAGGGCGGTAGAATCGGGTTCGGGGGTATCGAGCGCGAAGGAAAGTTGAGCTAGGGGTAAGAAAAGGACAAGCTGTAGGTGCGATCTTCGTAACTTCATTCTTGCAGCTGATGAAGGGTATGATTTCGTCCTTGTCGGTACTCCTTCAAGGTACTTTTAAATGAAAAATCCCTCGAGGCCACCGATGTTTCCAATTCGAAGAGTGGCAAGTGGTGGAGGGTGGGATCAGGGACCACGGCCTAAGTGGTTCGGGATGGGCGGAACCGAACTAAGGGAGTCTCGGAGGGTAGAAGGCAGGTAAATATTAGGGAGCCAGGTAGAAAGGAGCGACCAAACGAATTAGATGGGATAGGGAGGTGGAAGTAGAAAAGTCGTGCAACGGGACGCGACAAGGAGTCAAATCCGGGGTTAACAGAATATGTTACGTACAGTCGGTCACTTACACATGAAAGGTGAAGCCCATGGGCCATGGCTGAGTTTCTGGGCTTCTGGCTGAATTCTGGCTGTTCTGGAGCGAGGGACACGAAATACACGTGATACTAAATACACGTGACATAATTTCATGCAGATGGGTTGAAGCTCCTTTCACACCCCGCTGTGCTCCTTTCACATCCCGCTCAGTGAATGGAGTGGGGTGGCACCGTGGCAGGTGTGAATGGAGCACAGCGGGGTGTGAAAGGAGCTTCACCCCATGCAGATATTTAATCACGTGATAGATCAGTCCTCTTTTGTTTGGTGTGTGGTGTAGGCGTAGGGTTCGTGTTATGGTTTGTAGGGTTGTAGGGATCCCCATTCAGTTTAGTGAGTTGCCTCAATTCCTGATCCAACTGTGATGGTTGGGGGCGCAATATGGATGGCTGCTGCCCACCCGCCCAATTGAGTACCCTCCTGGCCACAGTCATTCCACATTGTTGCCATCGGATTTTCAGCCTTCACCGCCATAATTTCGTCTTCCTACATTCATCTTCCTGCATTCATCTCCATCACTTTCCTCTTCTGTACTAAACCATAAATTCCGCCAAGCGGCACATTGTCTCGTCGTCTCATGATCAAAGCCCCAATATCAATCCTCTCCAGTTTCGATTCCACGTCGTCCATCACAAAACGTCGCGCAATCAATCATGGCGAGAAATCGTCGAGCAACACCACAGGCGGTAACAAGACGATCGGTGGCTCCAGCTCAAGGCGAAGGACGTATTACCCGACAACGTGCACGCGAACAGAGTGTTGAAAGCCGGGTCAGCGACGCGCCAAACCATCAACTAAAGGGTGTCCAGTCTCCCAAAAAACGTAAGTTGCATCTCATCTCACTCACAACGATATTCCCGTGGTCTTCAGTGGCGCGTCACTTTGTCCAACAACGCGTCTATCAAAAATGGTTGTTAATTCATCATTGCCGTTCGGGTACATATCTTTAAAAGTTTCATATTCTAATACATACGGCCACATCAACCTGAATATAGGGCATCCCGTCCGCTCTGCCGTACTCAAGCAGGTTAGAGATGGAATAGTACTACGGTGGGTGACCACGTGGGAACTCCCATTGCTGTATGTTTTTGTTTTTGGATCCCTTCGCTATTTTTTGATGGTTGTAAGAACATCATATCCAATTAACTTTTTCCACGGCAATTATATTGGAAGGGTGGTTTTTATTTTTGCGACTCGGGAACATTCACAAGATACATTCACATGATAATGTATTGCTAACCATCATCTACTAGGTCTATCCATGGTCCAAGAGACTATCGACAACGAAGATGGGGAACCCGAGGTCATGGACGAGGTGGACGAGGTGGACGAGGAAGATCTAGACCACTCTCAAGCCATTTCCGGTACAACCGCCAACTCTGCATCGGAGCTGGATCCTCTCCTAATGCGATTGAGTATCGCTGGGGCTTTCGCGGACGCGAACGTCACTTTGAAATACATATCTCGTCAAGGTGAAAGTTCGGAAGCTCTGGTCAGGTTTCATACGCAACTTGGCCCGGAGGGCTCTGGCAAACTCAGCAGAGTATTCCCAGCCCTATCCCACGAACTTGGACGGCGCGTTGAGATCTTTACATCTGCGGGGTTCATTGATCCAAAAGCTGTCATCGAGCAGATGCTCGAGGGCAAGCACATTGATTCTCTGGAAGCCAAGTACCGCCTTGAAGATGTTCTTCTAAAAATCAACCTTGCCCACTTTGCTCATGCGATGGTGGAAGCCTCAGGACCAGGACATTTGCAGGTTATTCTCCATAACATCGTCAGGTCTTTCCCTCTACCATTTGCTACGGGATTCGAAGAGGGCTCTGTCCAGCCAGGGGCAACGACGCTTATAGACTGTATGATGACGCTTGTCTTGGACATTAAGACGCAAATCGTCTTAGCCATCCTTGCCGAGACTAGCATTGACCCAGAGGGGATAATAGGACCACAATTCTTCGAAGCTCCAAGCGCCGAAACCCAGGACTGGGACATCGACTACCTGCTCGTGGATGGCAGGATCAAAAAAGTCTGCGACCAAATCGACCGAGATCGCAGCCTGAGGACGAAATACGTGAACCTTACCCGTGAGAGGCTTAAGGCCATACGGGAGCAGCTCGATCCCGAAGAAGATGAGGACTGCGAGAACTTGCAGGACGCATTTCCTTGGAAGGATTTTGTTGCCAACGCTCTTCGATTCGTCCAATTGCGCGATGCGGAGCTCACTAAGAGAATCAAGGCCCAAGGTGGTGCGGATCGGATCATCGAGGGGTTCAAGAACCAAGTTGACCCACCCAAGGACGAGGAAGATGAGGAGGACGAGGAGGATGTCGAAGAATTACAGGACCAAGTTGGAGAGGAACCGCCGCGGGTCATCTTCCAAGAACAGTCAGACGAAGACCGTCTTTCTACCCGCGATCGGTCGGAGAGCCTTCCGCAGCTAGATACGGTCTTGCAAAAGGGATCCCGGCATCCACCGCCTCCATCCGCTGAACCGGAAGTGCGAGTAGATGCGATGGAGGTGGAGGAGCCTGTCCCTCAGGTAAGAACTACAGCTATCAAGACCTCTCCAGTACGAAGGCTTCATGCCACCGCCTCACCTGCCCGGAGCCTTCAACCGACCGCTTCTCCGCCAAGTGGCCAGGCTACCTCCGCCTCCCTAGCAAGGAACCAACAAGATGTTCGCTCCCCAGTAAGGAGCATCTCCGCCACTGACTTCGCTATGCGCGTCGCCCGAGCGAGCACCCAACCCAGCCACCCACCGGAGAGTGAGAAGGAGAACCAACGTCGCAAATTCATTGATCGCCAACCGGGCGCCTCCCGTGTTCAGTTCGATGCTACGCAGGACGTGCTGACCGAAGGAGCCGGCCCTGTTCAACATGGACCATCCACCACCGCCCTCGGTAAGCGTCGCCGTGAGGACGGACAGGGCGATGATGATGATGGCGACTATGAAGAGGAGGACGATGAGGATGAATACCAGGAGGACACCCGCAATTCGTCGCCGGCCCGCCGACGCAGGTTGCCTGGCATTGATGGCTACCGAGTACCCTCGTCCACCGCCCCAGCTTCGTCGGGACTCGAAAGTTCGTGGCGTTCGCCTGGTTCGGATGGCGAACGGGTCATGGCTCACGGAACGGCGGGACGGCGTACGGGATCCATTGTAGTCCAGGGGGGTCGAAGGCTGGCGCAGAGGACAGTCAGGAAGCAGTCGAAGCGATGGACGGTTGTGGAAATGGATCAGCTGAAGCGGCTGATGGCAAGACACAAGGGTGCATGGAGGATGATGAAGCGGGAAGATGAGGACACCGACAACATCCTCGAAGATCGGGACGATGGAGCGCTGAAGGACAAGGCGAGGATTATGAGGTATCACATGGAGCGGTGAGTTATTAGCCTACATTTCGAGGTGCCCCGGGGACTAATTGAGAGGAATAGGACGCAGGAGAGATGCGCACCGGGATTTGTCCACGCCCCGCTGAGGACGGAACATAGAAGAATATTGGAGAGAGATTTCCCTGACAGGACATTCCTCTAATATATAAAGGACTGGACAGAAGACTAACCGGGAGATGATTGCTGTGTCTTGGGCGTCGTTTTTTAGTGCGCAGTTCTACGCTGGAATTTATAGCGGCCCTCACTCTCGCCTTGTTAATGGCGTCGGTTCCTGATGTGGTTCACGAGGAATCTCGTTTCTACTGGGGGGAGTTTGCGGCATTTGGCGCCTCTCGAAAACTCGGGGTTGCTCTCAGTTTCTTTCGTCAAACAGGATGCCAAGGGGGAGGCAAGCCGTTCATTTATATCTTACTGTTATCGTCGCCGATCCGGTGACGTGTATTCTTTCATGGCGTAAGGAATGGTTTCCAGTTACCATGGTGGTTTCTTCTCGCCGAGAATCCCTCATTCAATATCCAGTCCTGTGCCAGCTTCGGGATGGAATCGAACTGTTTCTCAAAGTCCATTCTTCCGATCGTCCTTTTCACAAGTCACAAGTGATCAAAAAGAGTGAATCATTATGAAAGCTCAAAAGCGTAATCAGAATGCGAGCTCTACGTTGCAACAGCAGTAACTACATGTATACACTCAGATTCGATCCCCTCGCTCCGGCCTTTTTCTTTCGCTCACCAGCATAGTTCTCCCTATCCTACCATTCTTTCATTACGATGGCTTATTGATGGGGTCCTGATACGCCCTTGTCTCTTGATTCTCCCTCATGCTCTCCCTCCGGATCGTCGGCTGTTCCGACTGGATCGTCTCGACGATCTTAGCCGTCTCGACCGCGTCCTCGCCCTTGTTGCTCGTGTCCGGGTTCCGCGACAGAAGGGGGATGGTTTGGTCCGCCACGCCGTTGCTGGGTCCCTTTTGCCCGCTCATGGGGTCGCCGGAACCCTGATGCGGTAGCTGATGAGCGCGTGTCAGTAGGGTTGATAGTGATCAAGGCCGGGACGAAAACAAGAATCGAGGAAGCTCAGAGGGAATAGTCAGAAGGAAATTCGTACAAGAGGGGCCTGTTCCTTGGCTGCGGTGCGGCTGGCGTTGCTCCATAGGTAATAGCCGAGAGGTACGCAAAAGAGTACGGCTCCGATGATACTGGAAAAGGGTTGTGTCAGTAGCTTGACTTTATCGATGCCGCTTGATTGAAAGGTTAGTGGAACATACTAAGGTGCGGGTCCGCCTTGTTTTTTCCCTTTGATGCGTTCCGAGGCATCGGCATATGTGCGTCGTGCTGAGATTGGGAGTCTGAGAGGTGAGGAGTGGATGGCGGATCGTTGAAGAACAATGGTGGATCGTGAGGAGATCATGGTTGCGGTTCCTGGGGTTTGGAGATAGGAAGGTGGGGGAAATTGAGACCTTCCAAAATGGATGAGGTGATGATATATGGTCAATTGGACGTCGGACTCTCCAAGGGGATAAGTATCAGGTATGGTGTATACTGTCGAGCTTGTTCTTTTATGCGAATTTCAAGGAGCACGTTCCGAATGGTCAATTGTTCAATGGCAAGGTGAACAATTAAACTCTCAATTAACGAGGTGACAACGACGTCGATAATATTAATGGATCAGGCCCTGGAGAAAAGGAATTGCATCATACTGACTCGCGATCCTCAGTCTGCCTACCATTTACTCATGGCCCAAGAGAACGTTGGAAACTGTCGGGTCTTCCCATTCTTCCGTTTGAACGTTTCAACGAATTAGGTGGCATGGCCATTTCCTTGCATTGTTCATTGTCTCATGAAACATGAGGTTGACTTTAGAGGCTCTAAAGTTGGTTGGTCATGATTTCATCATTCCCATATGTATCGTGATGATTTCGGGTGGTGGATTCCCGATCTTGGGCCGAGTGATAGGGGTGTTCTGCAAGCCGAAGCCGAATGCAGGGTGGACGGGACAGTGGACCATACATAATTAGATGATGGAACAGCCTTACGAAATACGGTATACCCCGCCCATTGCAACTCCTAGTCTCCACTCCAGTGCAGTCGCTCATCGTTATTCCGGAGATGGAGAAGGGATACACAGACATACACTGGGTGCTGGGACAAGCCTCGCCCCGAAGCCGCAATTGGTTCCCACTGTCTGATTGGATAAAGATAAAATGGAACGAGAAATGAATAGGGAAACCTGTGAATGATAGACCGGTCAAACAACAGGAAAATAACTGATCATCTCGCGGGTGATTGGTTGTTTTCCTCGCACCTTACCTACTACGTATATCTCAAGTGTTTAATAATTACCTAGGTATTACCTCCTACAATCCTTCCGACATGGTGGGTATTAGTAAACCCAATCGGGTGGCGAGGACTAGTCGAACGATCCCCTGCTCAGTCAGAGAGTCGGACGACTAAGCGGCCGCAGCCGTTTCTAAATTCTAATATCCGGCAGGCTACAGGGGTTTCCGCCACTGTTTTCCTCCTCCATTATGCAATGACCAATGATAAGACTACAAGTCTACAAGTCTACAAGTCTACGTCAAGGGATACCAAGACTAGGCCACCACCAGGGCCTCAGAACTTCGCATCGGAAACCAGGTGCAAAATGCATCTAAAATAGAAGAAAATGGAACCCACCCAGAATGCTGTTCGTTTATCCATAGGCGGTGGACACACCTGACTTACGAATGTCCATGTATCTGCCTTTCCAGTCTTCTATAAATCCCTTTGATTCCCATCTTGAATTTTCCTCTTCACCCTCGCCATCCTCGAATCCAGTTCGAATCCAGGTCAATCAAGCTTTGCAGAGAGCATCTTACCCCGCCTGTTCTCTGATATTGAATCAATCCCGTATCCAATATACCTCCCCTTCCAAACCACCCACACAGTCATGGACCGCCTTCCAGTATCCATGGCCAATACCATCGCGACCCTTATCACTGGCGTCGAGGGCTTCACCGTTGCCGCTGTTGCCCAAACACTTACCACCGTCGCCCAAACCATCGTCAACCCTACCACGCTTGTATTGGGTCAATGGAGACTCTACCTTGGACGGCTTGCTCGCGGTAAGATCTCGTGTGATACTTCCCAAACATGCCATGTCTAATAGTATATTATAACATCAGCATGGAACCCGCCCATAGAAATGCCCGCCTAATCCCTCCTCGCCTCAAGGGGGCATACTTTTTGACTGGTTTGCGGGACAGCGTTTTGGGAAAAGGACGATGCGGCAAGCCGTGTTCGGGCCATGGAAAGGCTGGAAATAGGAAACACAGGACGTGTTGGAAGGGAAATATTAGGCGAATTTTTGGATAAATAACTTTGTTTCGTACTGACTGCATCGAATAAATGCAAGAGCAGTTCGTGTTTTTTTTCGGGAAGTTTGTTAATCGTATAAAACTAAACGTAGGGAACGCCAAGAGAATCACAGAAGGGGAGTACAGAAGGATGAATATGAAAAGAATATCTTGATATTCCTCTAATAATGTATCTAAGTCGGTGAACTCTATGTCAGTTTGACCTTGTGTGCGCCTGGAAACCTTTGTGTCTAAGCAGAGAAGATACAATGCCAATGTGGACGGACACTAGACACCAGTTACCCGCTTTTTGACAAAGAAATGACAGAGCACTGACTAGACGGAAATGAATCGCAAAGGGCCAAAATATATGAAAGTCAATGTAGGTTCCTTAAATGCCTTTCCGATGATGTCCTGAAATTGTCCGTCCTTGGAATAATGAGGAAACCAAATCCGTTGCGCCGTCTGTTGCTGATGATAAAATGGCTTATATCCTTCCTCAGATCGGAAGCGGGTTATATGGCCGTAGATTCGGAACTGAACGTAAGAAGTCGAGGGCTGACTCACTCGTCTCGATGTCCTGGTCGAGATCTGCCGTCGGGGGAATTTGGGTCATCATGAACGGGCAAGGAAGGGTCCTTCAGGGATGAGTTGGCTTCAGAAACAAACACATCGACCACGGAATTCTCTCCCGTATGTGCCTCCATTTCACCCTGCGCCTGCCAGCCATCCGTAACATTGATCGGCTCGTCGGCGGCGGCTGCAGCCTCGAGACCACAGGTGTTGGTATTGTGCTTCGCACGTTGGATGAAGGGGATTTGAAGAATGCCGACAATGGCGATACCGCAGGCGCCCCACCAGGCAAGAGCGTCGAGGCCGATGTCAGCGCCGAATCCGAAGAGCAAGCCGGCGATCGGACTGGCGATCATGCGGCACAATCCCCCGGTCGATGCAGCGAGGCCATTGACAGTGCCAAGCATAGATGGAGAGGAAGCCATAGCGGCTTCTTTGATAAGGATGAGGAGGAGAGGAAAGGCGAGAATAGAGCAGATGTTTCGGAGGGCAAGGCAAGTGAAGATGCCAGGGTAGACGAGATGCTGCGGAAGGAGTGTGAGATACGGGACGAGGAAGAGTGCGAATGGGTGGCCAGTGGTGACGACAACGAAGGTGCGCCAGACTCCCAGGAAATTGACAAGTGGGGGGAAAATGAATGCCTGGATGAAGAGGGCGAGGAGGCCATCGACAGACATGATGATCCCGACGGATTGGGTAGCGAGGCCCAGACCACCAGAGAGTGACAGAGTCGGAGCACGGCCGTCCTGTAGGAAGATAGGTAGGAGATGGTCGAAGCACATGGAGTGATAGGTGAACCTGCAGCAATGAGTCAAGTTAACAGGGGGGTTCTTACAGCTTTCTCTCCGTCTTCCTCATCAATGGGTCTCCTGAAGCCGCTTGAGTGTCTGTTTTCGTTGAATTTTGGTACTTACAATCCTAGTGCGACGATGAGCATGACGATAGGTTTAGTGAAAACCTTGCGATAAGTAAATGATGGAATCGAAGGAGTCCGCTCCTTCGCGTAAAAATCCAAGGATTCGTCGGACATGGCATATTCAGCATGAAATGTCCCATACACATCTTGCTGGCCATCAGTGGCGCGAGAGAGCAGTGGTTCGTTCGTGCCATCACCGAGTAAGGTTGCCTCATTGTCCTTTAGGAATGCAGAGTTTGTTTCTTCCAGTAAGAAGAACCCAGCAACAATGGAGACGGCAAGCAGGGCGGCGCAAATAAGATTGGGAAGCAGGTATGGGAACCTACCGAAGACCGAGTCCGATGGGAAGACCGATGGGAAGCTCTTCGCCGGGTGGGCAAAGTAACCCCCAATAGCCGGGCCTACCATGGTGCCGACAGACCAAATGAATGGCATCACAGCGAAGGCTTTCGGCTCGTGGGCGGGGTTCTTGACCAGCTCGCCAACCATTGTTTGGATGACCCCAATGTTGCCATTGAGTAGACCGCCCAGAATCCGCCCAGCCAGAGCCAGCCAGAAGTTACCAGCAAACCCAACTATGAGCAGACTCGTTAGAGTGCCCACGCAACCGAAGAGGAGGATCGGTTTGCGACCCACACGATCGGAGAGGGATCCCCAGAACATGCCCGTTACTGCTTCGGCAGCGGAGAAGGCGGCGACCAGGATGCCGGCATAGAACGCGGCCGAGCGCTCAGGAATGCCGAAAGAGATGGTCATAGGCCATGAGTAGGGGAAGATGGATGTCAAGGCCACGGGTTCTGCGAGGCGGACGAGCGCTGCTCAGTGTTAGCCAGTGCAGATGCAAGAGGGGGATTTGATCCTGGATTGTAGTGTCTGGAGATTGAGATATAATTGAAAGTCACTTACCCAGTACTCCCAATTGTGCCGTTGGAAAGACGGAGTTGGCATCGTCAACCCTTGCGGGGGCGGGATGGACCTCATGACGAAAGTGTTGATCTTGAGGTTGTGAAGCATGGAAACGGGGTCTTTTCTGTGGTGTAAGAAACATGTCTTTTGAAAAACCTTTGAACCTTACGGTTGTGCCAACACACGATCCAATTAGTGCTTCACCGAAGCTGATCTCTGATGAGTTCCTCCTCCCACTATTAGTGCAGATGTGGAAAGATGGGGAGAATCACTTCTTGGATGCGCTTGACCTATACAATTCCCTGGATGATAGTAGACAAATGGTGGATGAGTAGGTGAATTGGGGTGCTGGATTCACGCTGTGAGACGGAATTATGATGATGGAGACGAAAGAAGAAGTGTTCGTGGCGAGAGGAGAAGACATGAAGGAGGGGGAAAGTTTTGTATGTGGAGAAGTTGAGGTCCCGATGCAACAGAGTTAGGTAGAACGCTAAGCCTATTGTGGATGGAGAGTCGTATTGTTGCAGGGATGCAGAGATGGCAGGGCTTGATTGGAGAATTGGAGAAGCAAATAGAGGAGATTCATTGATCGCTGGTATGAAATGTTGCAAAATGCAAACGCATGCGGCATGAGGAGTGAGCACCAATTCATGGAACTTTGATTTCACCGCTCTTGATATATCCGCTCCCAAAATTCCCATGATCCGGGTTGCTGGTGTTCTACCGAGTACATGCGGTTCCGTCCCAAGGGCAACCACCCCACCTATGCCTCTTAAATTTATTAATATACTCCTCAACTGCCAGTCGTTTCCATGGTCGTCGTCATTGGCAAGTCCGCGGCACCTAGTACCAAGGAAGGATCGGCGTATGAAGAACAGTTGCGATGAATATCCAACGGATCTTGATGATCGACTATTCACGTTCCACATTTATCCCGCCTTCATACAGTGTGCTGTACTAGTCTAGATGTAACAGCGACGCAACTTCTTCACTGCTGTGTTGTTATTCATATATTTCCCCTCACTTAACATGATGAATTTCCTCCCCAACGTTGGGCAGGTTGTTGAACGAAAAGAGCCAGGATTGAATGCATACATTTTTCATCCAATGATGAGTCTCCAATCAAGCCAGGTAGTTTGGCTCTATCGTGGCAACAGACCACTTAAATGCGAGTGCCGACCCTAAGAGGAAATGCGCTCAGGATAGCGTTCAAACTAATTACGCGTTGGCTGGCCAGGCTTGTCCATTGGATATCTTTGCCGGAATTGGTCGGTCAACTTAGTCACCACCTGACCACGAGTTTACAGTGGTTGGGGATGCTGTTGGCTGCAGTTCAACGACTCCTCTTTCTTCAGCACATTCCCCTGAAAGATCCGGCTTGTTGGGGACGAAAAGGCACGGTTTCCGCGGCCATATCCGGCGAAAGAGCTCGGATGTCTAGAACGGAGGATTTTCTCCCGCCAAACGCATTCGCATAAGCGGCCGGCCGATCCATTACAGCAAACTGAACACGTAAGGGAAATTCAGGCCCGAGAAGCCGGCAAGTATCACAGATCACCCGACCAGATGTCACGAACTTCTTCACCCGGGATTCCCGACCGATCATAAACAATGCATGGAGCAATCAAAAAGTTACGTAAAACGACACGTTCATTTTTCGGGAAGGTCCAGTCTCATCAGGACAGAGCTGATATGCTCGATCTTCCCCGCTCCAGGGCACTACAGCCCATGTCAGATTTAGTGGTGATATCCTGATGTCGTGAAGTATCGCAGCATCTTCACGTTGATATGGGGATCCGATCAAAGCCATCCAGTAACCTACATGATGACCCACCGCTGCCCACCCATCGCGCAAATCCGATTAAACAACTCATCCCGCATCTCCATCGCCGTCACCCGATGATTCTCCCCCTCGCGCGTCACCACCTCCACCCCATCCTTTAGATTCCGCTCAAACGCCCACCCGACCACCAGCCGTCCCTTCCACCCATAGCCGCCGACCTTCCTGATCTCCGCGATCTCCGCGATCGGCACCGTCCAGATCGCCAGCGCGCGCACCGTGTCTTCCGCGCCGTGCATCATAGCCGGCGCCACCTGCCCCGCGACTTTCTCCGCCCAGAACCCGACGAAGGGGACCACCGCGTGCGTCACGATCACGACCCGCCCTTTATGGCCGCGGTAGCGCGCTTTGAACTGCACCGGTCCGCCGATCTTGCGCTCGGTTTTCGAGGCGGGGATCGCGCCGAGGCGGTCTTTAGCGTGTTGCGAACCGGCCTTCGCTTTGGCCGCGTCGATGCCGATTGCTGCTGAGAGGGTGGCGCGAGTTGTGCCTTTGAAGAAGCCGATGAGCTTTGAAGCCCGCTGCGGTTTACCGTTGGTCGTCTCATTTGGCGGTTCGGTGCTGGAAGTTGGAGAGGGAGCTATGGCCGCTTGTAGCTCCGTTTCGGAAGCACCCAGCGGTGCGTCACCTTCCGTGGCTGCAACTTCAGTAGAATTATTAGACGTAGTCTGAGATGGTGGAAGTGGACTAGTTCTCGGTACGGGTGGAAGAGGAGCATGGTTGGCTTCGCCGATACGCAGAAGGGTAATTGTAACTTGCGCGTTGGTAGGGATGCCCTTGAGAAGTGTATTTCGCAGGTCTAGCAACTTCTGCCAGTGTGGGTATGTGTGATTGAGCCACTCGACACCACGCTGAATAACTGGGTCGCCAAAAAACCCAAATCCAATGCCGAACGTTGCCACTTTCGAGATCATATAAGGGGTTATAAAGAACGAGCCTAAGAGTATCGGGAGTACTAGACCGGCGAGACGTAGTCGATGGAGATGTTTCGGAAAAGGGGGCATTGGAGACAAGGCACTGAGAAATCAGTCGGCACACTCGAAAGGAGTCGGTGTTTGGGTACTCACTTTCCAATCCTTTCCCACGTATCGCTGACCTCGGCCATGCCGTATATCATCGGCCCCATAGCCTCGAAGATCGCCTTTTCCATTGGCTCCTTCGTTTTGTCATGCCTCTTCGATAGCGGTCCTCCTTGTGCTACCGCCTTTGCATCCGCAGCCTCCGCGGCGATTAATGACGTCCGATCCGGACCAGCCTTTGCCCCGCGATCTTTCGCAGTTGGGCTTTCGTCATCCTCGCGTTCTTCTTCGTCGTTGGCGCCAGCAAAATTCGCATCCCTTTTGCCCGCAGCGCTACTCAACGCGACGTTGGCGATCCCGTTGACGAGATTACTGGCTTCTTGCTCCACTGCCTCTCCCTTGTAGTTCTCGGGAGCACCGGTTGCGCTGTCTGTGCTGCCCAAGTCTCCGGTAGCGGGCTTCTGGACACCCCCGCTCGTTCCATGCACAAGTGCTAGTGGCACCGGAGGGAAGAGAATGGGTCGTAAGGGCGGGTAGGCGACGAGGACGAGGAGTATGATGAGGAATAGCGGCAAGAGGACATCAAACAGACATGCTGCAAAGTAGGCCTACTCCATGTTAGAAGTACTGGGTGACTCGGATCTCAGGTCGACGGACAATACAGAACAATGATGTGCGCCACTTTTCTTTCCATGACCGTAACCGAATCATGTGTTTCCCAAATTTCACCACACCGACCACCACAGTGACGTATAGCCTCTCAAGAGTGCTCCGTAATTCAGCTGGGGTATAGTCGGCCTCCTGCGCGAGGTTCATATCCAGACTCCCCCGTGCAGGATGCGGCGTTTCCTTGAGATGATGCACTTGCTATGACATGTTAGCTAGCTCCCTCCACCACGGAAATCCCATCCACCTACATTGTTGAATCTCCTCAATAGGAGCCATAACTCCTCGTTCCTCAATCCCCCAACCACCGGCTTCGGGACGTTACTCTCGTCTCCATCCCACCCAAGATTGGTTACATCGCCAATTGAACCGTGATTCTGTGGCATCTGCGCGGCGCCTTTCTCCGGATGATCTGCTATTGCAAGCGCATGACTCGCCGTGGGCTCGGAACGCATCGTGGTATGCAAGTCCTCCTTGTCTACGTCTAGGTCGTCGGGGATAGGGAGGATGTCCATCACGGCGGTAGTCGCTTCGTCCATGGTGAGGGACATGCGTAGTTCAGCACAAACTTGAAGGATTCCTGGAGCGATGGTGATTCCATGTCTGGACAGAAGTGGACTTCCATCTTCTTATCTATGATGTTGTCATACAGGCTTGAGGACATCAAGAGTTTAGGACAACGGAAGCAAGTAGAAGGCACGTCATAATGAAAGTGGCGCGTCCTGGCCCCTGGGTTCGGGTGGGACAAGCGTCGCGATTAGCCTGGAGTGATCATCCCTAGTCTCCCGCTTCGCAGCTTGACCGGCATAGGAACCGGAGATTCAGAGCTAGCGATTACGATGGGCAATTCGCTGATGTGACTCCATATAATAGTAAGGTATGATATCTCATTTCATATCGGGTTGATTGGCAAGACAGGCACTTTATAAGTACCAAATACGTATACGCGGACTCGCATTCGAAAGTCGAAAGGGTATCAATATATCTTCAATGTAGGTACGTCTCATAGAACAGAGCAATTCCGCCTCTACTGTTCCTCGCCTTCCCTCGAATCCTCCATACCGGTATCAGAAGGTGGTTTCTCCTTGTCGCCCAAACTTGCAGCAATGCTCTCTTGCAAGTCCTCATCCAACTTCGACGCCAGGCCGGGGAACATGCTTCTCGCCTCCTGCTCTCCATCGTCCCCGTCCTCGGGTTCATCCTCCAGATCCTCGAGGTCGCTCAACGAACTGCCACTATCATCGTCTGCATCTGTACCCTTTACTCCCGCTGCACCCTGGCCTGAACCATCGTTTTCCGACGCCGTGCCTGATCGTCCGTTCGAATCAATGATGACTTGAACGGTGCTGGCCCGTGTGGGTGTAGGTCCATTCGTAGAGCCATTACTTGGAGTGGAAGCGCTTGCAGGCGCCACCGGCCTTGTCGCAGCAGCTTCGGCTTTGCGATGTACCTCTCTCCGCCCGACGCCCTTGGTCCTCGATCTACTGGTCTGATCACTGGGCTGTATGGGAACGGCCACGCTATTCAGAGCGGCACCGCCAGTGGCAGGCGTGCCGGCTCGAGAAAGATCCGACGCACCATCCATGTGTCCATTGGCGGACAACATTGCGTTCGGTGCCATGTTCGAGATGTCCAGCTTCATCGCGATTTGCGTGTACATCAAGGCGTATGTATCTCCGATGAGGTCATCGATCAATGTGGGTTTCATGAGGCCGTTGTTGGCCTTCTTAAGTTCGATCACATCTCGGAGGATGTCGAGGAGAGGGGAGGTTGTATCCGGAGAATGGGCCCATTGCTCTAATCGCGCCGACCGAACATTCCATTCATCGTGGCTGAGGTTCTTGAATACCGTGTCTTCATGCCCGTCGGGGACCTTGCCCGCACGTCGTAGAATCTTCAGGTAGCCGACGCAGAGCTCCTGCCATAACTTCGAATGCTGGAAGAACTCGTGTGGCTTCTTCCGAACGCGCTTGGACAGAAGTTCGAGGCTGGCTCGGTCGCCAAGCTGGACGAGGATGCGCACAAAGAACTGGGTGTATCGCGTGGTATATACGAAGTGACGCCCGGCTCGTTCATGTTCCGGTTTCCAGACGTTGACAATCATCGTCTTCGTGAAGATCGCCTGTGTTAGTTCATGTTTGACGCCGATTGCGGCAGTGATGTCGTCGGCGGAATCATCGTAGATAACATGTGCGGCTCGCAAGGTCATGCGATGATGCCACCCAGACTTGTCAGCCGATCGCAATGCCTTGAGCACACCAAGTACGTAAGGCTCCCAGTCATCCATTTCAGTCGGTTGCGGCAGTTTCTGGGCGTACGAGATCGAATTCAGAATTTCGCAAGCCTCTTCGAGCGATATGTCTTTGCACTGAAGTAGCTTGTGGGTGATGGAAAGAAGCTTGTAGCGCGGCTCGAGAATCGGGTCCCTTCGACTCTTCGACGGAAGGAGATTGACTGCGATCGTGAGCTGCTCGATCACATCTTCCCAGCTTGGAGCGGCCGCGTTTCTTCGGACGTCCTCCGGAGCTCGATACATTTTCCAATAGCACTTGGCGAGCATGTAATGATACGGCCACTGCCCTTCTCGTAGTGTGATAGCCTTGCCAAACAGGGCAGCTGCGTACTTCCATGCCGTATAAAGCCCAAGCGGGTTAAAAGGCACGGATTTATACATGGTCATGTTCTGACTGCTAAAGTTTCGTTGCTCGCTCTCTCGAATGGAGAAAGCATGCATAGAGAATGGTTCTCGCGAAGATGAGTATATCCGCATCCCGAAATCGGCGTACAACTGTGCCATCTGGGAGATGTCCTCTGGAGATGTATCGGCGGTTCTGACAGCGCATGCAACTGCCATTGTATAAGAGTGTATCGCCTGTCTCTGATAGGCGAGGATCTCATGGCTGCCCGCATTGATCTTTTCGGCGGTCCAGGAAACTCGCTCCTCAAGCTGACTGTCATACCCCTGGCCAATCCTGTGCCACGTTTTCCAGCGGTCCGCATCGAACTCGAGGTCTTGATGGAATAGAGCAATGGCCACGTCTAGATCCTCAGTTGATCCACCTTGCAGTCGCTTTTGGGAGCGGAATTTGTTGAATGCAAGACTGCCGATAAGAAAATACCAGCCTTTTTCCGCTGGCGGCCACACGCCAGCAGAGATGGGCCTGCTCTCGCCAATATCTCCCACGCCATTCAGGCATTGGTAAAGACGGAGCGGGTTGATTGGAGATTTGAGGAGGGATTGAACCAATTTCTTGTTGATCACCATCTCGTCAACAACCTTAGCACGACCCAGGGCTGCCTGGACTTTCTCGATTGCAGATCTTAGCTCCATCTTCGGGATGTCTTTGAGCCCAACTTTTTGCACTTGGGCTATGACAAAATCCAGGAGCCGCGTTGCAGTTTTCCGCGTGAGTGGTTCGGCTGCTGCCGAGTCTGTGATGCTGTGATCTGCAACGTCGTTCACGCTAGTACAGCAACGCAGATCATAGAGGTCGTAGAGTGCTTGGATCAACTCCGTTTCTCCTTCAGTATCAATTTGCCACAAGTCAAGGAGTTCATCCTTCATCATTCGGAGTAGGGCTTTGTTGGATGCCTTGCAGATGTAGCGAATGCCGAGCGAGTCGTGCAGCGCCCTGAGGAACTCGACTTTGAGGTGATCTGAATCTTCGAAAGCCTCCTTGTCCTGAATCATTCCTTCTTTAACGAGCTGGTAGAATAACATCCAGGAGCGAACCTCCAAATCGTGGAGTACAGTCGCCAACTTGTTGAACGGAGAATTCGGACGATTCTCTCCAATGGGCGACACCTGTCCGATGCGCTGATTGATTTCGAACAAACTGAATGAATGGAACAGACGGCATAGCTCTGCGACAGCATGGGTGGACGACCGGAGATGTTGGTCATCGAAGCATTCGAATGGATTCTCGATCGTCTTCAGTGACAATCCCAACGCTTTATGCAAGAAGTCGGCAATGAGCTTGACTCCAGATATCAGCTGATCTTGTCTCTCCACCGGCATCGCATCTTGATACCTCGGGCTCTTGAACTCTTCAACGACAGCTTCGATGCTTCGAATATAACACGAAACGACTTTTGTGGGGTAGTCAATCGCCTCGTATGCGTCGCGCAGACGCTGCCATAATGAAAGCTTCAATGAAAGATCGCTATTGTTAAGAAACTTCCTCATTTCCGCTGCTTGGTCGAAGAGATCAATGTTTCCGTGAGAAGAGTCATGTCCTCCACCTATTCCAGGGATCAGGGGGTCTAGCAAAGGCTCTAAAGTTTCAATAACCGTCGCGGGGTCCGTTTCGTTTTGATCGAAGATGGAGAGGAAAGAGTCTTTCATCTGGATCTTGCTCAGCTCCCGCTCCGCGGCTTCTTTCGACAGCTCCGGAATAACAGCATTATTCTGAAGGACGATGTGAGTGTCATGGGTAGAGGACATGGTCTCTTGAAGATCTTTCAGGCACATGACGATGTGCGACTGTTCAATACCTTCGGCGACATTGAGATGGAAAACCGCGGTCCATATGTGACGTATCTGGAGATCGTCGAGCTTTTGAGATGGCGCGTTGACGAGGTTAACAACATAATTAGCCACGTAGGCCCATCTCTCCAACCGATCCTTTTGGGACGATTGTGTGCTGAAGTCTACACCGCTTCCGGGGTTACGAATCAACGTGTATACGTCCAAGTGTAGTTCGTAAATGGTCTGGCACAGTTCGGCAAGATCCATATCGGCTCGCCAGAACCGATTCTCTGACGCAGTGGCTGTAGGTTTACACGCACCTCTCTCAAGATCAAGCACTGCTGTCGTCAGACGATCAAAAATAAACTCATCCATGTGAACCAAGGTTTGGACCACCGCCCTCTTCAAATCGTCTGGCCATTGGTGACGGAGATAACTGGACTCGCAGCGGTCCGAGGAATTCGCAGCGGTGAATTGAGGGTCGGGCTTTAGCAATGAAGATAACCAAAGCCAAGACGCCTCCATCGCTGAAAGCCATGAACCATTGATCCGTTGAATGAGGTTCGGTAAGCCATGTTCGGCAGCAATACGTAGCTTGTCGGAAGGGTTAGACCTGCCGGACTTTGCGTTTCCCAGGAAAGCATTTAGCCCTGCCTCGCGAGACGTCTCAGCAATGGTTTCGGCCGATGGCGGATTTGCCAATCGAGCCACGATCTCAGGCGTAGGCTCGCGGGCTAGAGTCTGAATGTCGTGAAGTGCAGTGTTAAGGGTGCCGGGTTTGGGGACGGCGGGGTGATCCTTGAGCAGTTGACGAAGTTGCTCTGCATCACCGATGCTAGAAGACTTCATTTTTTCAAGGAGTCGATTGGTAACGTCAAAGAGCACATCGTCTGTCTCCGAATAAGGCCGCAATTGCTCGGCAAGCTGCTGGTCGGGGTCAACATTCTCCAGCTCATGACCATTGCCGCCGTCTGCAACGCTATCTCGTGCACGAATGCGCTTGCTCCTGGATCGAACACCATCTGCAGTCTCGGGAAGACCTGCAGAGTCGGTGGATCTCTTCCTAGATGGCAAGCTGATCGGTTCGTTCGTGGGCTCCCTCTTGATAGCTTCACCTGGGGGAGCACTGTCACTCATCTCTACGTCAAGCTTCTCTGTTGGGGTATCGGGAGTAGTCGTGGGTGGTTTTTCCGGACCTACTTCGTTTGCAACTATGGTTTGGCTAGTTATAACATCGTGCTTGAGCGCTTCGATTGGGTTCGATTCGGCAGGTGGAGGAGCTGGAGGAGTTGGGGGAATTGGAGGTGACAGGTGCGAAGGAACCACAATCTCAATTCCATAGCCGGAGTCGGTGGTACCGACGCCCTGGCTTTGGGTGTGGTATTGCTGGAGCAGCGCCTCGCCAACGCCCGACCAGGTATAATCCGAGAGACTCAGCCTATACCTGGAAGCAGGCGCCTCTGGAGCTATATGTTGTATGTCATCGTTGCCAGCGAGATTCTTGAGCTGCGCGAATCCTGGTTCGTCGAGATTGCGAAGCAATGTCAAAGCCTTGTGACTCGGTTTAAAGGAAGAGAGGGGGCGCTGGCGTGCCGACAGGTCGTCTTCGAGTCTTTGAACGATCTAAACCGGATCTATCAGCAGCTGACTGAAAATAGGAGTCGAATGACGAACCTGTTTTAACCTATGCGTGGCGTACTGCTCTTCAAGACCGATCTGTCCGGTAATCGCCTGCAAGCCGTCATCCTCTCCATCTAGAACTGCTTCGATGCAGAACCGAGCGGCACGAGTGCTGCCAACCAAGGCGGCAACGGCAGAGGCTCTTCTCCATAGGTCCAGATCGGCGTCATCTTTATCCAGCGCATCCGCGAATAGCCTTATGATCTCCTTGGCAGCTGCTTTGATAGCTTTCGGTGACTTGCGCGCTTCATCAACGCTGTTGCCCGTGCCTGCATCAGTGGCTAAGGTCTGAAGCCTCTCAAGTAAGAACTGGCCATGGTTCTTGAACGACAAATGCAGGATCTGCAGCAGAGTATTGGGAGTCCCCTCAGACGGCCCGGCCAAGATCACTGGGCCAGTGTGAAGATCCTCGATCCCAAGGTCATCGTATGGGATATTTCCGAACTGCTCAACCTTGCTGAACTCGGATTGTGCTTCGGGATATTTGAAGATGTCGGACTTAAACAGCGCATCGTATGCTTCAGCTGCTTCTTTGAATGACCGAGGACCCTCTGAATGGAATCGTAGTGCGGTCTGGTAGAGCTTGAGGGCCTCTTCGATCTGGATTTCCTTGGTGTCATCGACCTCCTCGTCGGAGACGTTATCATACTCGATATTCAGCGCCGTGAAACCCGACTAGAAATAGGATATACAATTAGCTAATGTCAAAGTGGGTATCTAGAGGTTTGCGCACCATGATGGCTTAGAAAGGTGGACGTATCTGCTATACTAAATCGGTAGATGAAACCATATACTCAAGTTCGAAGGAAGTGAAAGGAGCATCAGAAATCAAGGTGCGGCCTGTCGCCGGCCGCAGAGTTTGCGGTCAGTGAATTGTGAGGCCGACCATTAATATTAGTCGTAAGAGTGCGGGTGGGAATCGCATGGATAGTGAGTGATATGGATGGAGCGTGAGGTTGGAGGAACACGTCGCGTCTGGCCACTTTGGACACACTTGGATGTGAGGCGCGAATGAGCTCATAACCTCAGCCGGGCTGTTAGGTAACGACCAGGGGTAAATAGAGTCTAGGGCGCCAATAATGGGTGGGTGGTTTGGCAGTGCACCCTCCCATTTAGGTGCCCTTGTAGGCTCTTCACTGCCTAGTTCATAGGGAGGCCTAGCGCCTGGAGCTCCCCTCAAGCTGTTCCTGTCTTCCTTCATTCCTTGTCCCCTACGGAGCACAGCTATTCCCCATATTATCTGTCCACTGCTCACAAAGCTTCCTGTGTGATGCTCAACCTGAACGTGAAATCACAGCAGCATCAGTAACAGCTGCAAACCGACCAAATCCCTTCCACACGTCCTCTTTTATAGTTCAGTAAAGCACTGGCATGATGCTAGCTTAAGGATTGTGAAATATCTACGAACCTCTCCTCACACACATCTTGCTCGACCGGCATCGCTGCTCTCTCGGTCGCCATGGTTGTAGCTCCCGCCATCCCAGACCTCTTCGAAGAGGAATTGCATTCTGTCCTTGCTGCGCGAACCGAGTCTCTTCCGGCTTTGAGAGAGCTAGGTCCACCGGATCTGGTACACTTGGTCAAGCAGCCTGCGAAATCCCCGACCAAGCAGGTAAGTTGGCCTCCTTAGACAGTCTCGCGGTATGGCCGTGGCTAACTCGAACAGTTCGGTGTTTACCACCACGTCACTGGAGTCGACGCCTCGACTTCCGCGAGTCTTGCCGCTTATATCAATACTCTCACCTATACTCCGCATGATAAGACGAACAAGGTAGTGTCAGGTTTATACTGGTTCGTGTGGTCCGTTCCCATCCCTTCGCAAGAAACGCTGACCGTATAAGCTGCTACAATGCCTTCTCACGCCTCGATATGCGAGTCCAGGTGGCCATTCCCGGCACCGTCGAAGCATACTGCATAGACGAACGAGATAACAAGAGAGTCGCGACCGATGACCTGTGGCTGGAGACATACCTTTGCAGCGTCCTTCGCGCATACTCCTACGCGGACGATGGCACCGGCGAATCGATCAAGCGGATAATCGGCGTCCGACGATTCAACCCGATCACGAGCACCGACTCGGAACACAAGTTCATGGACGCGGCGGAGCGGCTGTTCTTCAATGGCTGGCAGCTGGGCTCGGATCCGGAGATTCAGGTGCCGAACCTGGTGTCGAATCACTTGACCACGGGGTTGCTGAATTACATCCACACGACTGGTCGATATGCGTCGGGGATCAATCTGTTCGAGAAACTACGCTCCAAGGACCCGGAGATCTCCTCGCTCCTCGCGCGAGTGTACTTCGCTGCCGACGAGGAGGTCAAGGCGGTTCAATTACTCCACGAGGCGATCCAAGAACTGCCGATGGACTATTCCCTCCTCGACTGCCAAGCCGAATTCTGCAACAAGAAGAATCGCCCGGACTTGGCGCTGGAAATCGCGAAGCGCAGCGTTGTCTCGGCACCGAGCGAATTCGGGACGTGGGCTAGGTTGGCGGAAATTTACATCAGCATGGAGGATTGGGATCTCGCACTTTTGACGCTGAATTCCTGTCCGATGTTCACATATCAGGATAAGGACGCGCCTCGGCTTCCCGAGCCTTTGCGCGTGTCGCTACCGATCCTACCTGAAAGCATGTGCGATGAAATCGACGATAGTCAGACGCCGGACATGGAGATGGTGCATCCCCAACTGCGGAAATTGCATGCGGCTAGTTTCAAAGGGACGTTTTTGAAGGCATACACTCTCCTAACCGAGATCACCAAGAAGATCGGCTGGGATCAACTCCTGAAAATCAGAAGCCAGGTGTTCGTCATGGAGGAAGAGTACCGCAACGAGAAACAGACCGTCCACAGCGTATCGCATAGTCGCAACGCTAGCACCACTGCATTGCGGAGCAGTAGCCCTGCCACGAATGGACACGGAGAAGACGGCCGGAACAAGGACGATGAAGACGCGGAGAAGGAGGAGAAGGACGATGACGAAGACGCGGAGAAGGGAAGCGAAAGTGACGATTCAGCTTCACCATCACAGAGCGAGCCTTCCAAGGATTCTAACATGGGATTGGAAAGGCCGCAGTTGACCGTCGCCTCAGAAGTCGTGCATGCTGGAGGTAGCGATGATGTAAGCACCTGTACTCTGCACTATCGTGTATCTCTTTGCTGACATTGGCCTGAATTAGCCCGAGGGTGCAAACAACACCAACTACACTCAATTCCGAAACAAGCGGCTTTGCGAGAGGTGGCTCGACAACCTCTTCATGGTCCTGTACGAGGATCTGCGCGTCTACACCATCTGGCGCACGGAAATGGCGCAGTACCGACAGCAGCAGCTCGTGTACAAGAAATCGGCCGAGGAATGGGAGATCTTGGGCGAACTGGCGGACCGACTGCACCATTACGATGAGGCGGTCGAAGCCTACCAAGCGTGCTTGGGCATTCAATTTTCCCCTCGAGCGATGAAGGGCGTCCTGAAGATGTACGAGAAAAACGGAGACGTACGATTGATACTCGGGGGGTTGATTCGCCTGGTGACCTGGCAATATCGTTGGTATTCAGAGGTAAGTAGACTCGCGGATCGCTGCTCTCGTGCCTGGCTGACTACGATTCTCAGTTCTCCCCGGTGTTGCTCTTCACGGTTCGAAAGTTGATCGAGGATGAAGGTGGCGTCAAGGTTCGGAGCATCATCCAAGGAACCAGCATGCCACAGAATGTCCTGGATCTAACTCACCATTACGCTCAACTATGCTCAAGCTTCAAGAGTTCGGGAAGCGAGTCGTGAGGCGACTACCTCGTTTGTTTCTTTGGGTCCTTGACATGGGCAGTATAATCTTTTGTAATACGGCCAGGTATGGTTGGCATGGGCGGATGCGGTATCGTAGGGTGTATTGCAGCGATTACAGCAGCGTAATGATTATTGTTGGTGCAACTAATTCTGCAAATGGATGCCGCTGTGCCAAGGAGATCTTAATGGTCGTAACTCGTACCTGGTGCTCACACTACACGTCTATCAATCGAATGGCTTCGACCATATGGCTTACTGTTTATTCGAGGAAGGATAGCAAAGATCGAAGAAACCGTATTTTAAGGCAATAGTCGCCATATCTCGGAGCGCCGTACTGTTTGATATGCTCTGCCTTGATTTTTATCTATCCCAGAGAGCTAGTAGTCGCAGTAAACAGCCTGATTCCGGAACCATGAATATGCCATGCAATAAAGACCACAACGTCCCCAACGATACTCCATCCCGGCGGACGCTTCCGTGCCTTAACGGTAAGACTTTTGGTATTTCGCGCGCGCACCTGGACCGCCGAACTTCTTCGGCTCGCATCTCCGGTTGTCCGCGACCAACAGGGTCCTGTCGTACTGCACCAACGCCTGCTTCAACTGGTTCTTGGAGTGCTCATCGACGTATTTCTGGTAGTAGGCAATCTGTTGTAATGGCCGTGGTTAGCGTTCTGACGTTCCTTTTCTTCATCGTCTAGATATCCTTTCTCGGGAGGTTCACGTACGATGGACTTGGCAATCGCCTGTCTGATGGCGTAGATCTGGGATGTGTGACCACCGCCAGAGACGCGGACGCGGATATCGACGTTGGCTATTTCCAGACATGTCAGCATTCCTGCTCCAACCCAATTCGACTAAATCGAGGATATTCGTATAACATACCGAACTTATCGGCGCCGAGGATGAGGATCGGCTCGTAGACCTTGAAACGGAGGACCTGCGGTTGGAGGAGGGAAAGCGGTTTTCCGTTGACCTTGACAATGCCTTTGCCAGCCTACGAGATCGCTATTAGCAGCGCGCCTGGAGATTCTCCGGATGGTATCGTACCTTGCAGTGGGCGACGGCGGTCGCAGTCTTCTTCTTGCCGAACTTCATGTCACTGTCAGCGGATGTCGAATCAACGTAGCATGATCTCCAACTTACGCATTGTACGCTCTGTGTAGAAGCCATGTTGGATCAAAGCTTCACGTACTGTCGTGCAGAAAGCAATGTGTGGTGTTGCGATGGGACTCCGAATTGATGATTTGAGGATCGTGAGGTGGAAAATGGCGAGGAGAGGTGGGTCGGCATTTGCCGTTTCGCTTCCACCAGCGTTTGTGTGAGACACTAAGCCTAGTTTGGACTAATGATCATGTGACACACATTCCCTTGGATTTCCACGTGACCACCTCCCTCAGACTATCCAGAGTATGGAAGTTGCCTCCTTGGAATGGCAGCCAATTTCAACGTCGAAATTCAGTGCCGCAAGTCGGATAAGCGTCGTTATTAACATCTATCTTACAGTTTACGGATAATGTACAGGTCTACAGCAATGGGATATCTTCAAAAATACACATCAACCTTCACGCCCTTCGCCTCCATCGCGATGTATCTTCCGCACAGGCTCCTGATGATGGGCTTCGAATATGATCGAGTCCACATCCTTCATCTTCGCCTTCAACTCCTCCTTGTACCCCTCCCCTAGTTTCTGGCCAAGTGTATCCAGAACAACCGTGATACGTCCTCGCAACTCCTTCAAAACCGCTAAACAATCCGCTTGGGAATAATGCCTAGCATGTTTGTGACCCAACACGTAGCCGCGAAGGGGCTCCACCGCTTGTAATAACCGGTGAATCGCGGCCATATTTTCGACTCTTCCATGCGCTTTCTGGGCAGTGGTAACATACACCGAAAGGCATTTGGGATCGTGGATGGATTGTTCGAACATCATTCGGACGATATTGTCCGCATCCCGGAATGCACCACTCAGGTTTTTGAGTCGCCGTGCACATGCACTAAGGGCAATGAGATACGAGCTCCGAGTCGGTTTGATGCCAGCCGCTGGAAAGTCGACCTCCAGCGCATGTACCGTTTCTTGGCTGCTTCGAGTGGCGCGGAAAACCCGGAGCAGCATGTCCATGGCTGCCTCGTCAGGAAGTAGGGTGTCCCAACCAGGCCCAGACTTCGATGTGAGCAGGGAAAAGTACTCTGACGCAATCACCTTCAATCTCAGTTTAAGACAGGCCTCCAGTAAGAGCGACAGAGTGTTGTTTCCAAGCTTGACATATGATATTGGAACATGTCTGGTTGGACGGCGGTTGGGTGTCCGGGTCGAGACGGCGCTGTCGTTGGGAACAAGCGCGTTTTGTCCCGAGACCAATTGGGGAATCAGAGTAAACTCATTTTCTCTAGGCCCTTCAGATGGATCAAGCGATGGCACATCTAGCGATATGCCAGCTTTCCGATCGCTCTCGCCGTGCTCGTGCTCTTCCAACTTGTCCGTCTTGTCCACCCCGTCAACGCCAGGTCGTGTGCCTGAGGAGCCCGCTGGCAATAAAGAAACCGCTCCCTCCTCCTTCTTCTTGGAGATGTTAGGTATGCCCATTGTCTGCTCAGCCAACACAAAAATATCCCGGACATTGGCAACATCGTTGCTCAGCAGGAGCAGACGTCCCATTGCGCAGACAAGGCCTTCTTCTACGACAATATCTCCGTTCATCCACTTGTCGCGAACAATAGCCCAAATGCGGCGTCCTCGGAGAACTGCCTCCTCAACTTGGCGCATCTTCTCGTTGCCTTCTTCAACACGCTTCAAAAACTGGGAATTGGCGAAATCCTTCAGTTCATTATCCGCGAGGACCTGGTCGTGTAGGAATGTTAGGACGATCGAATAGGTAATATGATCCGGAGCACATGGTCCATGTTCCGGTAATCTTGATATAATACCCCAGAGCTCATCCGCTGCGTTGCCTCGCGCGCACACAGACAGCGCGGCGTTGGCGTGCATAGTCATCGGCTCGACTCGGGAATTGGGCGCGGACATCGAATGAAAGAGGGCGACCGCTCGGGAGGGCGCAGTTGGGACTTTGTCCGCATATCTCGCAAGTCCTCTGAGAAGAGTGGTAAATGTATAAGAGTCAGGTGCTTGAGCCCGTTTCTTCATCTATTTGGTTAAACGGTTAGCATAATCTGAATCGGCCATGGTCGGATTGCTGAACTCACATCGTTAAACGTCTTCATCGCTTCATTGACCTTCCCACTCCTCATGAGATGATCCAGGAGAAGATTCCAGGGGACTGTACATTTCTGGGTTTTACTGGCGAGATGGATCATCTCCGTAGCCTTACTCACTTCGGACAGAAGGAGCAGCCTTTGGACATGATCTGCCAGCCTAACCGGATCTTTAAGCCATCGCAGTTCCGCCTCTAAACTCTTCGGGTTGTGGGACGGTCGTCGGACAACCGCGTTTGGCCCGGATCCATCTTTGCGATTCGCGCTACGATCGTGTGAATCGGCGGCTCTGCCATCTTTGCGATTCGAACCCCGTTCATGCGAATCAGAGGCTCTGCGCTCACTCCCACCGTTCTTAGGAGTCCGAGGATTCCCTTCTGCAACCAGTCGTCGGACCGTTAGAGTTCGAATTGTAGGAGCATTGACTGCTATACGGAAACGGGCGTGGTTGCAGGCATGTTGAAGGCCGATACAGCGCTTCAGCATGAATGCCCTTTGGATCAGTAGCTGAACGTCCTTGCGATCGGCTATTGGATTGATTTGCGGAGTGTAGCCTCTCAGGTTGAGCGACGATGCATTTTGCAGAGAAAGTCAACTGCATCAGGTCAAGAGGACGAAGTTGCTCATCACGTGACCACAAGACTTCTCCCGTTTTCCTCCTGAGACTTGGAAAGTTTTCAAACTTGATGGAAATGCACCATTCAGAAAATAATCGAAATAATTCTTCTTCCCAGTTGGCTACAAATATATGGATGCCTTTACCAAACTACCTTCAGTTCAAAGGGAACAGCCGCATAGAGGTTCTTCAATTTCAGGTACTGCCGGATCCCCACAACCGTTATTGTGAGAGCGTCGTCCAGTCTTTGCGATTCAATAAATAGTAAATATACATTTTCCACAGTTGGCTGGTTGTCTTTTGTCAGAGTTAGTGGTTCAAGATGCTCAACCATCCGTTCAACACGGCTCGAACTCTCTTGCCTGAGCATATAAATGAGTCCTTCTGCGCCAGCATGCAATGGCCGTTTCAATTTCCAATATCCTTTCCGATACACATCTTCTTGCGTATCCTACATAGCCCACGCGTCGAACTTATCAATCATGAAGCTTTTCCGAACCTCTGTCACCATCGTCGCCATCGTAGGCGCCTCTGCTATAGTCATCCCGTCCAGTGAAACCATGCAGGCGATCAAGATAATTCCCCTGAAAGGGGAGAACCGCAATAATTTCATCGACCGGGCCACTCGTCCTGAACATGCCCACGCCGAGGGACACGACAAGCGTGGGCTAGAAAAGGCCCAAAGGGAGCTGCCGGAGAGCGCGGTGATTTGTATGTCGGAAGATCCATCACAGCTACCGCAGAAGTTCGTTTCCCCGGGTAAGTATTGACTAGTTTTCCCTTTCTCCACGGGCGGTTGAAGCATTAGACTTCGGACCCTAGATTCTCCCCGGTGTGTATCCGAGACTCCACTGAGAGCTGAACGAGCTACAGATTACAACCAAGAGAGGGAACAACGCGTCGCTGCAGATGGATTGCGCCATTTCTGGAAGCGGTTGATTTGGGTACAGCACGGCAGGACTTGTCTCACGCAGGCAGGCGAAGAAGAAGGGCAAAATGAGGACGTGAACGATCTCGAAGAAGTCAAGGCGGCCACCACTGGATATAAGGCGTCGCTTCGCGCGGAAATTCGTAAGAAGAAGGAGTGGGAAAAACAGCATCCGGAGGGGCCGGAGAAGGTTTGGGTTGATGGTAGGCGGCTGCCGAGTTACTGGAATGGCCATGAAATGACTGCACATTATCCATACGAGGAATAAATTGTCTACGGCAGCCTTCATTGTCACTTTCATTAGCTGAGAGTCAGTCTCTTCATGTCAGATCATGGCTTGTCCTCTTTGTGCTGTTAGGCAGATTGTCTATGCTACCCGTCTGTACATGTGATAACTGTAGACGTACATCGGATCATTTCCTCCCATATGGGTCAATGCTCATACATATGTAACATATGAATCAAAAGCTCCGGAATCCAAAAGTGCCAAGAGCAGTTTCAAGGGATTTCTACCCGCCCCTGACGCGCAACATATGCCAGACATCCTACACAGACCGAAATCGTATCCCTCAATCTAAGGGTCCCCACGGCCGCCTTCATGCGAAGTACGAGTAGAACCGCTCCCAGCAGCCTGCCTGTTACGAAGCACGATACTGTGCCACCGCCCTTCGACAAGGATCAGGTTTACCGGCCTGCTGCTGAGCGACGGCGGTGGCTCGATCTGGGCTGCGCAGCAGCCAACAGTTCGCCGGCTGCCGACAGACGGGGCAGACCTGGTTGCACTTATGCTGTGGCTCCCATCACCTGCAACGGGCGGTGGTACGGTCGCACAAGGCGGTCGAACTACAGCAGCGTAGGTACCAGCAGTATCGGTACTGCTGGGATCCGCGGAGACAGGTGAGAGAGGCGTGGAAAAGGCTTGCAGGTGAGGATTCCCGGGGATTGGCGATGGAGAGAATGGGTGGGGATTGGCAGTGGTTACTATGGCTTCTAGGAGACACGATGCCGCTACTGGAGGCGATTGGGACGTGTGCAGATAAGTTCGTGGTCGCTCGGGTTCTCCAAGCAGGCTGTTGCCTTGGGGATCCCTGGTGGTGCCTGCAAGCATCGGATGTCGTGCATAGGGCCGAATCAGTTGCGCCGATGGAAACGCGAGCCTGCGGGCGTACTAGCCACTTATAGGGCATTTGCACTTTACATCAATGTCATATGTTGACGAGCTTTCCATTGGCCCAGCGATAGAAAGCGGCATGGTGCTCCGCGACAGCGATACGTTTGACCTGGAGGAGGGGAGCCGAAACGTATTCGATGGCATGGCCGTTGCGGTAGGAGAACAAAGGAACCTGGTGATGCTGTGCCGACGGAGTCCGCCCGCAGATTCCGGCAAGAAGGTGTTCTCTGGAAATGTATGCCTAGGTCCGAGTGCAATCCAGGTAAGTCACTCAACCTGATCCGTGTGTGATGCGACTGAGCAGAGCAGCGATATGCGAGGCATGAGGCATGTGCAAAACCACCACGGTCCAATAAATTCCGCACCATGCAGCACTTGAGGCAGGACAACATACCGCACACTGAAAACCGCCCGGTGCGACTTAGGCAGGGCCTCTAACAAAAGGCACCAGGCCGGACGACGTCCCGGCCACGGGCAGCCAGTCATCGGCGTCCGTGGCGGTCCCATCGACGCTGACAAAACACCTTGGTGACTCGGGATGGAGAGTGGGCGAACAGATAGCCACGGATTGTTCGCCCAGGTTACACGCCACGGAGATGAAAGGTCGATCAGGGAACGGTGGAAACCCTGTATCGGATACACCCCGACCGTGCCCTATCCCCTCTATTCGCGTGGACTCGCACAAGGAGTCATCGTGGACGGGAAGAGGCGGAGGGGTTGGTCAAACGTAGGAAGTGAGTCACATGGTCCTCTGTGCTCCCGCTGCGGGATATAGCACCGACCTACGCGCCTGTTCGGCCGATGCATATGCACGAAATCTCCGATGCCGCGGTTTCCCTGCTCTTCCGTTGCTATCCCAATCGATGCCTCGCACCGCTGTTGCGAGCTGATAGGCTCGATACCCGAGGCTTCAAGTCCGTTGTGGTGGGCGGTAGGGTGACGAGGACAGGTGAAAGGAGGCACAGTCACAGGCGTCACGAAGCGAAACCGGTGCGCAAGGATAGCATGGACATCGCACACGGAGCCAGACCACCAAGAAGGCAGAAACGCAGTAGACAGCAAGTTTATCATTAATTTACAGGGACCAATTTGCGGGTGCGGAGATGTGGGGTCTGTGTGTGTGTAAGGTACTGTTGCTTTGTGTTTCTATCCCTTTTCCTCTCCTCCTTACGCAACCACTGGGGCCTGCGAAGTGCTTTACCCAATCTCCAGACAGGAAATCATCTCCTAATGCGGGGGGAAATGCGGAAGCGGGGAATCTTGAATGAATTTGGGGTGAACGGGAATCTCAAATGTAAGGAAAGGGTACGCCACAACATGCAATCTAACAACTTCGAAACATCCATAAGGAAACCATGAAGGAAATGCTCTTGACATCTGGCTGACGAGGGCTTGGAAAGAAGCGAATATGGTGACATTAGGTTGGGACAGAACCCCAAGCGTATGAGCCTAAGGTTCTCGTGACTACACCCGTACGAGTCTGCCACCATGCGTTCTTCCGAAACGCTTCAAACACAAATCAAACCTGGTGGATTTGATAGGCAGGCCCTCTGCTTTGTATGCACAAGCACGTTTGTGAAAGTCGCAACCGGTCGGGGGGAAATGGAAATGGCACGATGGGGACTCGTCTCCGCCACCGATGAATGAAGAGAAGCGGCCGTCTCGTCGTAATCGTCTCGGTCTCGATATGCAGTTGCCGATCATGCTTGATATTTTCCAGTCCGTTGCCCCCGAAGTCCCACACCACCGTTGAAAGGAGAATATAAAAATAGTAAGGGGGAAAAAAGAAACTTGAGAAGAAAGCAATGGTGCCGGTCCCAAGGCGTCAACCATGCCCCGTTCAACAAGCCACCGAACCACCGCCAACCCATGCAAATGCAATGCCAGCCCCCTCAATGAAACGCACAACTAATGCAATTGAATCATTCGAAATCATCGCGAAGTGAACGGAAAGAATGCCCGCGTAAACGAATCTCCATTAGAATTCCTGCCGCGACCGCAGAAGTGTCTTGAGATAGACGACTTAGGTGACCTCAGAGATGATAGAATCGGCTACGGCTGATAGTTGCCCGAGCCATTGTTATCTACTATCTGTTAGCCACCGAGGCATGGCAGATGGTCCAGGGGGCTCCGGGCAACCAGGAGGCTTACGTACGCTGTTGGTACATTTGAGGGTTGTTCGGAGCGTATGGAGATGGAGGGTAATTGCCACCGCTGGTTGGTTGGCCGCTGTTATACATCTGGCTGTTGGGCGGATACTGGGCGGTCATTGGGCTCTGGCCGCCGTAGCCAGCTTGCGTCGGTTGGTTCTGACCGGGCGGACCATAGCCGATCGGTGGCAGTTGGGGACCTCCGGGCATGGAGGGGGGAGCACCGATATGCGGGGGATTGTAGGGGTGGGATTCCGAGCCTCCCTCACTGGCGCGTTGTTCGGCGTCGCGTCGGTGACGTTCATCTTCGGCTTTGCGCGCGGCTTCCTCCTCCTTCTTTTTCTGTTTCCATTCCTTGCGAATTTCCTTGAATTCTGTGAAGACATGTTAGCATATTCAACATCAAAGGCCGTAGTGAATCTAGCGCAAGTCTAATGTTGCCCGTGGTGGGCCGGACTCTGTTAGACTCCGCCCACACCACACAACACCGCGTCCGCTGCATGACACCGCATAACGCTTTAAACCACGCCCAGCGCGTTGATTCAACCAACATCGCGCGAACTTAAATTCGACTTCGTCTAGATCCTGTGAAACAGTGTGGAACCCACCTTCGGGAGTGCGCTTGGTGCCATGGGATTGCATGGTGACATGCGCGTTCAAATGGTTCAGGGTTCCATAAGCCTTCTCGCATCCATTCCATCCGCACTTGTACATGCGCTCGATTTCCTCGTATCTTCGACGTGGTCGTTTATGCTGTTGCGCGCCCGGGATCGGGACAAAGGAGTAAACGGTCGACAGCGGGTGGGCGCCCTGAAGCACGCGTTAGCATCATGAACTCGGATGGAGGCGACGCGCTTGGGGCGACAAGCATACCGGTGAAACCAGGGCTGGCAGCGGTCCGCCCGATGTCACGGCCGAATGCGCGTACATCGGGGAGGCTCCATATTGACCCCCTGCCCACTCTGGGCGTCCATACACCCCCGGATGGCCCGCGTAATGGGACATGTCGGCGGGAGAAGGCGTGTAAGGGGAATATTGATGATGCTGCGGAGGATACGTAGGGCTGGTGGCGGCCGCGATGGAGGGATCTATTTGTTGCGTTTGGTCAGATCTCATGTTGGGAGAGGTGGCAGATTGGCCATTGGGAGAGCCAGAAGCATTCAAAGGCATGGACGGACTTGTTGCTTGGGCCATTCCTTGCTGTTGGTTCGCTCCAGGGGCGATATTCGGGTGATAGGGCCTTTGGTAGTCGGGGAAAGTGCTGGAACGCGCCGAGGAAGGGGCGATCCCGTATTCCGAGTTAGGAGTGGCCGTACTGGAGGAGAAGTTGGCCGAACGGGAGTCTGGGTTCGACGGGTAATGCGCAGCGGATGGCTGATCTGAAGAGGCGTCTCTCTGAGCGTCGTCCGAGATTGAAGAATCGGTGAGTGGAAGTCCAAGTTTCGTACCTGATTGCGAATAGTCTGTTTGCCTATTGTCCATAGGCTGCGGCGGAATCGTGGGACGTTGACGGCCAAGCTTGACGCCAGGCGATAGCGGAGTAATTGGACGAGCACCTAAAGCCGTTGGATAGCCAGTGGACATAGCACAGCCGGCGTCAACAACAGGAGCAGAAGGTTTCCGGAAAGCCCGTCGCAAAGATACCGAAACACGCGACTGGAGAGCTGTTTGCGGATAGACGGTCTGGACGGACTGATACGCGATGCGGCTCTCTTCCGCCTTGTTTTGATTTTTTTCCTGGACAAGCCAATTGGCACCGGAGGCGGACGAAGGACAGTGACCTGGGACTTTAGAGGGAAAAAAGAAGAACCAACGAAGGAGGGGTTTGTTGTCTGGTTACAGTTGCTCGGTGCCTGTAGCGTTGAAACTAAGACGGGTGATGCGCAGACGGATTGAGACTTGTTCGAGCGACAGCGCCGGCAGATGTAGTTATTAAGAGGCGACAGGCTCCCCTAATCCTGGAAGGTTTCCGGGCGGCGGAACCGGCTCTGATTGCGTGAACGACGAAGTTTGGGACCAGGCAATGCACGACCTCCACAGCCGGGATTTCGTCGAAAGTTCGAACGGGGATGGAAGGGTTTCGGGGGGGCGGCGCAAGTTGTAAAGTCTGGGAACTTGGGAAGCTAGTGGCCTTACGCGGCGACTAGATGGTGGTTTTTTTTTTGCCCGGAGGAGTTTGGCCTTGGGGGGAATTTGGGACGGCCGCCGACGACGATGATGAACGGGACAGTCAAGGGGATTGGGATTAGGCTTAGTTGGTAGCGCGGTTTTGATGGTGATCGCTCGGTCCTAGTCGGCTCGAGAGAAGCGCAGATTGGTGGTCGGGATACTCGAGTGGACGCAGGTGCGACTTCGAGGTTGTACTGAGCTAAGAACGGGTTGGGTATGGTGGAAATCTTTCGCTACAACGGCCGAGCAGACATGGACAGTCAGAAGAGGGTCTGCAGAGGGAACTACGGCTAGCGGCAGTGAGGAATAGAAGGGAAAAAGGACGTGCGAAAGAACTGGGAACGCAGGGCCTAAATGAAGTAATAATTGGTGAACCCTCAGTGGACTTTTGGGGTCAGTTGAGAACCAGAGATCAACGGGGGGTGGTGTCGACTATGAAGAGAGGGGACCATCGACAGGCGGTAGACCGTGGACAAGGTGATTGATGATTGACGAGTGAAGAGTGAAGCGTGAACCAAGGTGTGGACTGTGGACGTGTGTCGTGGTGAAGTGGTGGAGCAGGGGAGTTTTTGTGTGGGAGCAACCGGACCGACGTGCGAGGGCTGGGGACAGCAGGCGTGTTGTGAGTGTTTTCTGAGTCCTGACGTCTGGCTGTGCAAGACAGGGGAGTTGGAACTTGGAAGACAAACACCCAGCTCTTCAGCACAGCACTCAGATTTCAAAGGTACTCAGCAGAGTCGCGGGGGGGAGAATTGGTACAGGTACAAGCCTAATACGCGGTACACTCCACGGTACACCAGGTATTAGGTAGGGACCACCAAGGGACCGAGGAGAGGACGAGGAATTGAGCCTTGAGGAGTCGAGGACGTGATGGGAAGTGACCGCGAATTCGGGAATGGAGCAATAGGATTGGTCAGCGAGAGGACCGCGATGACCGCGATTGCCCGTCAGATAACTTAGTTAGGCCGGTACCGCTGGGAGCAAATACCGAATAATACTGAACTCGAAGGAGGAAACAGCATGGCGATGGTGGATGGCAAATTGGGATTTTTACCAGAATGGCCAATCTCGTGTCGGAACGGAGGTGCCAAGGTGGAATTGGGGCGTTGTTTTTGGCTTCGGCTGATGATACCACCAACCCTGACCTGTCATGGTTTCCACGTAAAAATGCTCCTGTTCGGTACCTTAGGCATGGGCCATGGAACAGTTCCTTGCCACTACCTGACTCGCGGTCAAGTGACATGAATTATGAGATCATGAATTGAATTCGGGTCGGTGTTTCCGAGGCAATCTGAGGCAATTGAGTGAAGGCGAAATCTAATGGGTACAGTACTGGGTACCTTCACTGTACAGCCATTGGGTATGATGATTCGGAGGCTGGAGGTACCGACGAAAGGTACGTACCGGTGGCTAAACGAGGATCGCAGTAGGTAATAAGAGGTGTTAGACAAACTACAATCTACAAAAGCTTGGTAATACCCAACCAGAATTTGGGTTGGGGGTGGGGCTGGAAATCGCGACCGACCACCAGGAAAGACGCGACCAGGGGTACCGCCAGTCATGGTCCTTCCGCTTTCATTTTCGGCAGTTACTTCAATTTTACATTAGCACCCGTAACTACCTAACTAGGAAGTAAACAACTTGGATTCCGTGGAGGACAATGTGCACTGTACAGGATAAAGTAGATCGTAATTGATAATACTGAAGCCACAATTATACCAAGACTCTTAGTCAGCACCATTTAGCTCATGGCAATGTTCCTCACGCCCCAAGGCTTGGCGTCTGCCTCTCACACCGCATCCCTGCACTATCCTACATCCGTTAATCCGTTTTATTCTTCATGATCTCAATATTCCCTCCATCCTTGGGGCCTCAACCATTCATTCATTCATCAAACCACCATCTCACCCCTTAGCTTTCCTTTTCCGCTTTGAAATGGTTTCATGCTCTCGTGTATCTGCAATCCACATCCTGCAGAGCCAGCACCTCAGCCCTCACCAAACCGCATGGATGCCAATCCAACACGTTCCTCTGTGATTGTTCATTTCATCTCCAACAGGCCGCACTGCCGCACGGCGTGTGACAAAACCACTCTAGTGAGCCTGATCGGCACCACCACCACCACCAACAGAAGTTACACAGCGAGATATGACTGGAGACACACGACAGGGTTCCCTATCTTTCACGTCTTTGTTCAATTCGTTCTTTGTTGGCTTCGAGCATTCGACGCGTCCCACGAGCCTCGCTTTACCCCGGTAACGAAGTGGAGTTCTGGAGAGGGTAAGCGTGTCGGAGCCCTGCGGTATTCTGGAGCAAATGATAGTACCACCCTCACGCGAGAGTACAAGACCCCCGATCCTGGTAGTGCCATGAGCCCCCTGCTGAGGCTCGGTCATGAAAGCTTGACCTGTGCACCGCCATAATCCCTCCGTTCCCAATACCCATAGCGGCATGGCCATAATCAATTTATGGAATGGCTGATGGCCGCGCTCTAGCCTTGGGGACAGGCAAATGTCGAATCATCCATTCTCAGCCACGACTTTGTCGCTTTCCACAGCGCATATACTCTATCGATACCCAATGCATGCGGAGCGTTTTCCAATGAACATTGGCCGAGTTGGCGTGGACTTTCGTGGACCAACAGGCTTTCCTCGAGGATTCATACCGGAACTCTTCGGCATGTTTGAAGCGGGGTTAGTCACAATTCACGAATGACGATGCGTGGGCAGATTCTCCTACCGAAAGAGGCATTGGAGCCTAGAGGACACCGACAGTTCACAGTTGTCGCCCGGATCATGCTCCACTTCCAGCCTGATAAATTGCAATCAGCATACGGAATAAAGCATATTGCTCTCGTTTACCCTAGATCCTGCTTCTTATTCTTATCTCCGATCCAACCACTGCAGCTCCAGCTGGAGAGCTTGGTCCTTTAACCTTTTGGAATTTGGACGATCTGCTGACGTTCTCCCATTTCCAGCCTCCTGATATTTCGCACGAAGCACCAAGCACGGGAATAGTACTCTCGTCCTTCGTGTGAGTTATGCAAGGCGGGATAAGTAAATAAACCTCCACAATCGCACATGCCGCCGAATCCCCTCCCCCCCGAGCGCGTCCACGCTCCCACCCGGTTAAGCTCGACCAGGCCTGCTACCGTGCTACCAAATCCAGATAATCGAGGGACCAGCAAAAGCCAAAATCTCGCAAGTCGCAGCATGGATGCGTCCCGTGGATCTTGATATCGAACGGGTCGCAGTCTCACAGAGCAGAGAAAATGCGGTTCAGAGCGACGCATCACGCATGTCCCTATTTCCTAAGCGGGGACATTTGGACCCCCATGATTGGTTTGCACGTGGGAGCGCGTCCAGTGTCGACTCATGATTTGCCGGGAAAAAGCGGCAGAACGATTCAGCATGCCCGCCTCGCCCATTTCGCAGAAGAAGATCGAAGCTGAGGGGCGGAATAATCGGCGGCAGGGGCTCAGGGGAGCGGATTAGACAACCGCTTTCGGCGCCGGACTGGCGCCACCCAAAGCTTTTCTCTTCCTTCACCTTCACATCATGCATGACTTCCTGACTCCTGTTCGTCGGCCGCTTTGTAGAACGTGGGGCTCGGTCTCGGCCCCTTGAGGGCAGTCGGATGCTATTATGCTGCATTGGAGTATTATGTATCGTCAAAATGGTCGGGCAACGTTATAAAAGATGGCGATTTGGAAGATTGTGCAATGTCTGGCATTGGTAAGCGATTCATGTTCACAGCAAACACTGGAGAGTACCAATAGGGCGACTTGGACCCTCAACATCCATCTCAATGATATTCCGTCCACCCTACTTTTCGCATCGTGGTTCGTCAAGAGTCAAGACTGCCACGATTGGCGTATCCAGTAAATATTCCGTCCTCTCAGTTTCTATCAAGATTCAAGTGTCAAAGAACCAAGCTTTATGGTCGCATTGCACAAAAACGGTCCTTCGGTTCTCAGCCATGGCCCGTTCCTGGACCTGTCGACTTGGTCTGAGTTGGTACCGACGCTACAACCGTGCAACGTACTGTCAGGGTACCGGGATTACGTTCGGTGAAATCTCGTATTGGGTGGGGTCGGGGATTTAGAGCTGACTAACTAAAGCACCGGGGAGAGGTGGGTGACATTGAGATCCTAAATACATGTATAATGCGCCGATGCAATTCGTAAGGACGGTAATTGTTCTCTGCAGTAAAGCCATCATGATCACGCTTCCTTTGATCCAAGAGTAACATAGTAGGAAAGGTACTTAAGATATGTGACGACAGAGGTTACCTCCCGTAGTATTTTGATATTCGTCCATCTGATACAGCTAAGATACAAGGCATGTCCCACGGGCCACGAGGCCACGACACTTGAACCATGACCACCTTGACCGGTAGCTTACAGGGTACTTAGCTCGTCCTAGCCACTCCAAATGCCCGACAGACGATCCGCGATATCCTTATCCAATCTCCATTGAAATTCGATTCCTGCAGCGAATCTCGGAGCATCAGAATGACCTCGTGACTCCAATTGCGCAAAACTTCCGGTTGGACCTGACAACTTCGTAACTTCGTAACTTCTGACCTAAACTCGGCTCCCAGAGGCACAACTTACCTAAATCATTCCGCGGATTATGGGTCCATCGGCCCATGGCCACGCGGAACAGGTCGACCTTGGATGTCCTAGTGCACTAGGCGGCTCTAGCTAACCGGGCTTGCGCTCGGCGATAGAACCAGACTAGGGGGTTCTGGAACGACTAGCACGAGAATACTAAACCCCACGGTACGAAGGAAGAGTATCATCGCGATCTAGACACGTCACAAGGAAGCCGCTGTCGCTCCTCCTCGGAGCCGATTCACATCTTCGGACCATCAGTCACCCGAAGTGGCAAAGTATCGTGTATCGAAGATTGACCTTGAGAATTGGAGTTGGCAATTTGATATTGTACGACAGTATGGCGGTTAGCAAAGCTGGTCGGCAAATACATCTCTGCCCCGCAATCCATCCCACCCTCACTAGGTTCATACCTTGTATTGCATACAAGATTTAGCCGAATGACTTCGAATCCTTTCTTGCAGGCTGACGGCCAGGGCGTACATAGTAGGGTGTCAGCGACTTAGCGCTCGGTCTTATATTGATGTAGCGACATATTGCAGTCGTGGACCCTATCAAAGGTGTTAATACACAGGAGAAGGTTCCCGTCCTTGCCGTTAAATCATCCGTCCACTGGCCAAGCAGTGGTGGAGATGCCTACTGGAATCGATGGCTGTCCGCCAACACGACGGGTGTACGGGACCACCCGGTCGGGGCAAGGGAGACAAAGCCTTCGTAGTTTGTACTTCTGCCGTCTGCACTCGGCCGAACAATCTCGCCTTCCAAATTTCGTCTAATCACAATATGTTAGCGTCCGTCGGTGAGCACGTGGCCGCCATCGTGTCGTTGAATTTAAAGTTTTCGATGGACGCGCTGACATCCAGGATTCGTACTCCGTAGGGTGTGATAGGACTCGGAGCGAACAATGGCTGCAACGTCACTCCGACTTTGGATATTCCACTTCATATGGAAATCCCTCTGCCGTTCCATCGTCTTCTCTGACAGAGGGGACAGCGATGCTGGCAGCCTGCTCCGTGGAAACCCATGTTCCCCCTGTTCCACCAGTACTTATGAGTACTTATGACTCGCCTTGTCTCGCACAGCACCCCTAGAGCGACGGTACCATCCGACTTCATTCCTGATGCCCCCTTGACATCCAGGGTTACCTCATGGGGGCCAGGGCAAATGCCGAAAGAGGTTGTGCCGTGAAACGTCTTGATCCGTGTCGAAAGGAGAAATTCTCTCCAGAACTTCATCCGAGATATCAATCTTGTGCTGCAACTACGAATATAAATATGCCTTTGAAGGGGTCCAGAGGTAAGGGTTTGGTGGCTCATTGGCTGGTAATGACCAAACCAGTTGTAGTTTAGTCGTTAGCACCAGATCCCTAACGGTCGAACCAGGTAGCTATGAGGCTCGGAATTTAGCTGCTTGATTGTTGGATGCCGCTAACTTAGCACGAATCCAGCATCAAGGTTGCACTTGTGTAGGCGAAACCGTTGAATGAGGATACGCTAATATTCCCGATGAGTAAGTTAGTAGTTCTTATACATAACTAAGTTAGTAGGCAAGTAAGTTTGGTACTTAAGCATTGGCGGAGAATGGAAATGGAACTCGCTCCGTCCGACTCTCAACTTCACATCGTGAACCATATCTCCAAATATTCGGAGACTTTTTCCGAAACCTGGAACATTCGATTGAAATTGAAGGGCACATGCGTCGTGACCGCCATGACATCGAGCATAACATGTGCTTTTGGACAGGCACCTGGAAATCTGCCCTACATCACGGATGATGATGCATGGGGGGGACTGAAGAGCAAGGGGATCAAGTGATCAACCGTTTCATTCCACAGTGAGAAGAGTCGCGCGGTCTGCATACGGGTTGGGTGCTTCCAGCATCATTTATATGAGCTGATCGCTGATATGGTGGTATTATTACACATGCGAACACGTACGGAATACTCCAGCGGTTCATTGATTGATTTCATGCCCTCAACCTAGATGCACTCCAAAGTCTTCAACAACATTATTATGCATACTCCAGAGGGAAGCAAATGCCGTTGTTTCCTGTTGAGTGCCGTCTTATTTTTACCCTCTTAAATCTACGCCTCAAGGTTGGGAGCAGTATGGGTGCTTTCGGGACGAGATGAAGTGTATTTTCATCGTTCAACCTGCAAATCAGATACTTAATCGAACCAAAGATGCGAACATCTGTCGACACGTTTACTCCGAGTCACCATCCGATTGGACAAAGTTAAGCACAATGGCGCGTCCAAATACCCAGCATATTCTTGTAGGTTTGCAGTCTGAAATCTGCATGTCGCATGAGCGAGGGCGGTGTTCAAAATATGCGAGGCCTTGACTCATCCATTGTCAATCCGAGCCTCTCGCCAAATGGTGGGCTTAAGGAGTGGGAGCAGCGGCAGCACATCTCGAAGCACAGGACGGTAGAACGGCAGGATTCCCCCTTGTCGACGGTCCATTGCGAATGCAGAAATCCCGGCGGTAAAACAGGCTCTCGGAAAATGCATATTATCCCGGCATCGGTGGTCTATGCTTGTTTACTTTTTTTATTCGCATCGCGCACGCATCCGACAGCCTATCATTGGGTCATTCATCGTTCAATCGGATGCGGGGTGATGGAGGGATTCGGTGAAGTCTTTGGTCCCATGGGCCTCATTGGATCAATTCCGAGCGTACATGGAGTACATGCACTCACTATGCAGACAAAATGGATAAAGTAAGTACGTATTTTCGATACAGAATTTCAAAGACTACCAGGAATCAGGAACTGTAGAAAAGATCCGCAGGACTCGACGTCGATATTAACAGCAAGGCCTCCGGATGCCGGATGTTTGTATTACGACCGACGACAGTTGTACTATGTATGGCTCAGCCCTCGGTTTGCCCAAGCGAAGAATAAAACGTGAGAAACTACTAAATATGCTCGCCTGTAAAATATCACTGATGAAAAAACCCAGCAAATGTGTGGGCGTCCCTTGAAGAGTTCAATCATCAATGATCACCTCGACACGAACTCACGATGTTGACGGTCAACAGGAGCTGCAAGTCCCGCCAAAATTGGGCATGTTAGCCTCCGCAGTCCGCACCAGGTCAACATTGATCGGCGCCTTGCGAAATAAAACATTAAAACCCCACGGGTGCCGCGTATGCCTTCTCCAACCAGCGCAATGCACGCCCGTCATTCGAACGACATGCATGGATTCATGAGCGCATGACGGTGTTCAGGGCAGCGTGCGAAAAAGAACACGAGGTATCGACCATAGCCGTCACACAGAAATTGGTGCTGTAATCAAAAAGGCGCCCCCGCGGAGTGCCCACCTGAGCGTGGCGGCACCTGGGCTAGAAAATGTAAAGCGGTCAAATACCGGATCACTCGGGACGGTCCAGGAGCGCGAAAAGGAAAGGGGGCCGGATGATTGGCGGTCGCGTCGAATATCCCAAGCCTGGTTCGCCTGGGAGGGCCTGTCGTTGTCAGCATCTGACAATGGACGATAGCGGCGGCAGGGCGCTCGGACGATCGCGCTTTAACCGGATTCGCCTAGTCCGTGCTCGTCTCGGCCAGATGGCTTTCAGCCTCTTCTCATCTCGTGCATGAGGTCAAGGGGGGATGACGGACGCGCAGACATGGTCGGTCAGGATTTCGCTTCCAAGGGTTGGACACATGCATTCGAGACGGAGCAGGATGACAGGAACCACCACGGCGAGGACGCAAGTCAGGGAGTACGAGTAAGATGGATACAGCGCTGGATTTCATCCAGCATCGGATATAACTCCCCAGCAACTGGACCTTGCACGTTGTTACATCCAGAAACGGGGCAGTTCATTTCGGCCATATTCTGGGCCCTCGTCTCATAAATTCGCCGAAACGATACCCAACAAAGATTCCCCGTACCCTTTTTCTCGGCTCTCGTTTAGCAGCGGTTCTCCCGCTTCCAGCCAATTACTGATAGCCACGAATGGGACTCGCGGGACCCGTGAAGGTCGGATCGTGAATGAGTTTGTCAGTCGGAAGTCTGGACGCTGCCCCTTCGAAAGGATGGTCCGGATGTGGGCGTGAGGTTCAGTTCCATCGTCCCATTGCCATATTCCCGGCTTCAATTTCCGTTGGCTCTTGGGTTCCACCCTAATGTTCCATATCCTGTCCCAATTAAGAGACTGAAATGTTATCCTCGTGGGAACTGGCGGTGAGGGCGAGTGGTCACAGGGGCATCAGACAGCATTGCCTTCGGAGCAAAGCGAGGTGGGCATTATGATGTGGAGTGGGTTGAATCCTCGAGAGGTCGAGGTATTTGGAACCAAACTATAAGCTCATGCGTGATACAAAAAAAAATTCACCACTAAGGAACTGTCAAAGGACTATTGAAATAATCACGATACTTTTTGATCCGCCCCATCATCTCAAGCAGAGATAAAAGGAGTGCTCTATCTAAGTCTGTCTGAAAGCGAGCTGAACGAAGTCAACTCAGGACCTGAAGGGCCCGAATAACCCGATATGAAAGGTTGAATGCTGATCCTTGCTATTACCACGGTTGAAAAGACATCTATACCATTCAGATCTATGCTTCTCGGAATCACCGCGAAGTCAAACGGCAAATACTATTCCTTTGATCAAACTCCAGGGACGCCACTGTCGATCTATCGGCTGCTGCTGTGAGCTGTCTGCAGGTCAGTGGTGAACCGTTCACCAACGCCTGTTGTGAAGAGGGGCCTGGTTGGAACCAGACGAATATCCTGTAAGCTTGTTAGTAAATTGATCGTTAGGTTCATGGCAATGTTAACTGACCTCCACGGCCGCCGCGCCCGCCGCCTCGGCCTCCATAGCCGCCGTAGCCACGGCCACCACCGCCGCCACCGTATCTAGCCATCTCGGCGAGACGGGGATCAACCTCTTGCTTGCTCTTCGTAAGAACAGACACCAAGTCTCGGGCTTGCTTTGCATCTGTAGCGACCAGTTAGCGGCAGGATACAGCTGTGTAGGACGTAAACGACTTACTCTCAGTGGTGAAGAAGGTAATGGCAGTACCCTTAGCACCAGCACGGCCCGTCCTACCAATTCGGTGAACATAGTCCTCCGAATTGTTAGGGTAATCATAGTTCAGCACGTGAGTAATATTGCGAACATCTTAAAGGACATAGGTTAGCAGGCTGAATTTGGTAAGTTGGGGGGATGGCATGGGCAATCGTCATGGATTGCGTGTGTCTGCAGTATGCTGCATTTGGGACTCTCATCGTGCGCTACTACTGGATTTGCCGTAGCATCCGAGTCCGGGACAGGCTCTGGGTATTCTCAACCGGTATTGAAAACCTTGGAAGGATAAGAGATGACCGTCTCCATCATCATCCGTTTATGACCTCGCTCTTTGAAGCGCGCGTAGATCGAAGCTAAACCACCTGCGGTGCTGCAGCTCGACTGTCATTCCAAGGTCCTCGAAGAGGAATACTGACGCGATGAACGCGAAGCCCTGGACAAGGTTACGTATGCATGGGAGCGAGCGCACTTGGAAAGAACAGCAAACATCACTTCAGATCACGCAATGAACAGGAAATGACGAACGGCCAAAATGACTGAGAAAAAGGAAAATATGCGCGAGGCGGATGCAATCATACCAATACCACGAGAAGCTACATCGGTAGCCACCATGATTGGGGACTTTCCGGTTCTGAATTCATTCAAGACCCAATCACGTTCGTTCTGCTGTTTGTCGCCATGAATTGCTAGATGTCGTCAGCAAGTGATTCCTCCATAAGTCAGACGGATGAACTTACACAGCGCCGGCCATCCATCCTGGCGAAGGAATCGAGTAATATCGTCAGCGACGCGCTTGGTACCTGTGAAGATGAGAATCTTGTTATTTTGGTCTTCCATGATCTTCTCCATATGCTTCGACATGCGATCCCTCTTCTCAAAGTCGGAGACGACTTCGACAATCTGGGTGATGCGGTCATTGGCAGACAAGTCGAGAGATCCAATGTTGACCTGAATGAAATCAGCCTGGTAGTCGGAGGCAAGCTGTCGGACCTCCTTAGGCCATGTGGCGGACCACATGCAGGTTTGGCGGTCCGGGCGGATCTGGCCAATGATCTTTCGAATCTGCGGCTCAAATCCCATGTCAAGCATGCGATCGGCTTCATCGAGAACCAGGTAGGTGACACGGCGAAGATTGGTCTTGCCAGATTCCAGCATATCGATCAAACGACCGGGGGTGGCAATGACAACTTCCACACCGCGGGAAAGATCACGGATTTGTTGACCCTTGGGAACACCACCGTAGACGCAGGTATTGCGGATACGGGACGATTTTCCAAACTTGCTAATCTCGGTCTGGATCTGAACGGCCAACTCACGTGTCGGTGAGAGGATCAGGACAATGGGTCCGTCGCCAGGCGCAAGGAGAGGCTGCGCATTGATGTGGACGATGGCAGGAAGACAGTAGGTCAACGTCTTTCCGGAACCGGTCTCGGCAATGCCGACGACATCACGACCGGACAGAGCCATGGGCCAGCCCTGAGCCTGAATAGCAGTCGGCTTCTCGAAACCTTGTGCCTTGACCTCGCTCATCACGTAATTCGGGAATCCAGCTTCATCGAAAGTGGTCACCGGCTTAGGGATATCTTGACCGGTGATGGTCATTTTGTGCTCCTTTCGGTACTCCTCAATCTCGGATGACGAGCGAATAGCAACATCGGGATGTTCCTTGTAGAATGATTTCTCGAACTTGGGGAGCGTGTTCAGGTCTGGACTTGTCAGTAAAATGTCGAATGAATAGATCTCATATCTGGCTTACCCCATTCTTGGTGCTTCAGGTTGGCGCCAAGGTTGCTCATCCTGTCACCACCGCCTCCTCCGAAGGAGTTGCCATATCCGCCAGCAGCGCCGCCACCGCCATAACCACCGGAACCGTTGGAGTACCCGCCTCCGCTGCCTCCACGATATCTATACGGGCGTTAGTAAAGCTGGAAATATGCCAAATAGTTCTTGTGGCGACGATCATCCAAGACCGTATGTGAAGAAAAACTTACCCGGAAGAGCCTCCGCCGCCATAGCCACCACCACCACCGCCGCTACGAGAACCACCGTATCCGTTGCCGCCGTACGACATGATGTGCGAAACGAAAGGGAAATGAGTTCCTGAAGTGTCGCGGAGTTCGGAAGACGGTTGTGAGAAAAAGTCTCGAGTTAAGGGGTCCTAAAAAATGGATGTGTGATGGAAGGGATCGAGTACTAGACAGATCTCCAAATCTCGAGAAAATTCTCAGGCACTGGTGATCACAGGTACAACGAGAGAAATGGGTTGAATGAGAGAAAAGGTTGGGTGATGGAAGTGAGATTGGGAGAAGATGAAAACAGGAAGTCAAAGAGGTAGTAAAGTCTGCAGCAGGCTGAGTTTCCGAAGGGGCGACTGAACAAATTTTTTTGGTTGGAAGAACCGTTAGGCCATCAGGCCGCTAGGCTACTATAACGCTAGGCTGCAATCTCGGTCGTCTTGGCATCCACTGTCCGCCAAACGGATCGAGCAACCAGTCAACCACCACATTCCCAATTCACTGCACGCTCACTTCACACTTCACCTTCTCTGAAATAGTGAAACTTCATCCGTTCCCTGGTCTTGCTCGATTCGGTGTTCATTTGGTTACAACTGTGCTGCTGGCTTCATCAAATTTAGGATCTGATATGAGGATATCATTTCCCACTATCGTCATCATCATCTTCGGGGTCAGTATATAATACGAGATAGCTTGTCCACCATAGAGAAACCACGTGAGTGTTACATCGGTACCCTACAACGCGCTAGAAATTCGAATGAGTTCTTTGGCTTTTAGAAGGCGTTCAAATCTGATATTGATTCCTATTTCCTGCCAATATCAACTGAAAAGACCACATGCAAGCATTCATAACCATCGGATCCTTGTAATTACAGATTGAGCAGCATCCTTGTCGATATATATGTGAATCAGTCATGATCCCATCCCTGCCCTATGTTTGGGACTGTATAGGTGCATATTCTTTGGTAAGAGGATATGTTCTCAAGCAGGTCACGTGGTCCTTGTTGAGGCAGTCGTCAATGCTACCAGATGCTCGCTCCAGTTTCGTCGAGGCACTACTGAGAGTACCTACTGTACCGTTTTCTTATTGCATGAAATATCTTCTCCAGCATATACAGTTTCTCTACCACGCTGTGGGACAATAGAGTTATTCAACCGTGTGCTTTCCGGTTGGCCGATGCTCCAGCAGTTAGATCCCCCCTGAACCCATCTCCCAGAAACCGATTTCCATCTATCGATTCATTAGCCTGGACTCGTGGGTGCTCGGCAGAAGTTAATCGCCGTTCCGCTTACCTTCGTGGCATGAATGAAGATAGCCACTAGTTCTTCCACGCGGCTAGGAGACAGCTTCGTCGCGTGCTCCTCGATCAGTGCTGTTGACTGTCAGTGCTGTAGCTACTGTTGGATCGCGGTTACACACCTCTCCCCTGCCTCACAGCATCTTGATAATCCGGTCCGGCGTATTGCTCAATCCACTGATAGTACTGGTTGGCCTCTTGGACCGTGTCCGGGTGCGCTATCAAGCGAGTTGCAATGACGCCGTAGCCGAGAAGACAAGGCAGAAGTGCAATCTGCAGCGCCAACCAGTCCTCGGAATGTCCAACATCCAAGACATATCTAAGCGGACGACAGTCAGACTTGATGGAATGCCCTTTCCAGGAGAAACCTTACCTAGTATATGCAGTACATGCTGGTTCCCTGTTAATTTGTGCTCGAGACTGATCGAAAAGGTCTTCCACTTGCCTTGGCTTTCTTCGGCCCTTTCAATATCTGATTTAGACAACCCATATTCCTCACAGAAAGTGATATGGAGAGCGGTCTCCCTCTGGATGTCTGCAACAGCGTTGACTGCCTGTGATATGTACCCGTCAGTAGCTAATCGCCACTCATCCGTCCATTTCATACCTGTTGAATGTCAGCCAAGGTCTTCGCCTTATATGCCGCTAGTGCATTGGCCCGGGCAAATTGTATCTAATAATCAGCGGATATCGAGGCGTTCAGGATAGTGTGGACATACGAGAAAGAGATAGTCTTGTACCAGGTAATGGTTGAACCTTGCCTTGTCGAGGGAGCCTCTTGCAAGTTGCATCACGAAGTCGTGTTGGACATGCTGGGCCCAAGGCTCCCTCACATCGGCGCGTTCTAGGATATAATCGATGAAATAGCCCCTAGTCTCAATTAACCGATCATCCTCAATGTAGTACCCGTGCTGTTTCGGACTTACGGAGCAAATGGCAGCGAATATGTCGAGTGGAAATGGTTTATCGGCCCACTTCCCTTTCCAATGTTTTGGCTGGTTTTGATACCGACTTCCACAAAGCGGCAAGCGGCCTTCACTGCTTCCGGGACTCCTTTCCCAAGTGCCAGATTGGACGCGATTGCAGCTAAATGCCAGTCAAGATTGGAACTGAACGTGGTGAATCCTCTACTCACAAGCGAGCGAACACCCTGTGCCGTGAGTATTATTAGACGTCGAGTATAGTGAGCGTATAATCAACGGCTCGTCTCCACCGACGAGGATATCGGTGACGATTTCTCGTTCCGAATCAGTCCTCGCAGTGACTAGGCCCTCTGTCAACGGAGCGTGGCCGCCTTTGAGAAGGACGTACTTCGGCCCGAGTCCTTGGACCAGTCTCGCCAGCTCAACCAAGCTATCGATATTCTCGATCCCAGGCGCTTGTTTGCCTGCAACCGCAAGTAGCGCCTGCGCCTCGGGGACATTGGGAGTCAATATCGTGGCCAGGGGAAGCATCCGAGAGACCAAGATCTTGACAGCTGACTCCGGAAGTAATTTTGATCCAGTTGTCGCTACCATAACCTGGGGAAGTTTAATTCCAGTTGATGATGCTCAAGTGATGAAGTACTCACTGGGTCGATGACAGCTGATACAGTCGGAAGGCTTTGCAGGGCATCGCATATGACATTTATGGCTGCTTCGGAGGCCACCATACCTAGATAAAAAGATTAATCATGGATTTTCGAACTCAGATCATTGGGAGAACTACCTGTCTTCACAATATCGACCCCAATATCCTCCACGCAAGCAGCGATTTGCTGACGCAGGAAGTCCGGGGGCGTCTCGTGGATGGCTCTGACCCCCATCGTATTCTGGGCGGTCAAAGCCGTTGTCGCTGTCATTGCATAACATCCATGAGCGGCGATGGTTTTTTGGTCGGCCTCTAATCCCCTGCAAGTTTATCGTCGAACATCAGCGATCAGGACATCAATGGCGGGATCGAGGGGATCACGTACGCCCCGCCAGAGCTGTCGGAACCAGCAATTACTAGGATTCGGCGGTTCATGACGGTTGATTTGAGACTAGATGTGACCGGATTACTTCATTTTAATAAAATACGATAGATGCGAATGGGGAATACGGGATGGTGGAGGGGCAAGTTATAGGGTATTTTGATATTTTCATTCTGTTTCCCATGGAGCTCTGATCCATGCCAGGGCTCCACTTGATATAAAAATACGAAATCATACCCCAATATTATTTTCGAAGACGTTCTGTTCGTGACAATTTATTGAGTAAGAAATTGACATCCGTCTGGTCGTCCTCGCCTCAAAACAATAGATACTTCAGGAGTCCCGCATTTTCACCCCAAACTCCCAATAAAAGCCTATATCCATGCCGCGGACCTCGCGACATCCCTAGAATTTTGTTTCATTCCCCGCCGGTAGTTTAAACATGTTCAGTCGGAATCCCCCTCGAAGTCAGATGGATCCGGATCTGCATTCTGTCAGATTGTGTAAGGGCAAGGAGCTGCGGAGTGTACATACCTCTTGCGTCGTATCTGAACGTCCCGCCGACTCGCCCAGAAATGGATTCTTCTACCAGCCGAACTTCGTCCTCTGAAAGCCGTGAATCCGGATCTGCATTGATCGTTTCGAAGACCAGCCCATTATGATCAGGGCCGAGGTCATTGACAAAGTCTAACAAACCGCCTAGAGTGAACGATGTGATGGCCTGGAAGGTGACCTCACGGAGACTCTTGGATTGGACAATGGACGGCAGGACCCTGTCTGTCACACCGTAACCTGAAGTATTCAACTTTTCCAACTTCGGAAGTTGCGTGGCTAGGTGGGAAATATGCGGATCGGTAAAATAGTCGGATACACCCGTAAGGTTCAGTTCTCGAAGATCCTTCAAGCACACGAGCGAATGGAGAAAGGCATCGATATCATCTCTTACGACGTCATCGCCATCCCCTCGTAGACAGAGATATTTTAGATTAGGCTGATTCATCAACGCCAAATGAAAATTCCTTCGCTCCGCCATGGTATATGAGTCTACCTCGAGGCTTTCAAGGTAGACGTCCTCATCAGAAAGAAGCGGTGTGACAATGGCCGCCCCGCTAATGAAGTTCTTGAGTTCGAGGTCTCGCAAGTTCTTGCACTGACGCATCCACGCCAAGAGATCGTCGAAGGATTGACTCTGAGCTGATTCAAGATCAATGGTGCCCTCAAGGTCTTCCAAGTGAAGACTCTCCAAGGCTCTGCAAGGACCGATTTCGGACAGGGACTGGAAGCTGTCAGGCCTAAGTGCAATGTGGAGCTTCGTTAACGATTGGTTGTGAAGCGCGAGAGCCTTGCAAGTTTTGATCTTGATTCCTGCCTCGCTCATGACCTCTAGGGACTGAAGAGACTGGGGTTGGAGACTTGAAATGAATGTTCCAAAGCGAGAATCGCTGTCGTCTGCAAACCTAGAGCGTTCAATGAGAACATTTCCTTGGCACATTGACTGTATGGACATACCAGGAGTACATCATAAGGGATCGGAACTTGGGACAGTGTGACCGAAGTAATGGTGAGAGGTCACTCTCACCAATGGCTTTCCCATTGAAGAGGCACAGGTATTGGAGATTAGGCATTCGCAAAACCCATCTCCTAAGGGCATCAGCAGAAACTATATACCGATGAGCACCATTTGGGAAATCTGATACGACAGGAAGAAAGGGGAACATCAGAGACGTACCTTGTCCAGCAGTCATGAGATCCTCGATGAAAGGTGCCTTCAAGCTGATTGCTATGATTCTAGGTCAACAAATGCAACAACCTAAGGGAACTTGGCCTACCCTCGCCGATGGCTTCTACAGTGGCATCCGAGTTCAACCGTTCGCCGGGTTTGATCCAGACTCTGAACTGTGTCATGTCACCTTTGAAGAAGTCACTTATGACATCAGCCTTCACTACAGAACAAGAGACAGGGAGTGTACTCACCGGAAAAGAGGTTGTCGCGTTCTTTTGGCATTGAAGTCGTCTAGGAGCTCTCGCAGGTCTCTCAGGTCTAGCGAATGGATGTACCTGCAATAGGGGAAGAATGTCTTGTCCACTGCAGACAACGCCAAACTTCGCCAGAGGCCAGAGATCCTCTGCGCATCGCGGCCCTGGTTGTCATCGGGATACCATTCCCTGACGGGTCGAGCATATTGATATCTAGCATGGCTGATATTAGGGACCATTCGCCATGGATGTCATGGGCTTAGTTACCGATATAAAGCAGTCAGGGCAGGCACCGTCAACCGTTTGCTGGATATCGAGCAATTGAACAATGTATGAGAGTCTCGCTGATCCGCCAAATGACCGAATATAATTGGAAAAATATCATCGGGTAGATAGACCGCCATGACGAGCGTCTACCACGACTACTGGGATGGACTTGATCCTTCGCGTTCAAGAAAGTGATGTCTTGATGATGACGGGGCACTCGAACGCGCCCACAATGAAAGAGACGATTAAAAACCCCTTGAATTTGAAGCCGGACAAATGCGACTATTGAGAAGAGAAATTAATGAAGTTCAACCCGCCGCTTGAACTGTTAATTTGATGGGTGGGTGAACGCGTTTGATCTTTGAGTTGGAGGGGATGAGCGGCAGGGAAGGTATTAGCGACCAAGTCTTGCATTCACAGGCAGTGAGCTTCCAGCCGTATCATGAGCACCATGAAAGCATTAATATCGTATTATGCCTTGTATCTTCTTGTCCTATTTTAAACAAGGGGTTTAGTGATAATGGCTCTTATAAATGGCTCTTGGATAGGACATTGACGCCTCGACCCCTTGACGGACATCATCGACGCGGTCGGCTAAACTTGCCAGAGATGAACGCGTCATGAACAAAGACCTGACAAGATACATGCAACATTAGATGCCACTGGACCTCCGACTACACACTTGTTAACTGCATCTTTGTCGAAGAGCATTCAATACTTTCGCTTTATTGATGATTGTAAACTGATAGCACTGTCTCGCTCATCCATCTTGCAACCCCCGGGTTGAGCGTGTCTTCTCAGTGCAGGTCTCGCCATTATGGCTTCGTTATCATTCGCCTTACTACCAGAGGCAGCGTCTCAGTTCTATGACATGCTGTCATGCCTTGCTAAGTTTAGCGATACTGTTTCAATTGAAGCCCGTGAAGATCGTGTACGAAGTCCCGGCAGCGTCTTGTCTAAACATTTCTCGTTAACAGTGCTCTAGTTGTTGATATGTACTCTTAATTCATCAAGGTCGGGATATGCTGGCTTCACACTCGACTATCCACAATTTTTCTCGGAATATAGTTTCAACCTGGCACGACCAACAACTAGTTCGACAAGCGTAAACAAGTACTCTTTTCGGATTCTCAACAAGGTCTGGTCTGAAGCTTTCGACGAAGTGTATCCGACTGATCTCCGATAGGCACTCATCTCCGCATTCAGAAGCCGTGTGGCTGACCAGAGGACACGGAATACGACTGTTGATAAATGGGTTGTCACGGTGCAAGATCGCCTAGACGAAACCGAGTGTAGACTGGTCATTCAAGCCATCTGCAATGGAGGTGTGTCAATACTGCTGGGACGATGTCGCTGACGCTGGACCCTAACGTTGCGTAGGCATCACGAAAACGTACAGATTAACATTTGAGGAGGCAGAAGTCACGTTCGCTTTGTTCGAGAAGAATGAAGCCAAGAACTGCTGGGTGATTTCCTCTACCATGCTAAAAGAGAATACGGATTTCTTTGGACCTCGAGCGGAGCAACTAGACATCTGCCATGAAAATGGCAAGATCAGCTTCATCAGCTTCACTGAGAAGATAGTAAACGCCAAGAAAGGTATGAGATTCCACGATCTTTGGGAGTAACCGCGGAATCGCTGACTTTTATCTAGAAGTCCTAAAGCATCCCTTGCAGACTACTATAGCAATCAACGCCCCCGACTTCGAGGAGTGTGAAGTCCTTGAACAGTTGCATATCACTATTAGCGTCAAAGAATTCCGGTCCGTTGTGGCCCATGCCGCATCGCTGAATGTTTCACTCCGAGCGACATATTCTCGCCCATCGAGACCCCTGCAATTCAGCTACGGGCTCAATGGGGTCAAAAGTCAATTCATTCTCATGACGGCGGGGGAGTACCGTGGACCTCAAGTACAACCGACGGCGCAAGAACCGCTGTCAGTCTTGAGCCGCCCGACCAACATCACCGTTCCCATAACTGCAGACAACACCATGGGGGCTCCGCCGGTTCCTCGTATGGCTCAACGGAAGCCTAATGAGAGCAATCGGGCGCTTGGGCGGGTAAGTCCGGTCAAAGCCAAGGCAGTCTCGCAGCAGAATGAGACTCTGTTTGTTCGGGATGACGACGAGGCGTGGGATCCGCCAAACTTTGATACGGAGGAGTCGGTGCGGTGGGATGCTAGCGGTGATTTCGTAAGTATGCACCCAAGGAATACCAGAACAATTGTCTTACTTGCTGCAGAGCCAACTCCAGTCCTTCCGGGATAGTGGTACAGTGAGCGGCCAGTCCGCCGGCCCTGCGACTGAAAATGTGGATACCGAAGTGCCAGCGACGCAGCGCGTATCTCAGGTAGGTTGATCGAATTGCACTTTGACACTTTCCGCTGACATGGAACAGATTCGGGGTCTTTGGGGCTAAGAGCTAACCCCGGGTGCAATTCTGGTATCCGGATGCCGTCAATCGAAATCATGACATCTGGGACACTACCAATGTTAGAACAGCGGCGGAATCATTCCGCTACCTGTATCCAAGAAGTCGCACAGCCAGCTCCGAGGCTGACAACGACACCTTGAACTTCGAGCTCGTTGCACCGGTCTTGCACATCACCATTCGGCGCGGTTGGTAGACCACAGTTTCCATGCTCGCCCCAGCCCCACGCTAACACCTTATTAGTCGTCGATACTGCCATACAATGCTCACTCCCAGTGGCAATCATGGAAATACGAGGAAGGCCGTTTGGGCAAAGCTGGCCATGGTCATTTCTGCCCCAAGACAACATTTCACCGCTCCGGAAAAGAACATATATGCTGCCCCAGCTTGCACCCACGTCCTTCCAGTCTGTAATGCTAGGTGGAGCATCGGAAATGACGTTCCATTTGTTATTGCCAAGGATAATGTGGGCACCAGAATCCGGGGAGCCAACAATGTACGTAAATTCGCGGCCACACACAACCCGGATGGCCTTGAACGGAATGCTCGATAACTTCCGCGGCGTCCAACATTTGTCGATAGGGGGCTGACCTATTTGACCTTTACGCCCGCTTCCCCAACCATAAACGTCTCCGTCACTCAAGACGGCAACCATGTGGCTCATGCTTGCGGATATGTCGATGATGCTAGTGCCTGGTGGTGGGAAGCCTTCGATTTCGCACGGCTGGGGGCTCGTATGCCGGTGAGCCCCTTGGCCTAACTCTCCTTTGCTGCCATATCCACAAGTGAGCACTCGATTATCGAGAACAAAAGCGGAGGCCTCCCAGGTCGCTGCGCATATATTTACTGGAGAAGGATGTAGCGACCCGGACTTGATCAGCTGTACAGGCACAAACACTGGACTTGATTCCTTTCTCTCGGAAATGTCGACACCAGTAGGACCGTGATCGTGAGTTCCCGCTGCAAAGACCTGACCAGTGCTCGTCAAGAGAATCGTATGATTGCCGCCAGCGACGATCTGCACCCGCTCTGTAGTGCTCAATCCTTCAGGAACGGGCATAATAGTTGGGGTTGATATGTCGTCGTTATGACCAAGACCGAGTTGGCCGGAACCATTCGAGCCCAAGCAGAATAGCGGCATACTTGACCACGACGGCTATGAGCAGCCCTCGTCCGCCGGATGACCTGTCCAGGACTGGGTGCTAGCAAGTTGGACTTGAAGTAAGCCTTTAGATGTCACCAATCCTCTGTTGGCGGCATGCTTGAAGTCGACGGGGGAGTAATGTATTCCACGATGAGTTCCACTTAAGAACATATACGAATTGCAAATTGATGACTTTTAAAATGAAGCTGTCGAGCGTTAAAGGTGATGCAGATGCACGTGACTTATAAACACCATCACGTGCTGGGCCCGGCCGCTGGCACCGTACCAACGGTATGTTTACAAACAGTGCGGTCTCAAGATATCTGAACCTTGCGTGCAATCTACAGAACCATATTTCCGTCCAAAGCGAACATCGTTTAGAGCCGATCAAAATGGATACTGCACCGAAGAACTCGTCGTTATTTGACGTATTTCTACGACTCCGACCCGCACCCTCCAAAGCGAATGAGCGATTTCTGGACGTTGAGCCGACAGAAGCGGACTGCAAGCCGACGCACATCACCATCAAGCCGCCTTCGAACGACCATCGGAAGAGGGCAGTGGAAAAGTTTGCGTTCACGAGAGTGTTTGAAGAATATGCTCAACAACTCGACATATTTGAGGGCATAAAAGCTCGCCACCTGATCGAAGGGGTTGTCGGCGTGGATGGACAACCTGGACGGGATGGACTGCTCGCTACGCTCGGAGTGACGGGTTCTGGAAAGGCATGATGAGTATCTGACCGATCACAAGTATGGTATACTGACATAGACTGGGCAGAGTCACACAATATTGGGATCGAAATCCCAGCGAGGCCTCACCCAGCTCTCTTTAGAGGTCTTATTCCGAAGCCTCTCCTCCCATCTCGTACACCCACACAGCGCTTCCGCAGTGTTCCCATCATTATGCGCCTCGGACATCTCTGATGCCCAGCTTCTCCCTGCGAACGTGTTCCTTGAGAACTTGTTCGGCGATGGCCAGTCTGAGCGGGGACGAGTTTCCAGAGCGCAGACGCCGTTACCGGTATGCACACCTATTTCTTTCCGCAACTCAACCTACCAACAGCCTGGCACCCGCAATTCTCCTAGCAAACGTACGAATTATCACTGTGGGATCTCCAATGTCGACGCCGACAATGCAGCGCAACTTGCTCACCAGGAACGCTTCAAACGCGGCTTTGTGCAAAGCGGTCAACTTCACACTCGCTTGCAATCTGCCATTGATCCCCCAACGACAATCCGGCCCGTATGCGTCGCTACCAACACCATTCCTACTTCACAAGTCACAAAAAGTGCACATCAGCTAAACAATTCGCCTTCAAAGGATTCGACCTCGTTCCTTAGCCTCCCGCCCACACAATCCCGCCGAATCCAAATCCCGCGCCTTTCGACCCTACCACAATCGCCTGCCCTCCCCGAAAATGCCGGCGTTCCTGCCGACGGCAACGCCGAATACTCGATCATCATCTCCATGTACGAAGTCTACAACGACCGGATCTTCGACCTGCTATCCGGCAGCGCCGTGAATGGGCCTCCTGCGTCGTTGTCGTACAAGACGGGAGGTACCCTGAAAGAGCGACGCCGGGCGTTATTATTCAAACCGACGGAGATGTCGCCGGATCGGAAAGTTGTGGCGGGGTTGCGTAAACTGGTGTGTAGCACCCTTGATGAAGCGCTGATGGTTCTCGAAACAGGTCTCTTAGAACGCAAGGTCGCTGGTACGGGGAGCAATGCGGCGAGTTCGCGGAGCCACGGATTCTTTTGCGTGGAGGTGAAGAAGAGAGATCGGATCGCAAAGGGGCGGTGGGAAGGAAGCACGATGACGATCGTCGATTTGGCTGGTTTGTGATCGAGATGTTGAATTGCGTGAATAGAAAACTAATGGACTCAGGATCCGAGCGCGCTCGTCAAGCGAAGACCGCTGGCGCCACACTTGCAGAGGCTGGAAAAATCAATGAGAGCTTGATGTATCTCGGACAATGCATGCAGCTCCAAAGCGACAACCAAGATGGAAGCAAGGTACGACAATGTTACATCTACCAGTCTCCCGCTATCATCTGCTAATACGATGCCATTTGACAGAATATCGTTCCTTTCCGACAATGCAAGCTGACCGAGCTGCTTTTCTCGAACTCTTTCCCATCCGCTCAACACCAAATGAGCCAATCACGTACTCCCCAGAAGTCCATCATGATCGTCACAGCAGATCCAATGGGCGATTTCAACGCCACATCTCAAATCCTCCGCTACTCGGCCCTTGCCCGAGAAGTCACCGTGCCTCGCATTCCTTCCCTCACGAGTCAGATCCTCTCCGGCAACGCGAACCTCCCTAGCAGCCGTATGGACCACAGCAACAACCAGAACCCCGCGAATGGCATGCTTGCCGAGGAGCTCGAATCATCACGCGAAGACATCGCGCGTCTATCCGAGCAACTCGAGGTCCTTTCCGTACATCTCACGAAAGAGACCTCCCGGCGGCGCGCTGCTGAGGCAAGTTGGAAAGCCATGGAAGAACGCATGCAATCCGTCGAACAGAACATCCGAGACGAGATGCTGGAAGAGATGGAAGTGCGGGTCGAGGCGGAGCGACGGCGGTGGAAAGGCGCATGGGATGAGGAGGCCGATCGGTATGACGAGCATATGGATCGGAAGTTGGAGATCCTGGCGCAGGGAATCAAGATTTATGAGGATCCGGAACCGGGCACCGTGGACCAGGTGCAGGAGCTGGAGGATGAAAATGCATCGTTGAGGAGGAAGATACAGGACTTGGAGAGGGAAATGGGCGCGAGGACACCATCGAAGAAGCAGCGGGTGCTGAAGTCGAGGAAGTGGGAAGTTGATGTGAACTTGGAGAGCCCCTGATGTTGCAACGATTTTGTTTGTTCTGGCACGCATTTGGAGACTGTTTGAATATTAGCATTGGCGTTAGCACGTTATGACGTACGAGAAGGAGTACATACCTGAGGAATAGATTTCGGTATCTTGACTAAAATGCCTGTCAAAGATGCTCTCCTTGCTGAAGCTAGTCCATAGGGTCGTACGGAGACCGAATCATACCTCTGGGTGTAAAGGATGTTTAAGCTAACCTATGTATGAGGATGGTAGCGTGTTCATACGTTCTGCAACGTTTTCCTTCTTTGCATCAGAGAGATCTGTTTGCTAATCAACGAGATCTGCTGTTGCAGAAGGGTCAGCTCGTCGCTCGTTCCATTGGCCACGCCCGCGGTTTCTATCAGATCATTTGCATTTGGAGCTTCATGTACCATGCCCGTTCCACTGCATGTAGGACACGGCCGCCTATGGGTCGTTGGCGACGTGCTTGGTCCGCCCAGCGTTTCATCCTCTAGAGGCTGAGGAAGCATACTGTATTCGTTCGACTGATCATCGAGGTTCAACGGCCCAATGACACGATATCCACTCTCGAAAACGAACGGCCGATTTTCGGCATCGGTCACCATCGGGTTTGGCGGAGGAGGAGAAGCAGCTGGCTGGTGTGGTTCAACGGCGGGAACCACATGACCCGCCTGCGCGGCACGTTCGGCATTCTTTTTCTGCCGCCGCTGCATCGCATACAGCGAGCGTCGATCGATCTTCGCCAGCGGCTGGGTCGGCGCATCACCACGGGCATGGAGCAATGACATCTTCGCCTTCGATGCGAGCACCTCGGAAACCTGCTCACCAGTAGTCTGCGCAATGATTTGCACGATATCGGTGGCGCCGGTGCTGGCGGTCAAGACGATGCCGGATCTCAGAATCGCGTCCTTCACCCATCGCTGGGTGAACTGCACGCCTCGCTTGGTATACTTCCTCTTTTTCCGCCCCGCAAGCAGTGCTTGCTCCGCCGCCGTTTCATCGATTTGCGGGTTGCACGTGTGCAGTTGGCAGGTATTGGACACGACTACCTGACCGGGCTGGTCGCGGGAGGCAATGGCTCGAACGCGCCATTCACAGCCGGTTTCATTGTATCGGCACACGTAGACCGCGCGGGTCGAGTCTTTCTTCACACATCGCGACAGGAACTTATCGCGCAACGACCACGCGTTGATGGCGTGCCGGAGGGCATCCCATGTTGGATAGACAGTACCGGGGGTGGGAATGGGGACGTCGAGGGCCGGCGGGGGAGCGGGCGACGTCTGGCTTTCCTCTTCGGAGGAGAGACCTTCGTCGGGATCGGATGGAGTTTGAGGGTTGAGAGATGGATTAGCCATGATATGTGGTCCGGTGGTAATGAAACGTCTGGTCATGGGCAGCCGAATTGAGGTTGTAATGCCATCATGATATCGGTTTCCATTAGCACGTGAGACACGTCTTATGTCATCCATCTACGAACAACAGCACAACAACAGAGCAACAGAACAACAAAACAACAAAACAACAGAACAACAGAACAACAGAACAACAGAACAACAGAACAACAGAACAACAGAACAACAGAACAACAGAACAACAGAACAACAGAACAACA